CGCATAAACTAGTCGCAAATGGCTACTACTACTCACAATAACTTATTAGGTATACCCTCTGCTTCCCTATAACATTGTTTCCTAATTTGTACTTCATGCAATGCAAGAACCGCAACCAATTTAGTCGTGATACATATCTAACGACCTATCTCTTGTTTTGCAATGATTACCGACAAAATATTGGGGAGGCGATGTTTTTTTCTACAGAGATAAAGTCATTCTGCTACACTATCTATAATTTATTCTTAGACGACAATGCCATTGTCTCCCTACTATTTTCTTTTCCTGTTTTACTGCACCTTGTTAAGAGACATTTTATGGACCCCTAGTAATCCCTCGACGTCTTAAGGCTCACATATCTACGGAAATTCCGATACAGACTACGAAAAATAGATTCGCATGTCTCCCTCTTAAGGACTGAATTATTTATTTTTACTTCTCTAGAAATTGTGTTTATTCGGATACAAACAAAACAAGCTTAAATAACTAAACGCACAATTGGATTGCCTTGCCTTGTACAAGGTTACACATATTTATAAACAAAATATTGCTACACCGATATTTTTCATACAAATAAATAAACATGTAGAAGACGAAGATAGTCCAATTCTACTATAATTATGCTAAAAAATAAGTAGTACCTATACACATCATAGTGCATATTTTGTTTAATCCCCTTCAATTATGATATTATTATACGGTAATAAGTATAATCCAGTAAAATTTATCACTCGTCGATAATGGCCCTAAATATGCACAAAATAAATTATAAATTTAATCTCTAATATAGATACACGCTAACATTATGCATGTTTGATTCATCACGTTTAGTTAATTATAATGACTTATTAACTAACGCATTAATTTAAAACAATATGCATTAAACCATAATAATAATCTGTTTAATTTTTAATTTTCCATTCGGTCATCAGGCATGTGGTCATGCATTTATTGACAAATGTCGTCTTGATTGACAGCTGTGACACTTTTATTCCATTAAGTTCATTGTTACTACAAATATAAATAAATCACCATTACACAACTTCAATTATTTGTCTAGAGAAGGGTCATAAAAGAAAATCTATTTCAGTACAACAAAAAATATAAATAATCACTACGAAGACATGGAAATAATTGTAACTTTGGACCATCAATCAGACAGCGGCTGACGACCCAAATCGGTCAAGAGTACACAACAAAAACATGAGCGGATCTCCGAACAATAGATGGCGCTGACGATCCGTCGTACACAGCAAGATGGCCGCCGCCTTTTGGCGGGAACCATTGGAGCGCGTAATTGACAAAGGATACTAGCTTTGTGTTGTTCCTTGGGCCAACGATTTCCTGCGCCGAATCTATGTTATAAATATGTATATATATTATTTATAGAATATGTGCTTTAATAAAGTAAAATTATTTCTGGTTTTAAAAATAATGGATAATAAATAATACCTAATTCGTAATAATATTATGTATACCTATGTTATAAAGGAAACATAAAAAATGCAAATATTACGCGAGTGTACCATATTTATATATTACTACTAAAATAAGAAATAGGAGCAAACTTTTGTCCACCATGTAGTACCTACTATCCAAGACGTTTAAGTTTAGTGACGGGCTCGATCGTATAGCATTTTTCCGCCTTGCTACTAATTGTTGCGTTCTGTTCCTCGTACGAATATTTATATTGATGAATATAATTGTTCGTATCTATCTGGGTTTTTTCTGTATTACAAATTTATTTATAAAAAAACATATCTACATATTTATATCAATTGTCTAGTACACCAAACACAAACTTTGCTTAGCTTTAGACTCGCTACCATTTTCGCCACCACCAATTTTTGTGAAGAAGCTTTGTGAATTATCCTGAGATATCATTATTATTAGTTTAAGTAATTCCATTTCTTTGATATAATGTCTCAAAAGAATGATATTGCCATAATTACTGCAAGAAAATGATATTTCTAACTAAAAATAATAGTTGGGTTGTCAAGGGCTCTCGCTCGTCAGTGTAAACGTATTAAAGATATGCCCAACTTATACCTAAGCTTAACGAAGATTTACGGACTTAGCGAAAATGTCGGGTGAATACTGGTCCATATAGACAAAATAATTACTTACAGTTCAGAATCTCCTTTTTGAAGTAAGTTGGAGAAGGAAGCTAGACTAAATAAACTCGAAGAAGATAACCAAATAAAAGAATAAAAATACTGATACAAATTAAATGTCTATTCCCATTGGACATTGTCATTGGTTTTGATTGCATCATACCACTTCGTTGCCCAACAAAAAACGGTTAACATATAATATACACGACACCCGATTCCCACAAATTGGCTCCCCTCGTAACCTTGCCAAATTACAGAGAACCCCGGGAGACAGGAGAAATGCATTATTCGCATGCAGGACGTCGAACTTGAATAGGCACCTACTTTATTTAAGGAATAATGGCACTCAAGAATTTAATTTTGCGAAGCTTAAAGAATTATGGTGCAGTTTATAGAAATTTATGAATTGCATGAATAATTAGAATTATTTTTTATTATCTTGTTCAAATATTTACATTTTTTAAAAACATGCTTATATATTATTTGGTTTTTATTACTTCATGATCAGACCTAAATAATACCTTTCAGTAATTATCGCAACGCAAATCAAATGAGCACAAACTGGAAGGGATTTCATTGTTTTATTCCACAGTTCTTATCTCCTTCCGTCGCCATCATTAGACTAGGTTAACGGTAAGATAACATTGTATTTTGTGCCAAATTTCTGCTCAATCGGGCGCCAGCAAGTGGCTGGGGGATAGATAGCAAATTTCTAAGACGTTCATGTAAGCACCGCAACTTAAATAATAAATAAATAATCACAATACTTAAGTAAATAGTGATCACAAATAAATAATTAAGTACTTGAGAGTTCTAGGTAAAATCTACTTCTGTTCGAGAACCCATACAGTAGATACTTTACAATAAATATAAATTTTATTGCGTAAAATAAAAAAAATACTATATACCCCAAATTACAACAGAGGCAATTCTCTATTTTATGGGATGACTTTTTAACAAGAACAATTAACATATGCTCATTAGGTACTAAGTTACATTTATCGCTTAGTGTAAACACATAATAGTATATTGCCACACCTAAACCAAAAAATGAGTGTTAATAAATAATCTCCTTCTTATCTCGGAAACGTATAAATTTAAAAGATTAGTCAAAACATAATAGATATATGGACTGGTATGGTAATTTTTTCATGGCACTAGACGAGACACTAAGCAGCTATGAAAACTTGTAAGAAATTGCAATTTAACATCTCTATTGTAATATCAATTCAAATTAAATTTCCGCCAACGGAGTCGGGCTAAAGTTTGTCTGTTAAATCTCAAAAACATTATGTAAGTCACACCGGCTATTCGTTGCGTTATAATTGAGAAAGTTTACGTCATAATTTCTTTATGAAATTTTCGTGCCAAATATCTTAATTAAGGGTTGAGGGGACTTTCGCAGTTACGTTGCGCAGGTATGCCCTTGAGTATTGTGAGTTGTCTTATCCCATTTTATTCTAATAAAACGATATTATACTTAATTTTCTTTATTTATAACAAACTATTAAAAAATTGTTAGATGTGATTATAACGTAGAATGTTTAATTTGTAACCTACTAGAAATAATACGTGTAGGAACCGTCTGTCCGATATAAAATGGTGGTAGCTGTCGTTTATACACATAAATAACACCACAGATATCGCAAAATGTAGTGTGTAAACTGTACCTACTAACATTTATGGCCTGGTAGTTAATGTAACAAACTACTGTGACTGTGTACTGTCACTGTGATATAAAACCAAGACCCAAATAATGTTGTCGTGTTCGCAATTCTACTGTATTTTATATATGTTATATTATATATTTTAATATATATTAAATCAATTTCTAAAATTTTGAAAGTTCGCGCTCGTCGTTTTGTCCCATATAAATTTGATCAAGAACTAAACGATAATTTATGTGTTAAACCTAATTTTTATTAGGTTTTACAAATTAACACGTTTGGTTTACATAATGGTTTTAATAGCTACATAGCATTATATTTTTACTGCATACATTCTTACTGGAAAGAAATGACTTACTACATATGTTTAAATGAACCAATTATATATGCACTATTACAACAATTAGATGCAAAAGTCACACGACAAACGTGTTGCGGTGAAACCTACGTGGACGCTCATTCTAACAAAGTTTATCTGAAATGCCCAACTCCAAGAACGATTAAAACCACGAACAAACATTCAGCTAACAACTATGAGGTAGCTCATGAATATCACTGAAATAAAATAGACTCTACCACCTGAAAGTTAAAGTTGGAAATAGGCCTAAAAGTTGTTGTTAAGTGGCCCGTATCACGTCCAGTAACAGTTTAGATTATGCGGTGACGACTTATTACAACTTTAAATTTGTCGGTTTGATTTAAAAAAAAATATATTTATATATTAATACTGTTTATTTCTTATACATTAGTGATTATGCCCTTGTTCCTGAATTAGGAAGAAAACTATATATTAGTTAATCTTCCTCTTTTTGAATTTGTATTAGATTAGAGATTTCATATATTCTAACTACCTATTAAAAGTGTAAAGTAAAAGGAACAAAATTTAAATAATCTCTTTACTTCACAACCTGTGCATATAATATGTATTATCATAAGCCAGACAGGTATTTTTAATTATTCCAAATCCTTAAAAAATTCTGAGGATTTTTCACCTATGGATGTTTTAATACCAACATTTTTTCGTATCGTCCAGCTTTCTCATTTGAATTGAAATAACTCATTATTGGACATATTGAAATATTTCTTTATTGTGAACTGTCTTTGTTGTCGTCACTGATTTTTATTAATATTTTTTATTATAAGAAAACTAATTAGTTGATATAAAATTAATATTTTGCCATATTCTATCTGCTAATGTATTATTACATTTTTGTTACAGAAATGTGGTGTACAATCTCAGTTTAACAGACTTAACGGAACAGCGCCGACTAGTTTGGTACTCGCCGGAGAATGACGGCAAAATGTGCGTCGTCAAAGGCAAAGATGAGGTAAGCAACGAACAGAAAACTTATTAAAACTAATTATCAAATTTCGGAGCTAAATTATTGTTAACCTGCATATAAAATTGTTATGTTCATTCAAACGGATTTCTATGTAAATATATGGAGATACTATAACGATACAGTTGCTTCATTCGATATTAAATGGCAGTTCAGTTTATATGAATCATGCACTAACGTCATCAAGAATGTACGCAATTATAAATTTAATTCTTCAACAGCATTCGCCAATTCTTTTCATATTGTTCGAAGTTTTCTCTGTTTCTAGTTTAATTCCTGGAAATTCCTTTCCGTGATTGCTTTTACTGATTAAAATCCAATTAAAAAGTAATATTTCTGTAGATATTAAATAAAGCACCTAGTAGTGCGCCCGGAGTGCAATATAATTGTTACATACCTGACGCCATCTTGCGGCGTATAATTGAATTTAGAACGAGCCGGTCGCGTATGAAATGAGGCTGTGTTCTGCTAAACGTCTCTCTACCGAATACCGGCAAATTAAAACGTCAATCGAGCAGAAGTTAGCCTGCTCCATATTGGATATACCTGCGCTCGCAGCTACAGAAATCTTTTAGTTCGGAATAATGAACAATTTGCACTGAAATTAATTTAATTCTATTATTTCCAATTAAAATATCAAAATGTCCATATTAGAAAGGTACTCATATGTGTAATGTTAATAGCCAAGTCTATGTAAAGTTAATAATAATAATAATTTTATTTATTCAGATTACTGCGTTCCATATTTGTTAGTAACAATGCACTTAGTCTATATTGGAATACCTACAATTACATATTTCATTATGTAAGTGCCCCCAGTTCTAATTTAAGTCCAATTTACTGCATAGCATTTTGAGAATGCTATTACTGCTACTGTGTCTGTCTGTGCAATAGACAGGCGATCTTTTGTAAATATTACATTTACGAGAGGGTTTAACTATAAACTTAAAAATTTAGTAAATATTCTCATGACTGGATTTGGCAGTCATTGACATTTATTTAATAGATGAACAGAATTGGGTGTGCATCAGATGCGCTAACCTGGATAGGGTCGGCTGATGACAGTGATGATGATGTTAAATACTCAAAATTAAATAAATAAGTACCATAATAATAATAATAATAATAATAACCTTGGATAATTCACACAACATAATTTAGTCCCGTTCTCAAAAACCTGTATTATAGGTACTAAACGACTGATCTATATACTTAAGTATACTTTTCTATAAATACATACATGATATACGTAAACAATAACCCGACCTATACAAACAATCATACTTATGAATACAAATATTTGTAACATGTGAGGAAGCGAACTCTCGACAGTCGGAAGTAAGGCAGTGTCCTAAACCGCTAGATCAAGAGAACCCGTCGAAAAATCTTTTATTAGAATCATTTATCAACTGTTAATATTGTAGTAAACGTAAATTTACTAAGCTTATTTCTGCAGCGCTCATTAATTCCCTATAGACTTTCACTTTGTTCGTAAAAATTACCTTCTTCTGTACAGGTGACCACCCATATTAGTCCACCGTCCAACGGTCATAAAAAAACTATCAAAACCACCCACATGCGTGTACAAGAATTCAAATATATCTATTCAATAATAAAACCCATATAAAACGATTATCAATATCTAGTAAATAAATAACATTATTTATTACTTAGTACGGTTATCCTATACGATCAACAATTACCAGGAAACCTTAGGAACGTTCAAATAAAAATAGAAAACATTCTTCGTTACAATTGATATTAATTGGATGACATGTTTATTCTTCACTGTAAAAGTAGTCTAGTTGTAATTAATACTATACGCGTTATATAATTGTACGAGCGACAAGCATACAAGTATACAAGTAATTAATATTATACAATGATAATTTATAAATACTTACTTTGTATTCTACAAAACAATTATAGAAAATACTAGTATAAAACGAAAAAAAAACAGCTATACAGATTCTTTGGGTTCTAATATGTTTTTTTAATCACACAAAAGTCAAACATTAATACTATAACCTATAATAGAGTCAAAATATCGGAAACTCATTAATGTAAGGGACATCATAATGTAGCTCATAAATCATTGATTTCCCTTTATTTGATAAATATATTTTTTGTTGTTTTACATATTATGTAATGAATTGCAAAATATAATTAAGATATTATTGCTGTCAGAAGTAACAAAAATTTCGAACAGACGCATAAAAGGTACCTAGATTCGTATATCTATAACTAAAAACAAATAAAACATTTATTTGTTTTTAGTTATAGATATACGAATTCGCAGCATTATCTAGTCTACGACTGCAACTTCGTATATCTTCGTATTTCTTATGTATAGACCGATAGGAATGAAATAAGCATTAAATTTTAAATGAAGCTTTATCCAAAATACATGAGTGAAAATAAGAACCAAATCGGTCAAATCGTTTTTGAGATTAAGCTGCATAGACACAGACAAAAATTCTAACAATCATTATTTTGGATTCTGCATTCATAAACTATTCCCGTAATAGTTTTCTTATATATCATCCTCGTACAAACACTGATAAGTTTAATTTTATTATTATTTATGTATAGATAACATTTATTCGTAGGTAACTAGTATAATATAATGCACTGAATTATTTACATTATCTAAGTAGAGATATGAAATAAATTTAGTGTTGCTGTAAAGTGTAGTGAATCCATTAAAAGTGAGCCGTAAATACGGCACTATTCCGCTGAACACCTTTGTTTTACGAGCACCGTTATATTTCTTGTTGACGCATAATTAAATACGTTGTTAAGTGAAATTACCTCTCCACCTTTTTAATGATCATGCGTTATTATTAGTTACATCTTTATTGTAATATATTTTATATTACAATAAAGATATATTTTCTTACTTGTTGAGTAATTATTTATATATATTCTATTAAAAAGATTGCTCATAACTTGTGATGAATCTGCATTCCGAATGAGTAGATATAAATAATATTATATATCAGTTTATATCAATAAAGATTATTTCTATTTCTATTTCTATTTCTTATTTCTATTAAAAAGATGTTGAGATGGATATATATTCTATATATTGTATAACGCGGCATTGCTTATGTAGATATAGATAATATTATATATCAGTTTATATCAACCACTATACATGTTAAAAAAATCTCTTGTGCTAATCCAGGATATTCTCTACACCTGTGTACTAAATTTCATATGAATTTATTAGAGAGTTTTTAATGAAAAAGTAACAAAAATCCATCCTATAAACATTTGTCACTAAAAAAAACATAAATACCAAAAGTAACTATATTTAGTTTTATTAAATTGTTATATTACCCGGCAGTCATAAGACCTATCTGTTTTAATATTAAACGCCTAAAAACTTGTAAACACAATAATTATTAACGCTAACTAAGGTATAAGAATTGTCTAGAACTATGCTAGAACTTATACATCCGATGACAGATCAGACCAAAAATTACATTATATGCTTACTCTACAACTCAATTATTTTAGGACATGTATCTGATATATTTATTTTAAATGTATTAAGTATATATAGAAGAATCTCAAAATATCGATATTGTTTAAAATAGTTACAGCAATAGTCAGTTTTGAAACATCTATTTTACTAGAATGAAGTTTGCAGTTTGTATTGTGTTACTCTGCAATATTTTCATCTAGGTGTGCCCGCGGCTTCACCCAAAATGTACAGCGTATGTGTTATTCTGATGTACGAGCTATATTATTTTAATGTTTCATTAAAATCCATTCAGTAGTTTTTGCTTGAAAGAGTAACAAACATCCATCCATCTATCCAAACACCAAAACTTCCGCGTTTATAATATTAATAAGAAGGAATTTAATTTATAAGTTATTTTTTCCTAAGTCAAAATATGTTTTACATATACAAATTAAACGTAAAAAAGAAAAATTGAAATAATACCATATAATGCGGGTATAGTACATGCAATTTACCGTACCCTAAGCAGCCGTAGACGTGCCAGGACTGCGCCCCGTTCCTAAACAGATTTGTTCAGTTTAAACCGGCTTAAACTGGTTCCGGGCTGTTCTTTGTTGTTTGTGACAAAACCTTATACATGTAAATGAAATTAAATCACCGCCGTAATAAAATTATGTAAGTAAAACGTGTGGATAAAAATATTAATATACGTAAAAAAATTATAACAGTAAGTCTTATATTAAAATAAAATATAATTAAATTTTTCTTTATTAGGAAATAATCTGTTTATTACGTAACATTATGTTTTATTTACAATAATTAGAATAGGAGAACAGTAACCTGTCATTTCACTATTATATCACCTTACCTTTGAAATTGGAATTCACAACTTACAAAATAACATACGCGCTGATGACTTCGTACAAACACATCATCATTGATTTTCCTTTAATCTTACATAGGCTAAATATATATGTAAGTACAAACTTAGTGCATTTCAATATCTACATACTTTTATAGTTATTAATGAACAAGTAGTTAAGTTATTCTGTAATGAAATTGTAGAAATTCAATATCAGCATCAGGTGTAGAGTTTCCTTCAATGGATAGATAGGTTAGGTACCTTTACCTATACATAAAACCGACAGTTTCCAACTGCAAGTTCTTGGATGTGGGAACTACATGCTTTTGGAAATTCGAGAGTTCGCATTCAGAATACTGAACGAGCTGTATTTTGGACCAGTCCACCATGCAGTCTGAAAGTTTCACAGTGTACGATATTTATACGTAGCTAGTCGGTATATCCGTACAGCATTGATATTATCTAGACCGCCTGTATAACTACGCTTTACGAGTTAGTCATAATGTTGTTTCCGATAATAAAAATGTTATTAATCATTTTAACTATGGTGATTTAATTTTCTAATTTAAATATGTTACACAAATATGTATACATGTTTAGTTTTTTTATAAAAAATGTACCAGTTGAGTTTCTTGCCAGTTATTCTCAACTAAAATAGCTAAATGTACGGTGGGGAAAGTGATAAAAAAATATTACTTGCATAATAGGAAATAGATTCTATAAATAAATATATCTTTTACAATTATAATTATTAAATATAAAATTATAAAAAAGGTATAAAAATATTTAATAAATAAACAATTTTAGGAATCCCGCTAAAAGCTTGTGGATCCGTCCGTCAATTTTATTGAATTATAAATTACTAGCCGTATACCACTTCGTTACTTGTCTTAATTTGAGTAAAAAGTATCCTATACGTTAATATAGGAAATAGTTTTTGTGTTTATCAAATTTCTTCGAATTCGTTCAGCCATTAAATGTCATTGAGTAAGAAACAGCGGTACTCACAAATTAAAATTTATTATATTACTTTGTTAAAATTGTGTTAATAATTTGTTAACATTGACAAGATCACAATATACTAATGTGGATGAAAATAAAACTTGAATTCAGTTGAATAAGCTACTACATTGATTTTGTAAATATTAAATAATAAATAAAGAATAATATATCCATAAATAACATAGTATCGGCTACAAAGTTGTTTCTATATTAATACAGGTTATTGTACCTTAAAATACTCGTAGAGTAGAATAGCTTATATACTATTACTTTAGTCACTTGATCGACACCGAATAGTTAATTTGTACAAACCAATAACTTCAAGTTACACTAATCTAACCCAACTTGTATTGTATCGAGGCATACGATGAGACAGGTCACCGCAGACGTCATAATCTCTATTATCCCTACTTAATGTTCTGTTATTGTTAAGATTAATCCTAGAAAGTGAGTCCTGATGTACTAATCTCCTTTGATATATGTATATATAAAGTAGAAATTTACTAACTATACCACGCAGTGTTGATACTAGATTAAAATAAATAATCTAAACAATGTAAATACAGTACGGATTATATGGATGATTTATTTTTACCATTTTTCTGCATATGTAATTTAGTCTTGTTTTACTATTCACCTTTGCTGTGAGTTGTCCTTTCGTTCGCTACGAGTATATATATCGAAGAAATCATTAATATATTTAAAATATCCCTAATTGCCTGTCGATTTCAAACTGGAATAAAACTAACCTACATCTTTCTAAAGCTAAAAAGTAATGAATAAAGAAGTCATATTCACTTGTAAAGTTATAATACTAAAAAAAATATTTAATTCATCATAATCAAAATGTTGTAATTGCTCAGACATTGTATAGTATAGCATCTAATTTATTTTATTTTATTGTACCACAGAATATATTTTACAGTATAAAATGTTGTATTTTATACTGTACTCTGTGTTTATTAATTAACTAACTTAATTGTGAACAAATAACCCTATAAGCCATGTTTGATGACTTAGTTCTAGAAAGGCTAAGTTAAAATAACAAAATCCAATTTCGCAAGTTTAATGTGTTTATAGTCGGAGTCTTAATCCTTACTAACAATATAAAGACTCGCCTTCACTGATCTATCAGCATTCAGCCTCGAATGGATAATTTCACAGGCTGTCCATTTCCAATGGACGTGTCCGTCTTGTCTAGATTCAAGATTCACGTTTGCGTAAACTTCATTCCATTCTCAGTTCCTGCCACTAAGGCGCCTTCCTGACCGGATTGGCACGCTTTCGTGTCGGTATACAAGCATACATATATGCGATAGAAAAAACTTAACTTAAAACAATTTATTTATAAAAAACAAAAATGAACGGAACTATCCAAGAAATCCGTAAACTCTAAAAATTAATTCAGATCCAATAACATGGGATTGCACAATTTCGATTCGATAGATCTTTTCAAATTTATAAATGAAACACGAACAGCGTATTAATTCTATATTTCGTAGTCAAAAAATGCACCGAGTGACATTTTTATCGATTTATTTTATTTATGTTTCAAAATAACACTTCTAAAATAAATTAGTTTGAAAAAGATTATAAGATTAGATTACAAAGTAGACTTCCAGGTCAGGAAGGTGCCTAAAACGTAAACGGCAGCTTTCATCAGTCTTCATGAATCCCAGAGGCAAGCAAACTTACACAACGGCCATATACTGTACATGTTGCAATGCTAATGCAATCTTATGACGCTTGTACATACATATATACGACACATCCCATTATGTACTGTGTCATAATGCTCTACTGAATCGCTGTATGCAACGTCAGATAATACTTGAAGACCTAGATGCATGTTAATCTCTAAAACTTAGTATCACAAGTATACTAAGTTTTAGAGATTTATATGTTTATAAATTTATACAATTTAGGATCTACACGACTTTTCTGTGACTTTTCGAATATCATATAAGGTATATCTACATATGTGTAATATATTATGTGTTTACATTAGGTATAGGCCATCATGTAGGTACCAAATATATTCAGATCTGTTTGTGTGAATAAAACTCATCGAAATAGATATTCAATTTTTTTACTACTGTGTGTGTACATAAAGATTATACATTTAAATCCATATTTTTTTAAGGAATGCATAAACTCTCGAAAAATAATGTAGAAAATTAGTATTGTTATAATTACTAGTTTCTCTTGACAAGAATATCCCCAAAAGTACATAACAATTCTTGATAAGTATAAAAAATAATGTTTTCGTCCACTATTGGTATCTACTAAATTTTAATACCCTATCAATATGCTGCGGTACGAAACCATTTACTGTGTTCGCTGACTGCTGCACTGCGCAAACACGAAGTTAATACATTAACTTCGTAAAATTTGCGCTCTGCATCTCGATAAAACCACCTTTCTGAAAATAAGCAACAAAAATTGAAACAGTTTATGATAAGTCTAGGTCACAAAAACTTAAACGGCTATAAAAAAATGTTAATGAATGATAAATGTATTAGCCTGCATCCCGTCAGTGAATATCGTTAGGAATACACTGACGGGACACTAGTGCAAGACGATAAAATAAATTTGAAATCAGATCAATCAACGCATCTTGGTAAATTCATAAGAAACTTAGCACATTGATTACCACGACCAACACTTATGCTAGAATGAAGATACATTGCTCACAATGTACCATCTAATCCTAATGACTAACAAAGCTCTCACTCCTTACCAAATAACAATTTGTCATTGATATTTCCGACTAAATCATTCATTCGAGTAACTCAAAATGTCGAGAACAGATGTTGAATAGGTTGACTTTATATTTACATACATTTTTTATCCATAGTATGGAAACTAACAAAGAGACAAGGCAATTAATTTTGGCTTCGGTTTGCGTATTTACTACAACTGACTTACGTTATTAATGATCTTAACAGAGATATTATTTTATTTCAACCATCAAATCTATTAATTACTGTATGTTATGAATTGCCATATATGTAAAAAAGTTTTTTACATTGGTTAATAAACGAAGTATGAAAAAAAAATATTATTATTAAAAACAGTAAAGTAACAACAATATTAGAGGATATTCATTGTTATTATTTTTACAACAAAAATATAAATAATAAAACAGTAGTACCCTTTATGTCGTCCCTTCTGCTGCATAATAGTAGGAAAACTTACAAATCCATTAAAAAATGCTTACATTAAATTTATATGAATAAAAATTATTTCTATTTATATATGCTGTTATTAATGTCCGAATGTTGTAGATAGGTATTAACATATCAAACAGGTAAATATTTTCTTAAATCACTTAGGAGTTTGCTTTCCACAAAATCCATTCTTTCTGTAGTATCTACTAAACTATAAAAAGATATATATAATATAGATATACAATATGATGTTGCAGGAAAGCTGTCAAAACTACATCCGTGTACTGGTGTCCCTTGGGCCCGGGAGGCTACTAGTATGCGGGACAAACAGCTTTCGACCCTATTGCAGAGAGTACAGCGTACAACGGGAGTCCTATCACATGGAAAGGGAGAAGTCCGGACAGGCTGTCTGTCCGTACGACCCGGAGCATAACTCCACCGCTGTTTATGCCGGTAAGTGTGATATTACTCACTCCTAGTGTATTATTCAATGCTACATATTTTACTACTAAATATTCTAAACTAATATTATAAATTAAAGTATAATTTCTTTGTAGATACGATAGATTAATTTTAAAAAATATTTTTTAATTTTACAATTCTAACCAAACGTAAAGTCAAACCTCATCTATGTTATTTTAATGTTTCAATTAACAATATATTGACAGTAAGTACATTTATTACCGCCGCTAAATTGATTATTGATGATGCTAATACCTATAAACTAGATTTGAAAGTGTAAATTCGGCAAAATTACTAAATTTATTTTCAATTAAAAAATAAATATAATCTTTCACTAATAAAAACATTTCCACCGCTAAATCTTGTGTAGCCGCTACTTTGTAATCATATTAACTGATATTGCTTAAAATTTGACAGGCTATGTAAAGTAGTTATTTTCAATTAAAAAGAACTATTCGGTAAAAATAATTGTTTATTTTAGTAACTGTACCAGTTCCTAAATAAACAATTGAAAAACGGAAACAAACCGGATTACAAATGAAATTGTATTGAACATTTAATTTACATAGAATATCTCCACCCCTATCGGTGGACACTGCACTAAGTCTTGGGGTGTACGTGTATGGACGGTGAACACAAATTCCCAGCTAATGGGATCTAGTTTTGTGTAGTTCGTGAACGAACTAGTTCAGAAGAGCGCTCACAATATCGAACTATGTAGACTAGTTCACAGATCGTTCGCTCTTTAGTTCGTTGGTTCGTTTGATAAAAGACTGTAGATATCTTATTAAAAAATATTTTCCCGCTAAAGAATGTGCCTAAACAAACAAAACCATATTTATGACCTAAAAAAATCAAGACAACGTATAGATATATAAAAATGTAATGTAATGTAGATAGCAGAAGAGCTTTATACAAGAGAGTTTTATACAAGAGGCCGAAGGCGCGACTCACTCGGACATTCGTGAGTACTCACTGCAGATGTATAAAAAAAAAAAAGAAAAGAAAAAAAAAGGAGAAAGAAAAAAGGGGAAAGGGAAGTGAAAAAGGGGAAAAAAAAAAAAAAATTGCCGAATTACGACAAAAAGTGAACTGTGAAATTAAACAATCAATAATTAAACAAAACCTGGACTATAACAAATAGTGAACTTTGAAAATAGTGTTAGAATAAGATTTCATATAATTGTATATATATGCAGTGTAAGAATTCATAATGTGTATTGTTATATTATGAATTCTTACATTGCACAATGTAATGAAAACTGTGAAATTAGTAGTAGTGTAAGATTTATATAATTGTATATGCATATTGATAAATCTAATCTTCCAAATAAAGATGGGTGACACTGCATGTTGTCAACTCACCCGGCCGGCCAGCGGTGGTTCTGGGCCAGACGGATAAGGTCTGCCTCGGTGTCACTGTTAGGCAAATTGTAACATCTCGGCTGGAGTTGTACAAAAATGGAAATAAAATAAATATAATAATATTAAAGTAAATTAAAAAAGGCACGGACGAATATGTCTGTGGAAAAATGTATTTAAATATAAAAAAAAAAAAAAAAAAGATAGCAGAAGAGCGAAGAGACAAAATTGAGTGATCCCAGTTGCGAACCATTATGCTCTAGACTAATGGGATCTGGCAATCCCCCTGTACACCCAACCAATTAGGAACACGCACCATGTACTGTGAATCTTCAATTCAGGAACAGTTGTAATCCTATCTGACCTAATTCGATTCTCAGTACATGCAACAGAATTCTCTGGGCTAGCAGTTTTGGACGATTTACGATTTCTGTTGCAATTATTCAATTTACTTCAAACAAGATTTCAATTTGATCGTAGTTGTTTGGGTATATTACATGATATATTCGATGATTCTATTTGTAATCAGAATAGTATACATCTGTTAGTTTATTACTACTCTAGTAGTAGGATTACTACTCTGTTCTTATCAATTGAGTATGTGTGTAAGTGTGTAATGTTAATCAAGAAGTTCACCAATTTTTAAGCGATAGATAATTGCGAAAGATTTATCGCTTAATTTCCGATTTGATAGGTTCCAAACGCCAGCGAATGTGTATCTCAACTAAAATATCTATTCTCCGGTGTATTTAAATACCGCCAACAAAACTAAATAGTTTAGACAATAGGCTCACTATTGTCTAAATGATTTAATTTTCAATTCAATCGTCTAATTCTTTTGAACGTTGTTTACCAGAAATGTAAACAAGACTGAGGCCTTCGTAAACCTTCTTTATAACAGCAACTTTACACTCTTAAACTCAAACATAGGTCGCTTGCAGAATTAAAATCGTTTCTCAGCCTACCAGAATAAAGGGATTAATGAATCAATGAAAAGTTAATACGTAGAAATATTAACTTCCAACAGCTGCACAATATTCGTCTCTATTGGGACGTTATAAGGGTTAAATCGAATGGAAAACATATTGACAGTTGGTATGTGGGCAACGGTACGTGAAACGGCTTCATAGTACTTATAGTGTCGTAAAATAAACTCGGGTAATGTGGGTATATCGTAAAATTTCCACGTAAAAGGTTACATTTTGCATAGAAAACGATCAAGGCACGCAAACGCTCCAAAAATGTAAAAATAAGTACCAATATTTTATCTTCTAAGTTACAGATATATAGGCACTATGTTAAGGATTATGTTTAATTTTTATCTGCAAGAACACTCTATAAATGACAATAAAACGCAATAAAAATAATCGTCGCTACGTAAGAAGGGCAGTACTTATGCACGTCAGTGACTAGTATACAGTAGTATTTAATTATGCATAGACAATAGAATATGCTGTTAAACTATCCATGTGTTTCCATAAACACGGAATACATTGACAGTGATACATATATGTACTTTGATTGCTGTATAAAAACAGCCAAGTAGCTACTGCACGATTTGAATATCGCATAACCGACACAGTAATAAGTTTATTTAGAAAATCGACTGCAAAATCTATATATTTGCTTGTAACACAGTGACAATTAATCAGCTATGTTTTAGTTACAAAATACTAAAACATAGCTGATTCTCATTCGTGCTATGCTATAATATAACTGTTTTACTCAATGACCTGAGTACTAACAGAGACCTGGCTTAATTTCATAATTAACTCAGAATTATTGACACGTCTAGTCCCAATCTAAGCAGAGATTTAGATTAATACTAAACAACTGATAGAAATACTTACACACATGTTGTTGTTCATTATATACAAAATATTTAAATGAGTACAAACAATCATACTCTTGAATATAAATGTTTGTAACATGCTTGAATTAAAACCGCAACTATAGTAAGTAAGACGATACGTTAAACCGCTACACCACCGCGGAACACTAAAATAAATAGAAAGGAAGTAGTATCATAATCCTCTGAAATTGTACTGAAATTCCAATAAGTACCAATGAAGTGTCCTATAATACCCGTGTTACACTAAAATAACAATGCCATACCATCTACCCTCCACCATTAGCCGTAACCGTTTACTAAAAAATCCTTTACACGATGCCCATATGCGTTGGGACTCCATTCATTTCGTTGTTAAGAAATTAGGAAAAAGGGAAATCTTTTTCATATCGATTGAACCCACTTTCACAGGCTAGCGACGTACAATAGCCACGCATTGTTGCATTGAAAACGGCCAGAATGGGCATACGAAATACGTGTTATAACGTGTCTATTAGGTACCTATATAGAACTGGCACGTTTCTATATGTACGTGACATATTCAAGAGGATTTGAGCTTCGTTTGCGGTTTGAAAATCTCATAAGACAACATATTGCGGAAAAATGTGAAATCAGGAATAGTTAATATAAAATTAGGGATATTAAAAATTACCAGGTAAGACTAAAACCAATATTATCCTAATGATTTCAGTTTCAAAATACCGAATATAATAAAATAGTAGTTAAGTAGATACTATATATATTTTTTTTGTATCTTAAACGATTATCGCTTAACAGTAAATGTGCATATTATTTTAGTATTTACAAATAATAAATAATAATAATGTGGTAATGTTAACATTGATTAAAATATACGTATATTCATTTATACAATTAACCCGCTTTATATCTGTCCTTTTCAGAATAAAATATTGAAACAGAATAAAGAAAATTTATTTTACTTTGCTAATAGTTAGAAAGAATCTGTAATTTTTAGAAACGAAATATGATATTTAGTTTATGCGAAATACTTCCACTAAATTCCCCTGTCAGATATTTGCATGTAAGCAAGGAAAATATCTGCCACTCAAAGTATTCAGGTAAAATGCGCAAAACTTAAATACGAAATGTTTTGAATAAAGTTAAAGGTTTTCCCCACTGCAGTATTCTGTATACTTACCCTGTCGAGAAAAGCTTTGATAATAATAATTTATTAAAACATAAATCAATAGCCGAGCGCATTACTTGACAACTAATACATATATTGGCTATTATTTGTTGTATCAGAAAATTATTTTTATTATTAAATTTATGGAGAATATTTATAACGTTGCTTTGTAGGGAAAAGTTAAAAGTCATCTCCACAAAAAATATTGACGAATGACGTACAATTTAAATTTCACGCTTTATAAAATGAAACATTTTCTTTATTAATATACTCGTGCGAACCCGGGGAGTGTAGTTGGTAAAAATATGAAACAATTAAAATTTGTAAATAGTCATTTAAGTGTAAGGCATCCATCAATGTCCAAACGTATACTTTCATTAAATCAATTGGATTTTTTTATGTCGTCCACTCCATAAAATGCCACAAAATAATATCAGTATCATAAACGAAATGTTTTATTTGTTTAATTGTTTGACATTCAACCACGCTTAAACTGCTTTCGAGTTAAATTTTGGTATGCAGATTGATTAAATCCTAGATTTACATATACAATTATTTTATCCGAGTTATTGTAGTAACACCATAGGGTACATAAAGTTAATAATAAATACAGAAAATTTAGGACACAATCTCAATTTAAACGTGACCTTATCCAATTTTGAATAGTTCAACCAATAATCGAACCGGGGAACTGGTATAAACCGATATGCCTAACTACTGCCCTCTGATATAATCCAATAACGGAATATAATGGGAACAAGGTGGTGCAGGTGGAATAGTGATGGTGCTAATTGACACCGTGCAGCTTTTGTCCCCGGAGAACAACCAGCTGCCAATGTAGTTAATAGTGTTGCACTGAATCTTTTATTAATCTTGATACTCTATACACTGAAATGCATCAAAATGTCAAATAACGTACAGTACAACAGCGATATGACGTATCATATCACATGTAATGTAATAACAATAGGCCAGGACAATTCACGCAACGCTATCTAGTAACAAACTAATCAGATCTTTGATATAATGAACAACAAAGGAATACTTTAATATTTTTGCATATGGGGATAGCTAGATCAACAAGCATACCCTGTATATACTAGCCGTAACTCGCGATCGTCTGTTTTTTTTAGTTTAAGATAATCTTACACAGATTCACTCCCGTGATATAATTTCGAGTTAAATTTCATTAAGATCATATACCAAATAAAAAGACAGGCACTGTTTGTCATTTATACATGACTTTGTCTGTACAACTTTTACAATTCATCGCCTATTACGCTTCACTCTAGATTCTTTTTGAGATAAATAGTAGCATACCTATGTTGGTCCTAATGATACAATTTTCACAACTTATCGATTCAACACGAAGATGGTCATGTTGAATCAATAAGTTGTGAAAACGTACAAACAGTCAGACCTATTTTTGCATTTATAATATTAGTATAGATTAGTACAGAAAGTAAGTATCTGCTTCATTACTGAAAAATAAACACAGCGAGCTCTACTCACTAAATAAATTAAAACAAATTACACCAAACTATTAGACGTGGAAATGAATACCCATAGAGGATCCCCTAACGTGTTCCATGCGTCACAGGAATCCATTTGCGCAATGTCCCTTTGTGCAATTTTCTTTGCATTAACGCATATACACCCCAATGCCAATTCACCGCCATTTATCACACTTGTGCAAACATGTAAACTATGCCGTGTATATTGCCGCTACACTACGAATTAGGACAGAAGCAATTGGCTGCTCTAATTCTGAATAATTTATTTCATCTGCAATAAGATATGCACAGCATAGCATTTATAATTGTAAATGAGGCATAAGATTGATAGTATAAAAGATATGCTCTGCACGTCATCTATAAATACAATAATGTATATTGTATTTATAGATGAAGTGCAGAGAAATGAATTCCATGCCATAAAATTATTATTTTTCTTTTACATATTCTTTTAGTCTTTTACTAATAAAAATATAAAGAATAATAATTGCAAAATATCACCGATTAATAATAATTATTTACTTTACTTGTTAGTTAGACATTAGTCCCGACTTTCTGTTTCACATGTAGAAGCATGAGGTCTAATAATTCTAAAATAATTAATATTTATCATAATAACCTTAATCCAACGATTTTTCTCTGAAATGTTTTCATCAACTAATTTCTCACCTTACAATTAGATAGAACGATGAGAAATATATAATAAATAGATAGATATCAAATTGCATAATTTAAAAATTATGCAATTTGATATATATTCGAAATATTATCTTCCATAACCAATTAGGTGTCAACTGGCGTATTATTGTCCACTCTTACCTATATATGAGCTATAAACCTCCACCCACACATGTAAACGTAAGTGTGTTGTATCTTTCCGAACGACGAAACACCAGGGATGCCAACCGTATGAGGATCCTTCTACAAATATCGAGATTTTTAGCCTTTGGTACGACGATATTTTCACTCTCTTAAAATCTACAAAAATCCAAATACTATGGTAAACCAAGTTACAGAGCGTAATTGAGCTGAAGTGCGAAATTGAGTTTATCAATTTTTTTCGAATTGTTTACCACAGTTATTCTGCAAAAAGGCATTTAAATGAGTATCACAGTCTTACCTATATCAGTAGACAAGCATTTTACTTTGAAAACTGTATTCCGGTTTTTGGCTGTAGATTAGACACAGAAATTAGGATGAAAGGCATGACATCTTAGTCCTCTGAAATAGCGACACATGAGTGGTATCGCATGATAATGTAAAGTCTGTGCTGTTAATATATATAGGTGATGGTTCAGGTAGGCAGTCAGCATGTATTCCATTGCAACATAAAAAAGGTGTTGACAACCCTGCGAGGCACTAACATCCAACGTTCGTCCATTACGGCCCGACACGGTTAGTTATCTACTATTGATCTGGTCCAATTAAGTGCAGCGACGCCCTGGGGAGTCCTGCCCTTACCCACGCACTCATAACTCCAAAGTTATATATTACAGTTAGTTAACACTATGTAATATGTTTACAATACTTTTATAATGTACTAGCTGTGACTGAGGTTTCACTCGTGTAAAATTTATAGCCTATATATTATTCTCATGTATAAACTACATATATTACTGTAAAGTTTCATAAAAATCCGTTCAGTAGTTTTTGCATGAAAGAATGACAAACATCCATACTCACATACGTTCGCGTTTATTAAGATAATATAATAAATAATTATAACCTAGGACAATGCGTCATGTCCCAAATTATGCAGAGGTTGTGTTATGGGTACTACACAACTGATGCAAATACTTAAATACATTTTTTGTAAACAATTATATAATATACTAGCTATTCGCCCCGGCTTCACACAGGTGTACATGTATTATATGTATATATGAACCTTCCTCTTGAATCACTAGTATCTACTAAAAAAACCGCTGCAAAATCCGTTGCGTAGTTTTAAAAAATTAAGCATACATAGGGACAGACAGCGACAGCGACTTTATACTATTGAACACATAGAAAATACCCAGACCGATACAAACAATCATTGATGAATACAAATGTTTACATCATACGAGTATTCGAACTCATGACCATCGGGATTGAAGCGGTGTGCCAAACCGCTAGACCACCGAGATATCTATAGTAGTATCTCGTACTTAAACAACGAATGCCATACGATTGAAAAATTCTGTTCTGATTCCGTTCTTGTTTTCAGTTAGATCATTTCACATGCCGCCCACACGTAATGCGATGGTATTTCCAAATTACAAACCAACTTACTCTTGGCATTCGGAAGACCCTCCTGCTTCCGTGTTTTTATGGCCCTAACGAGATGTGTGACGTGCTTACCGTCGTTTCGGCACGATAACGACATCAGGACACGATCACAAGTGCTGTTGGAAAAGCGAGCATTTTAATAATATTTCTTAGGTAGATATTAGATATTTACTCAAGTTAAAAAAGTAGCAAGGTTTTTTAAGACACGTTTTCAACAAATTCCAGAAAATAATTTCTCAACTTAGTGCATTTTGGTACGCGATATTTTAACGGTTTATTTTTATACTACTACTCCTTAGTAGCTCTATGAGTAGTAGGCATTCAGAGAGCCCCAGGGAGTAGTACCATTCGTCTGCGATTATACTAAAAAAAAACTCCCCGTCATTACCATCTCACCTCCCCATATGTATAAGGGTGTAAAGGCGGCTTAAAAATCATAACATAACATATACAAACCAATGTTACAAAACAAATGTTACAATTTAGTTCTAAAAATTAAACAAAATCTATTATTAATCCAATTATGCATTTATTGGATTAAAAAATATGATTACGGGCTTTTTGAATGATACTGAATACTAAGTATAGCTATGTACTTAATTTATTCCATTCACACCCCAATATTCTGATCACGTAAAACGAATAGCAGAGGTATATTATGCAGTGCTAGTGATCGCTTCTATCCAATTATCGGTTTTCAGACTGTATAGAGGGCACCACTTTAGTACTTAGATAATACTATTATCACAAATGAAATTACTCGTAAAATAAATAACTGTTGCTTATAAAATATTCTACAACGTGTTTCACGTATATTAAATATTTAAAATTATTATGTAATTATCATTCGCCTACATTTAATGTTCAAACACTAAAAAAATAACTTTACTGAGGTACACTTTGTAATAAATGCACGTAGCCAATTTGCAATTTGATTAGCATAACTTAATCAAATTACTGGTAAAATTATAGATAGATACAGATTTCTTCCCTCGCCGAAAATATGCCTACTTTCATTTACTTAGTACCTTTTTATTGTAAGATTTATATGGATTTTATTTCCATATTTATTTTGACGCGCATATGGTGTATTAGATACTAAAACCAGAAGAGTAAACTTTTTTGCATATTGAGTAAACTTTATTGCTTTTTTGTATTAATAGAGATGTATTTGTTTTTTTTCAGATGGGGAACTGTATTCGGGTACAGTCGCTGACTTCAGTGGCATGGAACCTATTATATACCGGGAGCCATTACAAACAGAGCCTTATGACTCAATGACATTAAATGGTAAGTTATTAGAAATACCACCCAGTAAACACAATAAACACTCTATACATGCTACTATCAAAATCTTTTTCTATTAAAGAGAATATTTTATGTTCATTTTCCTAATAAAGAAGTTCCTAGAAAAAATAGAAACATATAGATATTTTTGGCAATCATTTTTGTTAGATTTATGTATATATACTTATTATTTCTAATTGACATTTTACTCTCTTTATATACCTCTTGTTTTATTCTTTCACTATACCTAATCCAACAGGGTAAAAAGCACATGACTCGTAATCATTATATAAATAGTTAAAAGCCAAAATTCAAATTATATAGTGTCGGAAACAAATTTCTATTATTAGTACCTATGTACGAAAAAAGAAGTTTCATTAAGTTTTTTATATGCAAAATTCCCAAGTTACGTAGGAAAAATACTTTGACACTTTGGAAGCTCATATCTCATGAACGAATCTTATCTCAAGAAGAGATATTTTTAGAAAAAACTTCCTTTGATTTATTATTTTTCCAAAGACTTCTAAGGCACTTGACACGATACGGGCTTGTTTCTTCTAAGAATAATTATTCTTTAAAGATCTAGTAGCAATAATAGTAGATCTAGTAGGCGATCGGTAATAGCATTTATAAGTGGTACAGCTAAAGTCACGTAAGTGGCAGGCTGATTTGCTCCCTAAGCTATAAAGAAATAAAATAATTAGATAAGTACCTACTGTTTCTTTCTGTTTATCGTCTCGTCTGTTTATCTTCTTTGATCTCTTATTTTATTTATTACTATATCTATTGACTTTCTTGTACATTTTGTTACATTTTTCCTCATCATTGAAAGGTTAGGAAGCACTGCCCTATATAGTCCCGTGAAGTATTCGCTTAAACTTTAACTGAGAAACTTATAATCCGAAAACAGACAGTGGACTACACGGACAAACATTATCCAGCATTTGATAATGTCTAAACAACTATTCCAAATAAGTAAAGTGGGGAATTGAAAATATTTTTTAAAACGTAAAAAAATTCTGTATATATCATATTTATATATCATCATTACATAGTATAAAACAAAGTAGCTGTCGCTGTCTGTCCCTATGTATGCTTAAATCTTTAAATCTTGGCAATGAATTTTGAATCGATTTTTTTTTATTTTTAATAGATAGAGTGATTCAACAGGAAGGTTTATATATTAATTCATACATCCGCCTGAAGCCGGGGCGAGTAGTTTGTTATATATATAAACCTTTCTCTTAAATCACTGTATCTATTGCTGAACAGTGTATTAAATCCGTAGAGTTTAAAAGATCTAAGCAAACAGATAACGGAAAAGACTTCAGTTTATACTATGTAAAGATTTTCGGATTTCCACTATGCTTCTTCGAGAAGATCGTTCAGACTCATAAATATTTTATCTAGCTTTCGATTTGGTTTTACTACTTAATAAGTATAAAAGTTGTAACTTCAGATTTTTTGCCACTAAAACTGCATTGTGAATTATTCAAAGAAAAAAATAATAAATGATCTATGTGGATCAATCGTTTTTTATTTGAGGTTGTATTTCAATGTTGCACTAAAACTTAAACATACAAAATATAATTGTAAAAAATAGATTGTTTTCATTTTGGAGCATACGAATATTTCGGCTTAATAACTAGTAATTCATGAAACTAGTTGAATAACGTATCTATTTACTTTGCCCAACTACTATGTTTACGCTTCCGTCACGCCCGATTGCTTCCGAATGCCGCTGTCAAACATACATCCGTCAATTTAATTGAATTTAGAACCGGGCTCAGTCCTGGCAACTCGCTGTCACTGCTGACGTTTGACATGTCAACAAACGGCAAATCGGATTAGGATCGTATTAAAATTATCACCGCGGCGACGATACGGTTATATATGTCTGCATAACGAAGTATTAAATTAATATGTTACACGCTGTAGTTATAAGTTTATGATTATCTCTATTAGCATTAATATGCTTCGATTAGTAAGTTTAATAATCGAAACATAATCTGTTTGACGCTCCAAGATATTATCTGGTTGTCTTAACCCTCACATTTCCATAGGGAATTCCGCGAATGAAACCTCATCAGTTGTCGTATCATGTCGAAAGTATATATATATGTGCATAGGCTTATGTGGCTACTTAAAGATATCTTTGCATTCGTAGTGGTGTAAGGTATGTAGGCACACTAGCCCTGCCGGACGCCTCTACAATCGATCCCTGACCATTCAAACAATGATCGAAATTACGACAGCCAGACCCAAGGTTTAATCACCTAGCGGCACTCTCAGACTGAAGTCGTATACTTCAGGCGTTGGTCTTCAGCCGCTATATAAGTCCTTCCGCGTGTTTGGAGTACCCTTGTTACTTTTGGAGTGCGCATGCTACTTTTTTTCGTCCGGTGAAGCTGTAAAGGCCAGCAGCAAGCTGTGTGCTGCAAGTATTGTTTAGCGTTAGCTTATTCCATCATTAATGCCAGACGATCATCAAATGCCAAAAAATCTTGAAGATGATTTGTCTGTACATTTAGACTAGCTTTGACTGCGCGACACTGGACTATATTACTACTACCACTATTTACACATCTGTATACCTATATAAACCTATAACAACACTACGAACTGAAGATATTAATTTAGATAAATTTGCTTTCAGCTCCAGATTTCGTGAACTCATTGGTGCACGGTAATTTCGTGTACTTTTTCTTTCGAGAAACAGCTGTGGAGTACATAAATTGTGGAAAGGTGATTAGTTATTTTAAATATAATAATTTTAATGATATCCTAAAGGCAATTGACCTTCTTATTAATAATAAACATTTAACTTATTATTATTACATTGTTAGTTCCTTTTGACTTGAAACTAAATTCGACTGACAGTATATTTCACTTATTGCAAGTATGTAATTAGAGATACATATTTTTTATTTGTTTTTTTAATGTTGGTGAACTGTTTACCAACTAAAAATTTAGAACAATTATAATGTTGCATTACTTATGCAACAAGACACCTTAAACTTTCTTGTTTGGTCTTATCAAAAAATAAACGCACGTATTGTGTGACCACTTTTCTTAATTAAAGTAAATGCATTATATTTAAAAAATACTTGTATTTTGAAGTTTATGTACTAGCTGTTAGTTCTTAATTATTATACTAAGTAAATCTACTATTTCCCTCAGTCGGTGTTCTCTCGCGTGGCGCGAGTGTGCCGAGATGACAGAGGCGGGCCCCACCGCTTCAAGCAAAGATGGACTTCCTTCCTAAAGTCGCGACTCAACTGTTCCGTCGCTGGCGACTTTCCATTTTACTTCAACGAGATTCGTGAGTATTGCTATTTTATTACCTACAATGTGATTATGGGATGTTATTGTAATAATTTCTTATTTTAAACAAATTAAATTGTGCAATGAAAATTTTGTTTTTTGACGTTTGCAAATAAAACCTAGTTAGCTAGTGATATATTCATTAATTAAACAAGTTCTTGTTCTATTGTATTCTAAATGTATCCAAATTTAGATATATATTAGACACCTTGAGTATAACTTCTTTAACGGGAACACTAGGCAAATTCATAAAATCAATTAGTTCCTCGAAGATTCGACCATGAATATACGAGTGTCGACACCATGATCCCATCGTACAATTGGTATTTCCAATACGTAATATAATAATATTTCCTTTTTAAATACTTAAAGAATTAAATAAATAAACATCATATGTATTTATTCTTACAGAATCAACAACTGAGCTTATAGAAGGAGTATACGGTGGGCTCAACGCTCAGTTGATATATGGAACATTCACAACTCCACCAAACAGCATATCGGGGAGTGCGGTCTGCGCGTTCAGCATGCAAGACATCGCTGACACCTTCGAAGGCACCTTCAAGGAGCAGAGCGCGATCAATGCCAACTGGCTCCCAGTTAATAGTGCAAAGGTATGATAAAAACTATCATAAAACCATCTTGATCCGAGGTAGACTTCACAGACTTCTATCTCAACTATTTCAGCATGCTTTATAAGATGTTTTCCATCTTAAAGGATGATATATGACAGTAAAATTAATGTAGAAAGACATAACTCTTTTTGTCTAGAATGGCAACACATGACGAATAGTATGTGCGTCACATGAATACGTGATAGCCATAGTGCTATTCATATATATAGGTGACGGATTCCACTTATCATGAGGAAGTCTGTTTTAATGGTTTCGATTCCTTATATAATGTAAACAGTTCTATTCAGGGATATGATAGTTTGTATCGTTCTAGGCGTTATATATGTATAGTATCTATCTATTTACAAAAAAATGTGTTTGCAAATTTATATCTATTATAGTACACATAACAGACTTGCTTGCTTACCTTGGGATGGCGCTGTGCGGATTGTCCAGTGTTATTATTATTATTTAACAATTTCAAGTGATAAAAAAGTTGCAGTTATCGACTAGAATATTATTCAAAGTGTCATTTATGTTATAGGTACCAGAGCCTCGTCCGGGCACATGTCACAATGACTCGAGACAGCTGCCGGACCCAACGCTCAACTTCATTAAAGCGCATGCTTTGATGGACGAATCTGTCCCCGCTTTTTTTGGGGAACCAATAGTTATAAGGACCAGTTTTCAGTAAGTGTCACTTTACTAGCAAATTAAAATTAATATACATTCATGGCTATTAACCCTGATGGGTTAGTCAGAAATATTGTCAATGCACGCCCACATTTCTCTTGATATATGTATTTTTTATTCAAGGGAAAATTTACAGGAATTGAATGGAGCAATAGCAAACTAAATAAGTTCGATGAACGTTGGTAACGTCTATCTTGTTTGATTTGTTGTTGGTATTTCCATCACCTGAGAATCGGATAGAAATATGAATTGACGCAAAATGTTTAGTGTGAGCCAAATTTGAACTCACGTCCTATCCGTCTTATTGGCGGTAATAAACCACTAAGCAACTACACTCTGACGTACTACGTAAATACTGCCTGAATAATTTATACGATGATAATTCTACATTAGGAATTTTAATATAATATACATACTTTGGATAAGACAGTTTTTTTTATATATATTTATTTATTTACACAATCATAATGGCTATATTTTTTTTACAGCTATCGATTTACGCAAATCGCTGTAGATCCACAAGTGAAAACACCAGGAGGCAAAGCATATGATGTGCTATTTATTGGCACAGGTAATATATTGTGAAAATTTAATTAATTCTATATGTGAATTATTTTGATAGAATATGTTTTGATTAGGAATTATATTTTGGCAACAAAAATATTTCTCATGCATATCAAGGAACCTTGCCCCTGTCACATACTGATAGATTTTTTAAAACACAATACTGATCTATCAGTCTTTTTTGTCAGAGGTATACATACAGTTATCAGCTGTGAATTCTGTGTTGAATATTTGAAATGCCTATAATAATAATAATTATATAATATGATTTAGAAATTAGTACGTAACTACAAATTGTAAATGATTTTTAACATCTTAGTATAATCAAAGCTCAAATACTCGTGCCAAACATAGTCTCTCATTAAACTTCTGGTGCCAATTACATATATTTATTGCCCTTTTGAATACAAAATTTCAAGTAGATATTAGATTTTTTTAATATATATTACTTTCTTTAATTTTATTTACGCAAATTAAAATGTTTTACAGATAACGGCAAAATCATAAAAGCAATCAACGCCGTTTCGTACGACTCCAATAAGCGTGCAGTGCCAGTAGTAATCGAAGAGCTACAAGCATTCGCAGCTGGTTCCCCAGTGCGGGCACTACGGGTAGCCCGCGCTGGCCGAGACGCTGCCAGGCTAATAGCCGTATCTGATAGAGAAGTCCTCAGTTTGAGGCTGCATAGATGTTCCAGTGACAAGATCAGCTCTTGTTCGTGAGTATTTTATAGTTCATTTTTCTGTATAGCTGACCCACAAGCCGCGGGAGTAGAAAACCTGACAAAATACTTAATATCAATAATGTCATGTTTACAATTTTACCAAGGAATGCACTAGGCCCTATTTTTATTTCATTAGGAAAATCAGAGATGCTTTGTTAGTGATATTACATTTTGCATAAAGAATAAAGCTATAATAACATTAACAGTACTTGCCCTAAGTACCCATATTTTTAAATATATAAAACTAAATAATAAATGAAACTCGCTTATACCCAGTAAGCGTTTCTATGCCTTCTCTTTTAACGCGTACTTATTGTTTCAGTGAATGTGTGGCGCTGCAAGACCCATACTGCGCGTGGGATAAGCAAGCAGGTCGTTGCCGAGCGTATTCTCATGGTGTCAGTCGCTGGCTTGACGAGAATTCCTTCTATCAAAGCGTCAGCACTGGTAGTCATGCTGCCTGCCCTCACAGTATGTAGTCCTCTCTCTCTCCTTTTTTCCTTTTTCTATCTTATTTCTTACATCTTACTAATATTACAAAGATGAAAATTTGTGATCTATTCATCCATTCATACTCACAAATATAGCTTATGAGCAGAATAACACATAGGCTATAATTGAAAAAGATATTACGTAAATTGGGCGAAATATATGTCAAGTAAGTGCGATGCAGACAAATTATGCGGATAAGCTAGTTAGATAATAATTGTGTCAGCTTTTCGGCCTAAAACTAACAAGAATGCCCCGTTTTTCTTTACAACTCCAATGTAAAACTGATATCTTGAATATGGGTCTCATACCAAGATAAACAAAAGTTTTGGAACATGGGTCTCGTGTCTTAAAAAGATGGGAAAGGGAAGATGTTTAGTCAAACACTGAAAAAATTAATAATGATCTGTATTTTAGGTAAAGATGCAGGCGCCGTAGGTGGTTTAAGTTCAGGGCTTTACGATGACGCTCGGGAGACTAAAGGAGAAGTAATCAATATAGTACAAGACAAAGATGGAAAAGGGGGCAGTAATAACAATGAAGGTATATAATATTTTATTATTGCACAAATTAAGAAAAGGTTTTTTTTTGTAGGTTTAATTAATATTTAGTAATACCTTAAAAAAGTTTTAACAGTAGAAAAATCACTAACAATATTTAAAATTTTTAAATATTTGTTTGTACTTTCGAATTAATAGCTTTTAACTAATTTCATAAGAAAGCATATACAATAGTCACATTAAAAATGTCTGTTTTACTAATCTAAGAATAAGAGTAAGAGATAATTACTAAGTAAGGAGTAAGAGATAATTTACTAATTTAATATAGGAGTAACTTAAACTACTTTTGTTTTAGAAATTTTATTTGTTTTAATAAATTAAAAAGTATCACGCCGACAAATACCGCTAGTAGAAAATTTAACTCTAATGAGCCTTCTCACCTGTAATGTCTGAAAAATCAAGAAGTCTTTACTTTATGTTAATAGAGTTAAGAACCATTTTCGTAATTAGATTTTTTTATACTACCATGGTGACAAACAGTCATACGGCACATCATCATACGGTCATTATAAACGGATTCCTCTGTACACACATATATAATATCTATTTTATTTTTCTCTATTAAAATAAAAAATGTTGCGGGTAAATGATACGATGTTGTTGGTCGAGACGATGTGTATTACAGATGATAATAAACTATATGTACATTGAAATAATGATCTTATATACTAAATAACAATAGGAAAATGTAAGGTGGAGTGACACAGTTTAGACACGGCAGTGCTTAGTAGACAGTATTGAATTTGTCTTACTAGCCATTATTATCTAGGTATAATATCTAGGTACTGTGTCCCATAAAAACTATCAAAATCAGGAGGTTCCTTATTTTTACAAAAATTTTGTACGACGTCCGCTTAATATGACGTATTCGATTTCCCTGCCATTATAAATGTCATCGTAAACGGATTCCACTGTAATTGTAAAATGATAGGGCCGGAAGTGTTGGCGGCAGATCCCCCGCCGGCGGCGTACTCGGTGGAGACGCTGGCGCTGGCCGTGGCGGCGGGCGCGCTGGCCGCGCTCGGGGCGGGCTTCGCGGCCGGCTACGTCTGCGGCCGCCGCTGCAAGAAGGACGACGACGACAACATGCCCTACCCCGACACAGAGTACGAGTACTTCGAGCAGAGGCAGAATATTAACAGGTACGTGTCGACATGGATTTATGGTCACATGAACATGAGCCTATCTCTGCGATTAGCCAGCAAACTTCCTGTGTAAGATAGATTTGTTTCCGTTGATATGCCAGTGAAATTATAGAGTATAAGTGCATGACATCTCCAGAGTCCTTCGAGAGGATGGCGACGGTTATCACTTACTCTTCACGCAGGTTTTTTACCATTCCAATTATATGAAAAAACCTATACGATTTACTTATGTTTGCATTGTTTGCAATTTACATTTTTACCCATGTTTTTAATTACCAATTTTTTACATTTTTATGTAGATTTTTTTTTTTTTCAACTATGATGCAGCATCGAATTATACGGGCCATCGGATGGTAAACGTTTACCTGCCTTCCAGATATAGATACTTTACAACCATGCGAGTCCACAAGTTTAGTATACATAGTTGTATCATTCTGTCGTAGCGTAAAAATTATGATTTTATTAAGCATACTTTTTATTTGTCATTGTACCGTACAAACTAATAAAATTATTATTGCCCCACAGGATTCAAGCAGAGCCGAAGCTGCTCCAACAAGTAGAAGAAGTAACGTACGCTGAGCCGGTGCTGGCGCCGCAGCCGAAGCCGGCGTCCCCCCGCGCCACGCTCCGCAAGCACCCCCCGTACCACCCCCACCACGAAACACTGTTCCAGTTCCAGCCCGACGCGTACAGACGCGACAACTTCGGAACACTCCGCTCTCATCAGGTTAATGTCAGTTGTATTCTTTGTTCTATTGCACGGCTTCATTTCTTTTCAGGTTCATATATATAATCTAATAATTTGGTGCTGGAGGCAAGGTAAAATATCCGCTGCCTCTCAGTCAAACACAATTATTATTACGAAAACTTCTGCCGTATAAAAGAGCCGCAGCTGAAGTCAATATGTATGTGAAACAAATAAAAATAATTGAAAAAATCTACTAAGACAAACATAGTAGTCAACTTAACTATATAAATTTTTAAAACAGATCGGTCACTGACGTTACCCTCCTGAACGTTTAAAAAGGATTGATATCAAATTCCTAATATAATATCAAGTCTGCTTCCTTGCAGTATCTCTTAAAAGCATTGTGATTGGTTCGTAGTGTATTCATCACGATTTGCTGCTTGCTGGCCTAACTTTATTCTTATTAAGTCATCCTCCACCTATATATGAAACGCACGATATTGATGAACTAACATTAGGTAACTACATATTAAATTAGGTTTAAAGAATTGATTGAACCAAGATAGCAACGATGACTGACTCCGGAACAATATTGTTGAGTTATTTATACATTAAAGTAACTCAACAGTTCTTAAATACTTAAACATAAATGTCACCGACCCTATCACTTATTCTTGTAGCTCAGTTAACATCAAATGAGAAGATCCAGTGAATTCTTGACAAAATGAAGAAAATCTCTCTAATTAAAATAAAAAAAATAATTAGGTATATACCTAATCTTAAAGTGATATTCATTTTTTTGTCAAGCAAAGAGCAAAAAGTACACAAACATAATCGATAAGCACCGAGAAAGCAAGCATCTCTTCTCACCTACCCGAAATGTTAATTAATACTTACAAGTAATATCAAATGTTAATTGTAGGCGTGGAAGTATCAAGAGAACCGATAGATCTCCAGCAATCGAACATCTTGTTATTAATGTTTATATAGCGAACATGATCCTGTTTTTAAGGGTACCTTCTACCATTGCAGAAACATTACCTCATCTTTTGCATGATTTAACAACAAGCACCCGCTCTTTCTTACACACGAACATTATTTTAACCATTCTATTATTAACATTAACTTACACTAATGTAGCTTTAAATTAAGTAACCATAATATTACTTCCGTTCAATCTTATTGAATCATTAATATTAACGGCAAATAACTTGAACAAAAAATAACCAAGTCAATGAAACTCGCTCAGCTGTTGACCTAAAAGTTTAACTACGCAAGTCACATGATATTAAAATGTTGCTCAGGTTATTTGCCGCTTTCTCTAACAATGCATGATTTCATGGCAAATGATATGTCGATCATTTCAATTAATCATTTCATGTTATCATATCATTGCTTAATCATCTTACAACATCGAAATATTCATCAGTTTCAGCACTAAAAAAATAATACATATAATTCAATTAGCTTGGAACTCGTTGAGTCTTTGTAAATTGTCCAGTAAAAAAAAAAGTAAATAAAATTTCCTAAATAATTTTTTGTTTGACATGTAAAATTTGAAACTTATGAATATTCGAATGTGCTAATAACCCTTCACCAGCTCTATAACTCACGCACGCATATTCATCGCAGCATGTTAGTTAACACAGGAATATTCGGACCGCAGGGCGATGGGTACAGGCGCGGCAACGACAATGGCTTCTCGACCACGCGCTCAGTGAAGAAAGTGTACCTCTGAGAAACAAGCGGGGCGGACGCGCGCGATCAAATGCATCACCATAAACATAATACGCACCACCATCATACGTTGGGTGAGTGCAGACTTCTTTAATTTGTTTACATTTATACTAGTAATCTTTTGTAGTTTGCTAACAAAATAATTTAGGAGAATGATCCCAAAAAAGAATTACGCGAACTGGTTTGCAACTCCCTCGATTATTAATTCGTTTGTTAAAATATTACATACGTACAATATATTATTACATGATATACAAAGTAGAGCAGCTGAAAACCTAAAAAAAATGTTGTATCGTTCGTAAAGTCTCATGTAGTTCACAAAATATATATATTATAGCACCCGTGGTACAGCTTTTCCATCGCTGTCACTGAGGACTATGTTTTTGGTGTTTTATTTACGTAGTAAAGCTAGCTTGCAGCGGCAGGAATCAATTGGCCAGAGATATCCACGCAAACGACTTTGTACCAATTGCAGTTTATTATTTTCTTGTGATCAGCTGAGCTGATTGAAACTTATACACCTGTACAGTGTCACAGCGCAGCAGCGGCTCGGGTTCAGGGTCAGCGAGCGGTGGCGGGTCGTCGTCGTCGCCGTCTCCGCCGTCGTCCTCGCCGTCACCGTCGGGTGAGCGCCCCCCCACCCCGCCGCCGCCCGCGCCGCAGCCATGCGCCTACATCTACCGCAACTAGCGCGCCGCCCCGCATTCCCCTCACTGGCACGAGTTACTCGCCCCTGTACTCTAACGGACTAACACACTGTTCTAAATTTAAAAATGACATTATGGACGATTAACATTCCAAATTCGAAAGTGCATTGTTGTTATATGAATGGCATTGAAGGTTGCTTTCCCTGAATCGAATGATGACCCTCCCAATAGTTAATGTTTCGTGGTAACGACTACGTACAAGAATGTTGCCTATTACATAGTAATTAAAGTCCATTTCACAAGCGCACCTCCCGAGTCACTGTTGGGTGCGCTTACAATGGCACGAAGATATATGATGTGGATACTAAAATATAGGTCACGAAACTGAATGTGATCAGATACTCTCTTCCATTGAATAAATATATACGTACTGGTGATAATCCACAAACTTAATTGATCGTATCACGTGATCAGGAGAAATGTGACAAAAATATGTATTTTTTTTAAAAGACGGAACAATATTATCGATTGATGTATGTAAGATGAATAATGTAACAAATTGTAGATTGTTTAGACTATACATAGTTTACAAATAATTTAGGTGAAAATATAAGTTTTTGTTGGTAACATGTTGATGAATAGTTAATATGAAACAGTGTCGCTCATTGCAGATTTTATATTCACCTAACATACTTCCTGCCCTATGGTACAAGAGCTTTGTACACCTATTCCATTGTTATAACCCACGTCAACTGTTTTTGTAGATAGGTATAAAAGCTGTACTATTATAAAAACTGTAATGAGGGCATATGTCGCTTTTTTACATACCTACTATTTGTAGTATTACGTCATTAATTATAGGAATGATTCTCTTATTCTAAAGTTCTAGCAGTATAATACGAGTATAACTCGACAACACTTATAACGACACCCGTTGTAAACATAGTTCGAAGCAAGTATATTTCGTTTTCATGAGAAATATTACACGAGTGCAATTATTAGTGTTGTCGCGTTATTACTAGAATAAACGACGATTATAACGTTATAGTTGAAACCAATGAACATTATGAAACACAAAATATGATATAAATTATATTTACCATGTATAAATGATATATAAAGTTCTGATACTTATTCATTCATTAAAAAGTGCTTCTTATGGGTGTATTTAGATTATTAGGAGATCGTTTTGATAATTATTCGATAATGTTATAGATTTAGCGTTTATGTATACATAGATACATAGGATATAAGAGGGCACTGTGATGCCACATTGCCAATTTAGATTGTTGGTGCATCATAGTAAGGTTACGACGTGTAACTGTGATCATTGTGTACATACATTCTGTAACACTAAAAACATTTCCTTTCTAATCTACTGTTGATTCTAAATTTAAATTTCCAGAAAAGTGGGCCAAACGTTAAAACTCCTTTCTCGATAAAACATAGGTTCCTGTTGCTATTTTATATCGTAAAAGAGATACTCATGTCTTTCCTAAAAAAAAGCTAACTCGTTTGTAATCTAGCTAGTCTTCATTTTTTTTACCTTTAGTAATGAATAGAACTCATCTTCGCTCATTGTTGACAATTGAATGTGTGTAATGAAAATGTCAATTCTATTTGTAATGACTTAGTGCCTAAGTATACGCAACAGGATTGTAATTTGTAAATTGCAATATCTCATTTTTGTTTTGGACTGATATTAGAGCAAGCATTAGAAGCCACTAGAGTAGCAAAGTACAGTAGACGACTGTTAAATATCTGCTCTCTAACATCTTTAATGAGGTCATTGCGAAGTAAAAATAGAAGTGTCGCCTCATTAAAGTTATTGGAATGCAAAACTAATGTTATTAACAATAATAATAAAGAGGCATTCGCAAGTTTGCCTTTGTAATACTCAATATTATTTTTATTTAACATTATTATACGTACCAAAGATGCCATGATTTTCATGTAAATTATTTATTTATAGTAGTAATCGCTAATAACGTATTACTTAATAAATTTAATAGTTATTTTTAATTGTGAATGGAACTGCCAATTCGTATATTACTTATTTATAAATAACCAAAGTAAACGCACACGTGACGGTTTATTTTTATTATTATATGTATCATGCGTTATATTGTAATAATATAGAAGCTTTTACACGGCCAGTTCGGATTTAATTCACGGACTTAAAAAATGATAACCAGCGTTAGGACAGAAAAAATATTGTGGTTATATGATAATTATATCGACGACATATAACTTTTGAAATGGAAATCAAATACAACTATATTTATGTATGTCATGTTTTATTCTTGACATTAAGCACAAGTATGGAAGTCGTCGATTAATAGTTACTCAAGACTGAATGTATATCTTGCTTGACTTTAATTTTGAATATGGACGGTTATCATTTTTGCAGTCAGTAATTATTAAAAAAATGTAACACGTACATACGTAAGGGAGGCTAGTACTTGTAAATAGCGAGTTCTGTAATGATAAATTTAGTTTTCGTCGAGTAACTAAAGTAAGCATTAGTGTGTAAGCGCAAGAAATTTTTGAAGGTGAATTGTTAAGAATTGTTTTTGTATTAAGTAATTAAAAATATTAATGAAATGTACAATAACCATTTCTACGTTTAAATTACTGAACCACCTTTTTATACTCGTAACGATAATTGTAAACATAAACATGCCTAGAGTCTCTTGTATTAAGCGTAAATTATTGATTTATAATATATTGAGGATTATATATAGAGCGTATCGTACTGTAGTCTATTATAGACCGCTTATATTTTGTTTTGGAACTCGAAGCCTTAGTGTTAGAAATTGAAGACTTTTATTAAATTAAAGAATTAAGCAACTGTATTTACAGAATATTGAATTTAATAATAAAATGATCTAAAATGTTATGATAGGTACAACACGGTACCTATATATAGCGCGTTTGTATCACATTTATCTCGAATTATCCATGATCATAACTACAGTTTATTAACATTTATTAATGTAAATATATTTGGGATTGAGTTCCAACGATTACTAAGTTGTTTATTTTTGTGTGCAATATTCTTTTCCTTAATTTCATTCTAAAAAAATGTGCATGATTTAAAACAAACGGCACGAGTCGGAAAGCAAATTAAAAAGTATGTATATAAAAGTTCATATTAGCATGAAACGAAAACACACATCACTGGCGTCCATAAAACTGTCACTGACGCGGTACGTACATTCGACGAATCGCAGATCGCAGTCGATTTTACGCATATTGCGTGAAATATGTGCGTATTCCGCGAAACATTCCCGAGTCCGCTACGGGAATTACATGCGCATTCTATGGTAGATCATTGTCTTCATAGAAAAAGAAACGCGGTTTACTGCCAACCGGGTGGATGACGTATAATTCAGGTTTACTTTTCTGATGGTACGCTTCTAATAACATTCGTTCGAAGCACGCTATGTGCCATTTGTACTAAATCCTGTAATATATTTTTTTAAATTTCGAAATACTAGCTGCTATTACTTCAGCTGTGGGCTGTTGCATCACGATTGTTTCGTGTTTTTAAAGTGAAACTTTATGTGAATCAACACATGCGTAACATTATACATTGCCTTTTAATTATATTAAAATTATTTAGAACAGTTCTTTCAATGAATATAAAATGATTTAATATTTTTATTTATGATACTTTATAATGAACAATTTAATACTGATTTAATGAGAATGTACCTACACGATTTTTTGGTATTGTTTGAATATCATACTAGAGACGACATACGATTACACAGTACCTACTTTCTATTACTTTTTGAGAAAAGTAATGATAAAAATTAGCTGTGATTGAACAATTCGTGATTAGCAGATTCGTAGTTGCTCCTTACAAGAGCCGAAATTTGCTGTGATTTGTCGAGTTTTTTTTACCGTAAACCTAAACGAAAGGAAATATCTATTTCTCAATGAGAAAACCCAAGCAGCTCAAAACGCATTGGAGATTTTCAATAACCTCTGACGGACTATAGACTAGAGGAAATCCCAGAATAAGGATGATATAAAGACCTCCATATAGTTAAAGTTTCTTGAAAAGATCTCTTTACGAAGCCACCTCCCGTATTGAAAGCTTTAAGCCTGTTGTTATGGGAAGTGCCTAACTATTTAAATACCTCTGTAATATTAACTGCATTCACTTACTCGGCGTAGTTTCTATAGTGTGCCTTCAGTATCACACCTAGCTACTGCCCTTTAGAGATTTATGGTACAGAATTGGAATAAAAACAAATATTTAAACTTTTACAACTTAAAAAATTGTACTGTAATTAGTTTCGTGTGGATCGCTCTATAGCGTTTTTCGGGCAAGACAAGACAAACGTAGATAAGACATACAACACAGAACACAAAAGTAACTTGGTTCTGATCTGTGTCCGCAAACGAGAGAGCGGGAATTTTAAAAGAAATGTAAAGGGGTGAAAACTTGTATTTAAAATTATGATTTTGAGAATGAACCTTTGGATACTTGTATGAGAGAAAACTTAGATTTTGATTCTGATTGGCAAAAGAAGATATTTTAAATTGAGAAATGTTAATAACATTATTTAAACAATTTATTAGTTAAGTAGTCTATGTCAGGACCGCAATTAGGTACGTGCCGAAACAATCACATTGATTAGTACTTATTATGAAAAATATTTTTATTCCAATTCTTTCCTATTAAGTACTTGTCCATTTTTCATCTCAGCGATTGTTATTTCACCAGTTACTTCCCATAAAACGTTCATAAATATTCTATTGATACGTTCGATCAAATGTTTAATATATTTGTTAAGACCGTATTAATTTGCTTTTTAGACACTCCATAGATTTAAGTAGGAGTTTTATAAATAATTATATTACTATATTAACGCAAAGAGGAAGTGCAGTGATAGAACTGTTACACCGTATTCGCTGCCAGTGTTTATAGAGTGCAATTTTTTTATATACTTATAGAAACAAATAGATTGTAAAACATTGATTTGCAAAATATGAAATAAATGCCTCGAAATGGTCAATGATTTTGTATTTTACTCGTCATTGTTTTCAAATGTTATGATCATTTTCTCATTAAACAATTATTAATATTATGCTAAATATTTTAGCAAAGGATAAAATGTATTCCTTTTCTTTAGTAAATAAAATATTGAAACTTGATGTTGTTGTTTACTTGGTACCCAGAATTATCCTTGTCTACATATTAGAACATACTGTAACTAATACACATATACCTAAATAGCGAGGATCTGGCGCTTAAATACTGTAATACTGTAGGACTTATATATAATCTAGGTATTTCTCAATATGAGCAATTGCGCAAAATAGAACAAACAGGCATACTCACGACTAAAAATATTTTGTATTGAAAGATGAAACGATCATCAAAGATTGAGGCAGTGTACCTACTAAACCACTGCACAACCGAGTTCATGACCGTAGCGAATTCAACATGAATGAACACCTATAATTAGGAGGGCCTTTTTATAATTTACTAGCTACTCACCCCGGCTTCGCACGGGTGTGCGAAATGTATTATATATATAAACCCGCCTCTTGAATCACTCTGCCTATTAAAAATAACTCCTTCGAAATTCGTTGCGTAGTTTTAAAGATTTAAGCATACATAGGGACAGACAGCGACAGTGACTTTGTTTAATGCTATGTAATGATAATGATGACCCTACCCAGTCTCTGGGTTTGTTTATATTGATTTTTTAATGGTACGCGCTGTTACAGTATTAGTGAAGGAATAAATCAGATCACTCTCCCCACCTCTAAATAACAGCAATCGTTTCCAGGAAGAACGATTATTATCCGATTGTACGTATTTTTTAATGGATGATAATGGAATGGGGCATTAATCTGCGCTAACGTTTTACGTTGGCAGGGTATAATAAGATGATCATGAAGTCATCGTGCCAAATTCACCAAAAATACATGATGGTTTTTTTTATGGGTAATAATGGAATATAGCACCCGCCTGCGCTAACGGTTTACGCTGGCGGGGCACCAGTGGAAGATTATATATTTATTTTTTCTTTCTTTTGGCTTTTATTTTATTTAATTAAATATTATAATATTTGTAGTAATATCGAAAGGACCAAGTAATCACTAGTGAGTATTCATTACTCAGTGTTAATCATTTAAGACGTCGCTCCCAAATGTCATTGTCAAATATGACAATTATAACACAACATGAAATTGACATTCGGCACCATGAGAAGTTAAATATTACATTTATATATTAAAAATACATTTATTTATTAATATCTGACTAAAAATCATGGATTTACAAAATCAAATTACATTTAATTTCAAAGATATAATAATTGATGAAATAGCTTTAGAAGGACTCGAAGGCATCGGCATAGATCTATTATGGAGACGAATAGAGTATCGTGCCTCGTCGCAAGTTACAAACAAAATGAAAATTCGTTTTTGGAATTATATTATTGACTGTAAATGTATATCTCTATATCAAGTCCCCGAGCCTGTGCCCCATATTGAGATTATCGACAGATTCACAATAATTGATGAACAAAGTGGCCACTTGAAAGATCCTGTGAGTAGAATAACAATTCATTAAACCAATTTTTATTCATTGTTAACTTCCGATAGATTTAAAAAGATAAGCCATCTGAGGATAGGTAATTTATCATACATTACACAAATTGATTATATTATATTGTGAACTTATTTTAAAAAATATTAATGAGTAACCTTATAGATGTTGATTCAACCAATATGTATATTTTTAAGAATTTTCTTATAGCCATAAGACCGCCTTTTGATATTCAAATTCGGTATTTAAATCTTATTACGTTATTTTATTTTCCTTTTACACATTAAAATTAACTTTCAGGAAGATTACATTGATGGCCCATATGAATACCACCCAGTAGAAAATGATTTTGGATCCTGTGCCAATTATAAAAAAAGAATTTTGCTGGACAAAGAAAAGATTAAAAATATGTCATATGCAGGAGTTGTGTCTAAATATAATAATTGTTTAGTTTTAGTAGCATCTATTGAAGAGAGATGGCATGCTCTTGCGCCTCATTTACCTATCAGCTTTTTGTCACAATTGACACCAGTACATTTCTGTATTTTGGAATTAACTGGAAAATCAAGACACAATGTAAGTATCATACTGATGTCATAAATCACTTGTAAATGTTATAACAGTACCTGTGTCTCATTACAGTCAATATTATATATACAAAAGTGTGTCTGTCTATTTATTATGTCTTCAGGCTGAGCTCGTCTTAAAGAAATTTTATGTGAAAATAATTTGTGTCATGAGAACTTACATAGGCTATTTATTGTCTTAATAAATTAATAGATAAAGTAGATGATGCCAACTAGTAATCTATATAAATGAATTTTCTTACTATCAACACATAGTTAAAACTACTAAATCTACAAAGCTGGAATATAGAATATAAGTTTATTTTATCCTGATATAGACATCTATCACAATAACATTTTTAAAATTTTTAACTGCACAACACATGTTAACTTTAGGTTTTTGTCAGCTAAATTTATTCTGCAAATATTATGTAGGATGTCTTGCACTAGGGGGAGCGACAATATATCTAGAGTTTATGGTAACTACTGAAAGAGAAAGGCTGAAGGTAGTGCATTTTGGCATGAATGATCTATATCTAATAATCCAGTAGGGGACCCCCATAGGATGATGAAGATGAAGTTAGATTTTATACAGCTAGCTGCATGAGTGTAGCTACAAACAATATCATGAAGCTAGTTGGAGGAGGCTCTTACCAATATGGGAGACCATGAATAAAGAATCCAAATTAAATTTGAAATATGTACTTAAGATTGTAATAATAAAAAAAGAATAAACATAATATATCTAAAATAAATATATATAATAATCTTTTCCAGGGACAAATGACAGTTGGAAAAACAAATCTAACAAAAATAGTAAAAGACCCAAAACTATTGTTTTATAATAGAAAAATGTTACAAGACATGGATTTAATTCGAGTTGTGTTTCTAACACAAGTATTGGCTGGTAGAGGTGTCAAGAGTTTAATAGTCAGATTGAAAAGATTTTACAAGAGTATTATCCTTTCAATGCCTAAAGTAGGTAGGATCCATGATCTTTTGAATTATTTGAAAGATCAACCCAACTACAGTGAGAGAACTGATGAGGTTATAAAAAGAGGTTTCATATCCCAACAAATGAACAGAAGACTTCAGAAAACTATAAATGTATTTAATTTCGTGAGTAACTTGTTCTATATTTTTGTTGGCAATTGTTTAAAACTTTGTATGATTCTTACATATTAACAATTATTATGTTAAAGAAAATAAGTAGGCATATAATTTATTGTATATATACAAATAAATTAACATTTTCCTATAAGTAAAAGTATTAGACATATGGAACTCTACCGTGTTTTGGTCACATACCTGTAGGTATCTGATCAAAACAGTATTTGTATTTTAATAAGTTCAATAGTTAGTGAAATGTGTTTGTTTATATTATCAACCAAACTACCAAATTCTACATCAGACTGTATGGAAGAACTATTCCGTTCTGTCTGATGTTTCTGAGAAATCACTAATACCAGTAACACAATTTTAGGTAGAAAAATCTGTAGATGAAGAACCAATACCTGCAGGTAGCAAAAGGAAGCGCCCAGTAGCAAAGCGCTTTATTTTTTTGGCACCTAAGAGTGACGAATCATCACAGTCAGAGGATGAATCTACTGAAGTTCCACCCAAGTTCCAGTACAAAGTTGGAGTTAATCTCTTAAGACAGGCTTATGAAAGATTTCTTGATGCTGGACTGAATGGTTTAACCCAAGTAGAATTGTCATATATGTTAGGTATCGAATTTTACACTGCCAGAACTATTTGCAAAGTGTACAAAGCAAATGGAATTGTAAGAGAATGTTTGGTGGATAAAGGGCGCCAAAGAACGGCCAGGTATTTTAATATGTTTAAAAGTATTCCTAGTATAATTGTATCAGTAATTTTGAGTACATTGAAATTAATAATATTAGTATACCTGGATAATTCACACAGAGCCTTCTATGCCAAGCAAAGCAAAGGTTGTGTTATTGATTAATACTTGAATAACTATTTGAATTTTTTTTTGTAAATATATATACACCTATAATATATATACAAAACAAGGTCAATACAAACATTCTAACTTATGAATATAATCGAACCCACAACCATAGGAAATAAAGTGATGTGGTAAACCACTAGAGCACCAATGCCTTTAATTAGTACATCATATTGTTAGTTATACATCTCATTCTTGTAATAATAATACAAAAATTATTAAACAATAATAACAAATTTTATTTTAGCTGTTCATTCTTTTTTATTTAATTATATATGACTTAACACAATAAATTTCTTTTATAATCTTTGCTAAATTCTGATATAATTATAAAATTTCTAGTATATGTAATTTATTTCTATTTTTAGATATATTGCTATTGCTACCACAGGGCAAATGGATGCTAAGTATGCTGAAGAAAAGAAAAAACTTCTTGAATATTTAGATATGAGTAAAAATTTACAAACACCATCTGTTTCCGGTGAAAACACTGTTAAAATTAAAACTGAAAGTGAGGACAATAATATAAACCCTGAGACTGCAGAAAATGATATTATGGAAGTGAAAACTTTCGATGGTTACGAAAATATACACGGAATATCATTGCTTAATTCAAAGAAAATTTTAACTTTGAGACAGTTAAAATTTGCAAATGGATTACTAAAAGTTGTTAGAGAAAAACTGTTTGTATCTGGATACCAAACATTAAGTAACTTAGTTGCGAAAGAAATTGGTGAGTCACCTATGGACACAAAGGCATTGAAATTATTTCTTCAAAAATTAGCAACCGATGGCCAAATAAAAATTTTAAAACTTAAGTGGCCCACATCTCCACAAAAGTATTCTATTTTAATATGTGCACCACATATAAAAGCTACTGACCCTATTATCAAAGCTAAACATAAAGATATCTGTATGAGAGCATACTTAACCAAAGACACACAAATCAAAGAAGCCATATCTTCCAGTATCAAGAAACCAGTGTCTAAGTTTTCCTTCCCACGTTATGTGAAAATACAAAAACTTCATGAATTGGTTACAAAATTAGCGTATTTCAATGACTCCCAAGTACTCAGTGATCTTCCCGTCGGTTTTGGATGCTTACATGATGTTATTCTGGAAATGACAGTGGAATTTGCTATTGGGAGTCTAAGTAACTTCGGAAACTTAAATATCTCAAATTTAATTGTAAATGACGAAACACTATATCTGAAACTGAGAGATTGTCCACCTAAGTTACACAGGGAATTGTTACAATCCAAAAACTTACAAAACTCTTTAAAATCAAACTTAAAAACATTAGCTGTACTTGGTCTTATACAACTAATTGGCCAATCACCTGGGGCCGATTCAACAAGCTATATTCCCGACTACATGTACTATGTAAATCGCTCGGCTAAAATAATAGACACAGCAGGTGTATGGCCTAGAAAAAATGAAGATGTCTCAGATTTAGAAAGATTTTTCTCCTTTGAAACTCAAGATGATGTCTCCACCTTTTGGACGGCTGTGTTCCAAATCAGCATTAAAACCGTTATCGATTTGCCATCGCGCGAACAGAATAAAAAAATAATCCCTCCCATAAGAACACAGAAAGAAGTATTGCAAATAAAAGTTGGTGAAAGAAGTGGCGATGGCATGGGGCCTTGTGGATATGACTCCAGTTTCTTTATGGACATACCACGATTATGGCACAAGAGTGTGAATGTTAAAATTGACCCGAAAATAAATAAGATATTGTCTAAAAGACCGAAATTTCCTAAAATAGAAAAACACAGAACAAAAGTTAAAAGGAAAAAGGTAAAACCCAAGAAAGTAGTTACAGAGGAAGTACCAGCACCCATTAAAATAAAAAAAAGAAATCGAACCAATGACTCTTTGATAACATGGACAAATGAGGAAGATATAATTATTATGATGTGTAAAACTGCTATAACAATTATGAGTCCCACTTCACAGCCAGGTTGCCTTAGAGTTAGAAACCTTGTTGCCAAAGATTTATTGTCTATGAAAGACCCTAATAAAACTCAGAGTGTTTGTCATAGACGAGCAATGGTACTAGAAAGTAACCCTGTACTGGTTTATGAAAAGGAACGCCTACTAAGTGAACTTCGTCGTCGACGACATCTATTGGTCAAATATGAAGGTTTTTTAAGAAAGATCAGAATTCGTTACCCAACCAACATAGGAAAATATACAAGTGAGTCTAGATTGCCAATGTTGGAATTAGTATACATAATAAATCAAGTCAGAAATAGCAAAACATTTACCCACCCACAACCTTGCATTGCTCTCAGCCTGGATGACTTCTATAAAAAGTATACACTTGTACCAAGTTCAGCTAATAAGCCATATAACACATATAAATCAAAACACGAATCAGAATTAGAGCTTCCTACACTAAAAGAAGCTATTATGTTCACTGTACTATCCTGTAGTCAAGAAGTTCATATTTCAGTTGCAAAGAAAATTTATGCAATGTTCAAAAATTTCCCAGAAGTGATGCTCCGAAAAGCAGTAGATCAATTACGTAAATCTGGAGCAATAACTCCCAAAGAGAAAATTTTCAATAACAAATTACACAAAATTAATTTGCAAGATTTAGTTGATTCTTCATATAAGACATCGGCTGCTTATCAGCGTCGATGGATATGCCGACTGAACTCTGAATTCACCGACGATATTGCGCAAGTGTTGCAGAGTGATATATCTCAGAAAGAAATAAATGGATTGCCCGGTATCAACTGTGTGTGTTGCGAGCTTAACACATGTGGTTTGTTGGACATTACAACACTGACTCCTTTACTCTATACTGGGCCGTCTGACTCTTCCATATCTGAGGAGCATCTTAGTGTAATAGATATTGAAACCAAATATAAACTAAAATCTGGAACACTGAACCTTGTTAATAAAAGCAGCTTACAGACATTTTCAGAATTATATAATTCACTTAATATCGAGGAATCGTTGAATGAATTTTCAAGGTATTATTAATCATAACTATTTCCCTGTATATGGCCATAGTAATAAGGTGGTCCACCCAATTTTTATTTTTTTATGTTAGAGATTATTTTTATTTAGCATTAAAAAAATACATACTACCCTAAATTTTCACCTTCTACCATCAACCCTTATGTTTAATTGAGTACCAAAATATCCACTAGTAATAATTTATATTGCCAAACAATGTTTGCCAGATTAGTAAAGTTATAAATATCAACTAAATAACTAATATTTTATTTTTCAGAAAAGCAATAGTAAAGTGTGAAAATAATATGGAACTTGCCAATGAAAACAAAATTATAAAACACTTGAATACAAAATGTGAAAAAGGAGCTACATTTAAAGAATTAAAGGTAAGGTAAATTTATCGCTGTATGTCTGTATTCTATTAATTTAACAATTGTGTTGTAGTCCTCAGAACAATAACTCCAGCATTAAATTATTGTTATGAATGTTTATGTATGTTTTGTCATTTATTATATACATGAATGAATGACTTAGTATCAAGAATCTGTTATTAAAAAACACATTAATTGGTTATTTGTTTGTTCATTTTGTTATTTGATGTTTTCTATGAAATATTTCGGTTTTGTTATTTATTTCTACTTTTATGCTTATTTATCTCTTCTTAATATATGTATATGCTGAAATTGCATTGCATTTAATACAGTATTATCCTAAATACGTTATTTTTGTTACAGAGAGTCACCAATTATGACAATAATACACTGATTGATCGGTTAGCTGAACTTGAAAAGAATAATACAGTAAAACGAGTAGGATATTATGATAACTGTGTTATATTGTTAAAGTTCTGTAAGCCTTGGACTGTAGTTTTGGATAAACAAACCATTGTTCCATCACCATGGTTTACTTTGGAATTAAGTATAAAATTGGACGTATTCTTAAAATGGTGTGGTGTTATTCTCAACAAAATATTCGAATGTCCCGGCTGTTCAATAATGTATTTGTCTGAGTCTTTTGAAGTAATAACAGCTAAAAGCATCCAAGATATATGTGAGTTCTTGAAGGATTGCCAATGCCTTTCCATGAAAATAATGGAAATACATGAGCCTGATTTATTCTCTGATGACGAAATACAATTTGAGCTTGAAGAATTTAATCAATATGAGTCTCCTGAAAATATTATGGTGTTCCCAGAAAAGGATGCTATTAGCAGATATTCATATATAAGAAAAAATATAATTAATAACTACCACAAGGAGAAAGATAGTGTATAAGCTTTTTGTAGAAATATAATAATTTATTATGTTCTTCTACATCTACATATTTGCAAATAATAAATTGTTTTGTTACAAATTTTATTTTATCAACTCTAATATTATATATATGCGAAACCAACTCTATCTGTTTCCGCCTCTGTGGTCTAGAATTTTAGCATAACGCTTTACTGCTGGTGGTCAGGGGTTTTTTTATGGATGACATGCCGACCCGGCATTCGTTTCGTCATAAAAATTTAAATACTAATATCGCTATTAAAAACAGGGGTTGGTGATAGAAAGGTGAAGATAGAAATTTAGGGTTATATGCATTTTTTAATGCCAAATAAAAAGTTGTTCAAATAATTAAATAAAAAGTTAGGGGTGGACAACCTAAATCACTTAGGGGTATGAAACATAAACAGTAGCTTATTCTTAGACCAACTGAATATGCATATAAATTTTTTTAAAAATCAGTGAAACCGTTTTAGGGAGTGCATGGTAACTAACATTGTAACACGTGAATTTTATATATTAGAAGATAACGCACTCATGAACCCATCTGCGCCAACGATCTACGCTGGCGGGGTACCAGTGGAAAATGATAAATTGGAAGTCAGTTCAGCTACCCTACCTTGGCAAATAGCAATTTATCACGCTGGTTTCCAGGGAAAACCGCGTGGGGGTCAACCTGACATCATTTCTTGTGTATGATTATATTGGTCTGGATGTTTTTTCTGTATATTTATACTTTATGTATGTTTGTGTTTCTACCAGTGATATAGTACCTATAACACAAGCTCTCTCTTAATAAATCCGCTGTGTAATTTGTCCAGGTTATTAATAATTTTTGTGACATTCATTATATAGTAGTATATATAAAAATTAAATAGAGCCTAGCGGAGTAGTATGAACTTATTTAGTTTTGGTCGCAAAAGTAATAGGGGGAGTTCACCGAGAAACGGACCCTTAAGGAATAACAAAAATAAAAAAAATCGTGTTACAGATTAATTTGTTATATCTCTTTAATAAGCCCTTTGTTATATAACTTATCAATACAGATATATCATCAGTCTCAAATGTTACTTAAAATATACTAAATAATAAAGAATAATTAACATAGAAACATGGACGTTTTCAAAAACATCCCCTAATGACGGACAGCGAAATTCTCGTTCATGTTTAAACTTAAACATTATTAAACACAAAATGGTGACAATACAATAACTATTATATTATTTTTTTCAGAATATCTTTTAAATTGTTGAAAAATCGTTCAACTTGAGCCCTATTAAAAGCAACAGCTCTCATTAGACTCGTTGACTCAGGTCTCAAGCCGAGATCTATTATTATATGGCGTTTGACGAAATCATAGTAAAAATGTTTAACAGCACTTTTCTTTGCAATATTGAAGCGATGTTTCAGTTTTAATTGCTCCGCAAGATCGAAAGCCAATTTGAGAAATTCTTTACTAGTTAAAGGCATGCACCTATTTGACATATCCACCACGTGCGCAATTAGAGCTTCTTCATACTCCACGGTAAAAGTTGGGTCAAATCTACCTTTTTTGAGTGGTAATATTATGTCCCCTCCTTTTTTAATATAAATAATACAAATAGCGTACTTTTTGCGTAATTAATACAAATGGCGTACTTTTTGGCACATCGTAGAATACAGGGGGTGTATTATGAACTTTTTAAAATCCAGTCAGTTTCCAGGCAGTTCAGTTTAAGCCGTAAACTGAATGGGAATAAGAGTTCATAATACGCCCGCAGACTTAAGAAATAATTTTTTTGACATCACTTTATCAATGGCCTTTTTCAATATGTCATGTTTGAGGTTCTTCTCACATCTCGGTTTGGGTTTACCCATGTTGAAACTAAAAACAAAAAAACAAAAATAATAAATTAAACAAAAACTAACTTGTTCTAAAACTGTGTCCGTGTCCGAACTTAGGGACCCTTAGAAACATGCAAGAAAAATTATATTTAACATTGTGTGTTATGTTTGTTATGTTAATCACGCAAAAACGCATGATTTATATTAAATTAGTACCATAGCGATAATAATTATTAATGATTATGAATGATTAACATTCCATACTTTAAATACTGTTTACAGACTACATATTATTAGATTAAAACTTCGCAAGGCTTAGGTCTAGTTTTAGGAGCCGTCCGGGCTTAGGGGACTTCCCCCTTCTTAAATATAATTCATGAAGTAGGAAATTAAGGAATGTAGGTATATTAAAAAGGTAATCCAATAGTTACTGCCTCCAGCATAAAAGCAGGAGATAAATATGGTCTTCTTTTAAATCTGTTTAGTAATGTACTTAAAAATATAATTATTTTTTATTAATTCAATAATAATTCTACGCTCCTATCACTATAACTCCTTTAGAAAGAGACGCGATCCATAATTACTTGACTCACTCTTGGAATACTTCTGCCATCACAGAGCAAATAATCACTACGTTTAGTATTTGCATTCGTAACTTTATTTTTAATCGCGTTTAAAGTATAATGTATTTTAAATTATAATATTCTAACAATGAATTGCATCGGCAGGCGTTGATTGTTTTCTTATTGATATGATTTTTTTCTTATTTTGGACATTCCATAAAGGTTAGCATATCGTCTATACACAATCAATATAGAATAATTATTTTTAATATAGCAATACATTTATATTAAGTGAAGTTAGTAACAAGTGGTGTGAAGTAGGGCAATCCAAAAATCGCCATTTTTACTTTAGTGAAGGGAGAATTAATATTTGTCAGGCTGGAGGACGAAGATTATTTTGAAAAAAGTGTGTCATTACATTTCATTTCAAGTAGAAAAGACTATTATTTGAAAGAAATTTTAGTATAATAGTGTGTTTTTATTTCTTACTAACGTTTGTATGTAGTGCTACTTCCCGTCGTAAAGTTGCTCGTTGGTGTGTCGCTTTAGCTAATTCGATGGCTATGATATTGAAATTGTAATCTAACGTGTCGTTTTGACGTTCTCTGTACGGGATAATATCGATACACCGAGGCGACGCCGTTAGAAATGAGCAGGCCTCAAGGCGGACGCATACAAGTCCCGGATGACCTTAGAGAGATCTTATTGGAATTCACCATAAGTTACCTTCTGGAGCAGCCAGGGGACGTGATCAACTACGCGGTCGAGTTCTTCACCAGGTTACAGAACAACAGGACGACAACCATAGTGCGGGGCCCCACCGCCGGCACACCCGATGAGTCCATAATATCAGACGAAGAAGGTACTAATTTACTCATATTTGTTAGAAAAACAATAATACAGACAAGAGTAAGTGCAGGACGTCAGTAAGGTGGGTTCGCTAGGTGCAGTAGTGTTAGGCCTCCTCATCACATAAATTAACCAGGTAGTACATAGGTACCTTAATATAGAAAAAAATATAATAAAGGAGAAAGACTTGCACATCTAACTAAAATATTAGAGTCATTTCTATAATTTATCTTTCATTTAATACTCTCCCAATAATAATAACTATATAAAAAAATAAAATTAATACACATGTAATTTACTATCTAATTAGATATGTAATTAAAATGTCAATAATTTACAGTATACAACTATTGAATTCAATAGTTTTTATAATGACTTTGGAACTAATATTATAGTGACCTAGTTCTAGTAGTCACATGTGTGTTCACCCATGTTTCTACTTAAGTCTTAAACAAGTACTCGTAATCAGTATTCAACATATCACTTACATACATACTCCTTTAACTTGGGAATCTTCATCAATATCAATCATCAGGATAACATTATGTGTATCTGCTATTTTATGCTGAGTAGAGACATAGTAAAATTAGTACTTATTTTAATTTTTAGCAATAGTAGTAAAATAGCTCTTTATAGTTTACATTCAGATTCACACGGTTCTATTAATAGTTATACCACTTTTTGGTAGCTTGAATATAAAAAAATATTTATTAATACTCTCTTACTACCAGCAGTAGTAATCATTTGAGTTTTGGCACATTGCCATTACGGATTCTGTGATATAACTTTATTTATGTATAAAATAAGTTTTTAGGGAATATTGTATGCTGTTGCCAAATAATAAATAACAAAAAAGACATTTTATTACTTTTAGTCTTGTAAACTAATCATTTTAGATGATGAAGAAAAATATGACACTAAACCATTTTCTATTCATGTAATAACAATATGTATATTTATTAACAGTATGAAGCACAAATACTAACTATGATTTAAAAATTGAAACTTTTTATAGTGTTTGTAGAGATGTACATTTACAATGTTTACTACCTACATGCTGCTCCCATTTGTGTGTTTATTTTAAAAGCTTTGAAGTTGTGTGATGATGAGTTTGGCTTATTTTTTCCCTGTCTGCCATTGACTTTAATGTTTTGAACTGAACCAGATGTTGTTATGTTTTACTTGTGTGTTACATAAAATTGGCTGTTTAAATGTGACCACAGACACTTTAATGAATGTACAATGAATTGTACAGGTGCTAACCAGGCCTTGAGTAGTATTTGCATATGAGATGTTCTGTTTCATTGTTAAATATGTTAGGTACTTACACATGTAAGGAGCATTACTGGAAACATTCGGTTCTTAATGAGTCATTTAAAAAGGCCTTTGTCTTTTAATAGGATATTATTATACTTACTAATAACTGGACATAACAGAGCAGTTATTATGTTGTAACAGAGTATTATGAAGAAGCTGTAAATACCTGTTGATTAATTAGTGATGTCATATACTTTTAATTGCTATCTCCTATAAACACCATAGGGCATAGATTATCTGAACTTACTTTAGAGATTAGAAGATGATATCACTTATCTGAACAACCTGTTTGTTATGTACTCTTATCAAGTACATTTTACAAGAATTTATCTTTTTTATACACTAACTTGTGCATACAATTTGTTCATACAGGATTCAGTCAGGATATATACTTTTGCATCTATGAAAAATTAATAAAATTTTATTAATTGGGTTAACCTTTATAGATAAGTACAAATTAAATTGTTATCTGTGTTTACATAGTGTAATTGCTGTTATAATGAATTTAATCAATGAAATTAGAGACTTCTGTATAATTACCTCAACATACAGAACTATACACATATGTAGGTATTGATCCAGTTAATTAGATTTTCAATATGGCGTCTACATAATACTTGAAATACCTAAATCAGAGCAATCAAAAATGCCTACTGAAAATATATATATAGTGGTTAGTTACGGGAAATTTCATATTCTTTCTTTAGTATAATTAGAAATAGTTGCTAGCAGTGGAGTGGCCCATATCAGGCTACCTCCACGCGATCTTTACGGGAAACATCGTGGTTATTTTCTGGTGAAATCGCTACAATAAGTGAACTGACCTAATTTCTTAAAAGACTGGGAACAGTTACACCATAAAAAGAATGTCAAAATTAACTTCATGATAATTATTGTATTGTTCACCACCAATTTATGTAGCATAAAAAATATAGTAGAAATATGTAATTGACAAAACAAACCATAGTTGCTAACTCGTGTTGTAAAAGTCACATTACAACTTAGATTGGTCAATAATATTTACCACCGCATAAGTAATAGATTGTATTCCTAATTATTATAGTGTCAGTAGTTAAGAAGTATACAATATTAAGAAATAAAAATACTAATAAAGAAAATAGTATCGGACCAACATGCAACTAAACCCGATCAATAACAAACAATTACCAGAATCGTCAAAATATCGAGTTACAAAAACAATAGAATTGATGATACTCTCTCTCACTCGTTCTCACTCAGGTTGATTTTTAACAAGAATTTAATGAGAATACGGTTTTTGCTTTCTTGCTTTAAATCCAGCCTTGTATATTTTCAAATGCCTCTATCTCTATATTGTATTTCTTACTTAATAATAATAACTATAAAGTATATTTCTTATTACTAAAAGCAACCTAATACCTAAAAGTGGCGGGAAAATTATTTCCAATACGTATTGGCTGAAAAAGGAATCATCAAATTCCCAGATATAGGGAAAGAGTCGTATGTGTTCAAAGAATAGCTGTAATTGTTATTATTAATTAATATAATTGGTTATTTACAATTTTTGTTATCTGAAAAAGTAAATCATTGCGTAGGTACATATGTTAGAGCAAAGTTCTCGAAGTCATTATACATGCACGACAATAGGATCCATTTTTATGTTACGTACGTATTACAACACAAAATATTTATTCTAAACTCTAAATTGCCTACTATAACAACTATTAACTTCGAAGAAAGATAAATAGGCCTGTAACTAATTTAATTATGCGAAAAAAATATACAATTGCCTTGATACTTGGGTAAAAAATGACACATTTACAAGTAGTTATAAAGTCGAGAAGTGACGAGTGATTATCACGAGTGTTCTCACGTCATTCCCACGTGATTTGAAAACCTGTTGGTGTCTCCTAAATCATGCAATGATTATTGAACCATGTTCAATAATCATTGCATGATTTAGGATTTGCATGCATTTGGATTGCAGGTGGAAAGGATTGTTAGTAATGGGAATAGGTGACCACATTGTTAACAATATAACATAACATGCGGTCCCTCCAAGTCATAGAAACCATATTGATTAATTCCTAATGACATTGTCAGGATGGGTATAGTGACCTGACCTCATACATATTTTGTCACTCTCTTGTGGTGCTCCGCAGGCTTACACTACTAAATAATTTATTATTATTAAATAGACTTAACAAAAATATCCTTCGTTTAAAATGAATTAAGCATCATTAATATATACATACATAAAACTGAAGAATTTGTTGGTTTCAATGAACTAATTTCTAGAACCACCAGTGGGACATGAAAACCCTTTTTGTATTTGCTGTCCAGTTCTTAAGGCTGGGTATAGGCTTATAAACATATTACGGCCCTTGGGAGACGAGCTAAAGGAAATCGAAGTGAACGATAAGAAAATAGTAATGGCACAGGCAGATGATGAAAGTATGGGGATGGCCGCCAATACATTTAAATTAACTGGCAAGACAGCTAGTTAGGTATAAAGTTTACTAAAAACAATTGACTACAAAACTAAAAACATTTCTCATCTAGGTTGGTACAAAGTTATGCAATATCTTTTCTGAATTTGCTACATTTTCTTATAAATGCAATGAACAAGTAACAATTAGCTATAAATAAATATTTTCAGCAGACAAAACATTACGTAACAACTATTATTATTAAATCTGCTTGTATGATCGGAAATTTTAAAGTACTATGAGAAAATGCTAACAGATAACATTTAACAGAGGTCAACCCTGAATCTATACATGGGCGTGCCTACTTAGGTATAATTTGCTCGAAATTATTATATCTTGTAAATTATTAGTAATTCTTAACGTCACATTGAATTGCTATGAAATGATATAGAACGTAATTTCTCCCCTCGTTTTTGAAGCAATGCAATGCAATATTCATGAGTCTTACTTTCTAGGATAACTCAGTAGTGTGCAAGTATGACGTCAGTAGTACGCGAACGACAAACGTAATAGGTACGTAAGACAGTGTTCCGCAAACTTGTGTTCAAGGTACACTCGTCAAATATAAAGTTTTAGTACTACAACAGAAAAAATGGCGATATTAATGCTTGTTTGTAAATATTTTTTTATTATAGCACAATGATGACAGCCAACCATAGTAGTGTAATAAAAATATTCAATGTTAATTTATTGTGAAAAATAGTTTCTCGTTTTTACGTGAAACCTTAATATACAAACAGAAACAGTATTCGACTTGATTCGATTTTACTACTTGTCGTTATAAATAATAAAATCATCATAAAAAAGTGAGCCTGGACAATTGCGCACAAGAGATAAAAATCTGGAGCAATAGTTATTAAGGCTCAATTTTTCTGCTGTTCCACCAGCACATTAAATAATGTCCATGGCGCACACACTTTGCGAAACACTGCCTCACGCTGTACTATTTATGTGAAAGCACAGTTTCTATTACTGTTTATTTAACTTCTATAACCTTGCAACTAGTACCGACATGTTATAACTATTTTTATAGAAAAACCTGCTCTACATGGACCATATGTTACAGACAATGTCAACAACTTAGTCGATACCCGACCAATGTTTTATTTACGCGCCTGACTTAACAAGGCCGAGTAACCTTTTGAAGAATAAACACTTCTATAACTGAATGCACATGGTGACGCGGGTTCTCTAACATATATTACTACGATGTAATCTAATCTATCTATAATAATATAAAACGAGCTGAGCTATTTTTATGAACCTATTGTGTGTATCGTTAATTGAGAATTAGCTCTAACGAATCATTAACAGTACAATTGGAACTTGTATATTTTCTAATTTTTCGATGCTTTGATCAATTTAAACATACTTATTATCTAGTTAAATAACGCTGAGTAAACCTCAATCGTCAACATACTTCTATGTTACAACTATAAACATACACAACAAAAAGTAGTAGTCTATAAATTCATTCCAGTCATATCTAGGTCTAGTCTAACGAATGTAGGTTTATTTTATAACACAGGCATTAACTGCTGCAGGTAAACACGTGGGAAATTGCTGATATTTTATGTCGTAATGTAACAATGATCGATCATAATATTTCATGATAATTTCCTTTTGCCAACTATAGAGCCGCCAGTGGCGCGCTTCAACAACCGGCGCAAGTCTGTCTTCGCGGAGACCTACGACCCCGAGGAAGATGATTCTGACGAGGGCGCTCCCGCCGTGTTCCCCAAGTCGGACGCTCAGCGCGCTCGCCTCGCTGAAGCGGTGCGAGGCATCTTGCTGTTCCGCTCGCTTGATGCTCAGCAGATGCAGCAGGTATGTTTGAGTGCACTAATTATATTGACGGACGACCTCGGTGGTCTAGCCGCTTAGCATACCGTCTTACGTACCAGTTGGCGCTGTGTGAAATAACATAAATTATTATTATACTACTCTGATGGACTATCTTATAGAAAATTGTGATGGAAAAAGCAAAAAACCACGGGCATCATTTGATTAACTGATACCCGTGACACCGCTCTTCTTTCATATTCAACAGGAATTAACTTCTATGACGTGGAGTATATTAAAAAAAAAACCCTCTTGTACCCAATTCAAGAGGAATAAGTTAATTTCCTAGGTGACAATATGCAAAATTACTGCGACCAAACAAGCCTGTATAGATTTGTAATTTAAAAATAAATGCCATGTGCCTGGCAGATATGCCCGGAACGATATTATCAAATACCTACTCATGAATACAAATTTATAGTCTGGTCGGTATAAAATGTGTATTTAATATTTAATTATTTTCTATATTATTAGTCTTTAAGGTATGTATAATATAGGTCGATATTGTTTTTATATTAAGTAGCTGGAAATAGATAATATTATTATAAATCCAACATACAGTACTTTTAAATTGCCTACAAAAACTTTACTATTGACTTTACTAATATAATATGATTGAAGTCAGTTTTTATTAATGTTCAATCTGCACTAAAATTAATTCGAATCTGTTTATCTATTTGCTTGTTACACTTTCACGACTAAACAGCTGAACGTATCTTAATGAAATTTTATACCTAGATAGACTGATTGTATGTAGACGAATTCGCGGGTAACAGATATTACTTTATAAATATATTATCTTTATATAACAGAAATGTAACTGTAGATATTACAATACTTATGAGGAAAGTCCTCTGAAATAGAAACAAGGATAAGTACCTACAGTAATATTATTGTGAAACTATTAGCCTTGATACAACACGATCGGAATAACGTTATTCTATGCAGAGGACAGTGCGATAATAATGGGATTACTTATTTATATTATCTATACCCACGCCAACATAGACATACACAGAATTTGAAGTTGCAAAAGTTTACCGAAACCTTGATAACTTTCTTGTTCTTAACTTTCTTGCATAATACACATTCTGCTTGGTTTTTCTTCAAAATGTTGCAAGGACGAACCATACTGAATTTTCAAATTATCTAACAGCCATTAAAAATACATTGGTTAAGAAATATTCTTAAAATTCAGTATAGTTAAGCAGTATTATATACAAATACTGAGTTATTTATTGAGGCTCAGTAATATTATTTGTAATGAATCCGGATACAAAAAAAATCCGCTAAGTAAATAACTCCCAACTAACCATTATCCACGAAATATGTATTTCACTGGAATGAAATACATATTTAATTACTTAGAGAAAATCTGTGGTTTAGCTTAGTCCAAAAACATACGTCATTTGTCCGTCGTTTTATAATGATTTGTCGTACTATAAATTCTGTATTCTGTATTATGTAGCGGGAAAAGACATACAGACATACAAATTTGTTAGATTTCATGATATTGTCAGTATAAATTCCAGAAATTATGAAAAAATATGAAGACTTGACCATTAAATTTCGATTTGAGTAATACAAAATGAAACAATATTTTCACCAACAGTCCAATAAGACCGGCATTATAGTGCAGTACAATTATCATGAATATAAGTAGATATTTATTAAATTTGCAATTTTTTTAATAAGACTAACTTCACACAGGTTCTCGACGCTATGTTTGAGAAACGCTCCGAGCCCGGCGAGTATGTAATCAGGCAGGGTGATGATGGTGACAATTTCTACGTCATCGAGAATGGCATGTTTGATGTACTCGTCACCGGAGATGACCGCATCGAGAAGGTAATATTTTATGGCGATTGAATATTTTCAACCGACTACAACCAGATGTTTTCTATCTGCTTATTATCTTTCAATATGTCTATGCACGAATAATTGCAAACGTTCTTAATTCTTTTTAGATCTAAAATACAAATTATTACTTTGAAGTTTTGTATAACTTTTCAACTATTAGCTGTCAAAACGACGTTAACGCCATTTGTGAGACCGATCATAGGACTTCTCACAGATTGAGCTATAATGACCGAGACCATATAATTGGCTCCTTCCCAGATGAGAGGGTAATATTTTTTTTTCTTCCAATTAGCACTCGCACTTTGTAATCGCTCTTCATAATAATTCAACATATATACTATAATACATAGGAACAATAAAACAGAATAAACTATGTAGCAAACTTAATAATACTGATCTTATGCTAATCACAACTAAAACTTACTACACCCACACGTTCTAAAAGGTTTTGCAGGACAAGATAATAAATTATCTCTATTTATTTTCACTTTTGTTGATCTTACTACTGTTACCTTTACTAAATTCCTACAGGTATTCTGTTAGATAAACTAAAATTTAAATATGAAAAATTTAATATCACATAGATAGACTAATTATATTATCTAAACAGCATATTTTATTTCCATTACTTATTTCTTAAATGAATATTAACTATTTCGAAAATCTCACAGCGTATATTTTCAGTTCTTACAATTTTATATTCTTCTAACTAATGTTTACCGGTACGTTTTGTCATATCAATTAATATCTCTATTAAGAAATAAGGTTTGATAGTAGAAGGGAAATATTTTCGGTTGTAGGTATGTATTTTTAATGCCGAATCATAAAAAAATTACCTTGATTATTTTTTTTGAAAAATTGTGGTGGGCCACACTTCACTTATGGGTATAAAATAGATAATCTATTCTCAAATCTACCGACTATACATATAGAATTTCATCAAAATAGAGTAAACCAGAGAAGTATGGCAACTAACACTGAGACATGAGAATTTTAAACATATAGATGTATGTTTGTGTCATATTCAGCATAAAACTTTTATTATCAACCAGGTGGTCCATACTTACGAAGGTTCAGGCTCGTTCGGCGAGTTGGCGCTGATGTACAACATGCCCCGCGCGGCATCGGTGCGCGCCCAGTCCCCGGGCGCTCTATGGGCCATGGACCGCCACACCTTCCGTCGTATCCTGCTCAAGAGCGCCTTCAAGAAGCGCAAGCTGTACGAAGAGCTCCTCGACAAAGTGCCCATGCTTAAGGCGCTCCAGGTATTCACATTTTTTAAATAATGTACCTTTTATAATTTTAAATGTAGAATATTTTGCATACATATATGATGTGATAGAGAACAGGACCGTTACAAAATCTTAATTTCTTATGCTTATATTTTGGTTTCAATGTGATGTAAATGTTTATTTTTTTTTATTCTACTATGGTGGTAAACAACACCAACATTAAATGTGTAATCTATGTATTTAATTCTGTCACTGCACTTCATCACTTGCCACCAGCCTTGCACACCAGTCTACTGGAACAGCTCTTATATATTAATTTGGGTTTAAATTTCAATTGATCAATTAAATGAGAGGATGGCATTTTGAATATATCTTATTTATATTATATGCATCGGTTTGCAGTTTTTAATGGTTATTTTGTTAACAATAACATTAACTGTAGTTTTGGTCTCATCTCTTGGTTGTGATTGAAAATGTTTTAACTAATTATTCTTATTTAATTTATAAACATTAAAATACACAACGGGAAATATAACTCACAAATATAATATCTAATATGTTAGAAATGGTGTTAAATCAATATTATATGACGTTCATTTAAGACTATCACGATGATAGATATATTCAAGGCCTGATTAATGCCTGATGGGCTACATAATTTTATAGCGTTATTTCACTTCAGAAAGAAGAAAGTGATGTCACCATTTGCGTGATAAAAATACAACATCGATACGATCTATCATTATCAAAAGTAAGGTATTACAAATGTCTACGAAATCTTCCGACCATCTCTATGAAGTCGATTACATTATGTAGGTACTTATGCAAACATGATTATTGATAATATCTATGTTTATCATAAATATTATAGTTCCAATCTCTATTTACATTTTAAGCGACTATAAAAAGAACTGAATTCTCTTATTTTCTGTTGCGTGGGACGTTTTTGCATAGAGTCAGATTTTAGATGATTCTTTTCGTACATGGTTTACTTGAGATTGTTCATTCATATTAATTTTGTTACTTTTCTATCAGACATATCTCTGTTTCTAAATTATTAAAAATTCTACGTAATTATACATTATTCATACTTATATTACTTGTACTTCACCAGTTTATACAGAATTATCCATACCTGTTTTGTGTTCTTTTTAGGATCAGCTATTATTAATATTCATTTTTTTATAATATATTATGTCTAAATATGAGGGCCATAAAAAATGTAATATGTATATGCAATACTCCTTTTTACAACATACTGTATTTTAAATAAGCGTATATTGTACAACGCATGAAGTTAATAATTATTTATACGAACACAAATTACTACAAGTATTTCGCTTAATAATGTTCATCTATTTACTATATACACATAGATTAGACAAAAAAGATATCTTAATACAACATTATAGAAGAATTCAGAAGTGTAGTTTTACAGACGCCTTTGAAGTTTAAAGCCCCCTCTTTTTCGTAGTTGAATGGGTGTCGCTCGTGCTCAATGTCCCGAAAATGCAGTATTGACTGCTAACTTAAAATCAATGGCTTGAATTGGTATGAGACGTAGTTAAGTTTTAACAGTCGGTCCTATATTAAGTAACATAATATATACTTTTATCAATATTTATTACTTTATGATAGACGATTTTAGATTTGACTACAATACTTGTAACAAACAAACAAAGCGACTTTGACATTTATAATATTATAAGAATTATGATAGGTATAAAATAAAATAGATAAAGTAATCGTAAAATGCATAGTTACAAGTACTATTAACTGTCTAAGAATCAATTGTCGCTGATATGAAAGTGATAAGCAAATCTATTATATCGGCTACGTAACTTGATACGGGTGGCGTCGGTGAAAATAATATGTTATCATTAAATTTGATTTACGTTAGATTAGGGTGTTTGATAAGCGGCTTTGCGGCCGAGTACCGGTAAATTAGGTATATAATTACTTAATTAAAATCAGGTAATATTTTATAATCTGACTAACTTATTTCCGAGGATTTGTCCGGTAATCGGAACAACTTACTGAATCCTTTATTTAACTGTTTCTAGTTGCCCATGTCTTTCTCAAACCTAAGTACTACCTTTATACCAAGTTATTATAAGTGCATAACTTGGTATAATTTATTGTAACTTAGTGTAACTTATTGTAGTTTATTGATTCTTTACAATTCATACCTAACAACACTGTGATTGAAACAACAACTTTTTAAATGCTAATTTACATAAATTGTACAAGTGTATGCAGACTTGAATTGAATTAGTGTATTTGATCAGTGTACGCAGCACCGTATATAACAGAAATAACGCAATACATAATTGTACTTTATATAAAATAGGCTACTGAATTGATATAACAAAAACGATAACCAAATAGCCAATAATTAGAGAGGCCACGCCCACATTTTCCGCAAGAATTCGAATTTATTTAAATCGGTTCAGTAGTTTTTGAAAGCAATACAGACAGACAAACAGAATTACTTTTGCATTTATAATATTAGTAAGGAATTATAATCAATATTAATAAATAAAATATTTAGCTCAACTTATATTTTGTATATATTTTTTTCTGTCGAAATCGAGATATTAAGTAAACTAAATATTGCGTAATATGTAAATCATGTAATTTCAATCTACATAAATACAAAAATTTTTAACGAAATAATTATTATTGGTATATTATGAATGAGTAAATAAATTCAAATTCGCTAATATTCCATTAGAAAACCGTTTAAATTGATGTCATATTACCCTCTTTAGATGACTTGAGTGTTTAATTCTACGCAGACTTTGATCAGGTCAATGTATTTTTTTTTACTTTATTGAGACTAAGGAAAGAGACTTAACTTTATTATAACGATAACAGGAATAAGTAACATAACTGATAACATTTTTTTAACGACTAAAGTATGTATATTATCAAAACTATCATGCAATAAATTGATGTCGCTCATGACGTACCTATGTTGGGAAAACATATCATAAATTAGTCTAAAGCCGGTAATACTGACTGGTCTACAAATATTTGTACTCATAAATATTAAGAATACATTGCATTCAAAATATCAAAATAATGTAATCCTATATTCAAGATACATGCTGGTGACTACAATTCTAGATGTGGTCTGCGGTATTGTCAATTGTCATTAAAATAAAGGATACATCTAATCATGATATATAAAAAAATATTTTGAAATGGCTGAAACGTCCTGAGTATGAAAACTGTGAAATTATATACTATGTTCTCGTATTAATATCTCTCTCGCTCTCTCTCTCTCTCTCTCTCTCTCTCTCTCTCTCTCTCTCTCTCTCTCTCTCTCTCTCTCTCTCTCTCTCTCTCTCTCTCTATCTCGTTGTTATGTTTTCGGTCAATTGTAATTTTAGTAGTTGTAAATTTGCAAGGGGACGGCTGGTTCCTAGCTGGTACCTAAAATACAGGTTTCTAGTTAGTTTAGGTACCAGGGAACAATGTAAAATGTAAATATTGGATGAAAACAAATTATTATCACTATTATTTATCAGTATTATGAATGTAATATCTAAGTACTTCTATCTACTCTGTATTATTAGATATTACAAAAAATAATCACATAATGAAATTTGATGATGAAAAATTTAAATGAAAAAAGTTGTCCGTTTCGTTGTTAATAAGCAATTATTATAGTAACGTACCATAATAATTTTTTTATCTATCTAATGCATGCATGCGTCACTTAAAAACTATTATATAGATGTGAATGGAGATCACCGATATATTGTTATATGTCTAATTTAAAATATAGGCTCCATTTTACCACAGTAAATATACAGTGCGAAGCAAGTGCAGGTCGCTAATATTATATATTTCCTTACTGCGGTCTTCTATACCGTGAAAATTAAGTTATAATTTAAAAAATCAGATAAACACGGTCAAACTATATTAAAAAACTAACATGGGTAGTTTAAATTTATTATAACACATATATAAAACACCTACCCATACTTCCAGTCCATTGCGTAGGAACGCAGTACGTCCAGACATAAACAATAAATAAACAGACATACGCAACGCTTCCATTCCTGCTCGCGACTGAATCTAAACATGTGAATGGGCACGCAAACGTTCTAACTTTTGCTAACACTGGATATAAAAAAATCGACGCCCTTCAGCAAATTGCAACTTTTTTATTTAAATGAAAGTGCAAATAATCTAGCAGCCCACATGATGTAAAATGGCAATTTTACAGCGCCACAAATATAACAAAATTAATTATTTTTTCCCATCATGCGATTCTGTTGGTGAGATTAAAGTTGTCGTGTCTTGTATTATCTCAAATCCCTTCAAATAGGAAAATAGATTACAAACGACTGGTTATATGATGATGACTATGCTATATAAGTATGACCCACACGTGACTATATACAAGCTCTCCCTCGGCGAACATTGCCAATAGAGTCCTTAGTTATTTAGCTAAATTACACTGGGTTTATTATTAGGAATGCTAAACAGGCTGATGGCCCGCTTGACGGTAAACGGTAACCGTCGTCTCTATACGTATACAGCACTACGGTACAGATATTGGTGATATTGAGAGTGTGACTTGAAAACATGATTCCCGTCGCCTATATTCCAGAGGACTAAGATGTAATGCCTCTTATCCTGTAATTTCATTCCCTAATCTGCACACAACAGCTGAAACACTGCTTATAAATGAAGCTGCTTGGCGGCTGATATAGGCAAGTCTGAGAACCCATGCAGATGACGTTTCAGTCTGTATACTTCTGGTAAACTGTAAAATTGTTTTGTTGTATATAAAGAGGTTATTTGACTGACAGTGATCACTTAAAAAGCGTTTGAAAAAAATATTCATTTATAGGTAAAGACCAGGTTACCCTTTTTATGAGGTGCTGTAATACAACGTAGTGATACTCTACTATTAATATAATTTAAGCAATGAGTTAGCCCATCTAACTTCATCCTGATACTTTGATCCTCCAGTAGTGTCCCGCCAACGTATATCGTTAACGCAGGCGGGTGGACCATTTCATTATCATGGGCTGGAATATTAATATAGCCCCTAGTCCATCTAGTCCCTCGGTAAGCAGAGCTTGTGTTATGGGAACTAGACAACTGATATAAATACATACATTTTTTGTAACTTTGTACATACATGCATAGAAAATACCCAGAAAATACCGATGCAAAAAATCGTACTGCTGAATACAAATGTTTGTACCGTGCGAAGAATCCAACCCGCGACCGCGGAAGTAAGGCGGTGTGCTAAACCGCTCGACCACCGAGGTCGTAATAAAACTAATTGTATATATAACATTTCTATAAGAGAAATAAACTAATTTATTCACTACGTCCCCATTATAAACAATGTTATTTTATAATTACCTGTCATGCTAAATACAGTTTTACCACAGTATTAGTTAAATATATAAAACTTATCCTTGTTTCGTTGTTCAAATTTGAAACGTGACTAAAATATGAATAATTGTTTACAATACTGTCTTGCTTATAAGGTACTTGTTACAAATTAATTTAATAATCCAATTTGTAGTGCCCTTCGACTTCCCGCAAACAATATTTTGTTTGACCTTTAAATAAAGTAATAAAAACAGCGGTTGATATTTTGTACACCCAACTAACCTAGGTATTGTTTTTTGACGGATCTGAAAGCTAAAATTATGTACTAAATTAATTGATATGATTCTAACTACTCAATAAAGGTATATTTGCAAACGATTTATTTTTAGAATAACGCTAATATTATAATATATTATAATCAGTGTTATCCCAGATAGTGCCTATCACCGCTCGTTATTGGTGTTTTTACACGAGTCTTTTTTTTTATGTTAGTGCGCACTTGCTTCATTCTGATCCCACCCTCTTCTACTGATGACCATCAATGAAGTCGAGTCAGACTATCATGATCAATTAAACCAGGATCGTTTCCAGTGGGAATCGCGTGGTTACACTTGATAAAGTATTAAGACCTAGATAAATTTATCTTACTAATATTATAAACGCGAAAATTTGTGAGTATTTGTGGATGGATGTTTGTTACTCTTTGATGCAAAAACTACTGAATGGATTTTAATGAATCTATGCAATAATATAGTTTATACATCAGAACAAGACGTGCGCTATAAATTTCACTGTAGTGAAATCCTGGTCACAGCTTAATTACATATTAATATACGTACAGTTAATTAGCACGATTTTTTGAGATGTGTGATTTGTTAACAGTCGTACGAGCGCGCTAACTTGGCGGACGCGCTGCTGCCTCGCTCGCTGATCGATGGCGAGCTGATCATCCGGCAGGGAGACACCGCCGACGGCATGTATTTCGTGGAGGACGGCTCCGTCAGCATCCGCATCACCCGCGACGACGGCAACGAGCACGAGATTAAGCGCCTCGGTACGTACCCTAATTTATTAATTTTATCACTAGGCAATTACCAATTAATAATATTCTAAATCTATTATATTGATTTTTAAAAAATGACCTTGAACTGAAATTGAAATTTAATACGACAGTACTTAATTGATAGACTCATTTTTTATATTATAATGATATTATACTTTCTTTTTCATAATAACTAAAACATCCTCCAAATGTACCTATAGTGTTTTGTAAATATCTGAAATATAAGAAAATAGCTCGAAAGAAAGAGACAAAAGCATTCCAATTCCTGAAATAGGTTTAGCTTTTTTATGTATACGCGTTAATCATTAATGATCTTAGTATAACAAAAAGCATATGTATATCAATCCTATAACTGAAACCTTAGTACAATTATAAACAATAAATACATAAGCTTATTACTATTATTTTTATTTATATTATTTGCAATAGTTACTGGTATTGATTGACAATTGAAACTGGTAAATTGTAAATAAACTTCATCATCCAACCACTCATCCGAACCTCAAGGTAACACAAAAATAGGTAAGACATTTTTGGTATTACAAACTGGTCAAACGCAATTCTAAACAAGACAATTACTCAGACTCATCATGGTATTTATTTGGAATTGAAATTGGAACATCTTTGCAAAGATTCTTCTTTCTTTACAGCACTGAATGGTAAAGAAGAGTGGTATAGTGAATGCAGAGTAGGTAAGACAAAGGAATTGGTGCATTCAATGGGTGGGGTCTAATACGCTATGATTCTGCTAATGGGTCGATTTCACGTGTCTTTCGCTTACAAGCGTTTCTTGTTCCATAGTCAGAAATTTCTAGGCCAATAATTGTAGTTGCATGTGGGTAATCATCGCCACATTCTCTGAAGAGAAGAGAAATCATTAGACATGAATATATTATAGTAGTTGGATTGTATTAGGTTTCCCACTAACATCATCATTTATCATACCAATCTTTTAAGGTTCATGTCGAAGTGGGCTCTCTCGCAATATGAGAATCCTATTATTTCAACACCGACATGCAAATAATCTTTATATTAGTATGGGTTTTAGTTATCTAGTATATTGTTCCCGAAGAATATATAAACATAACTCGACTTCGGATTAACAGATTTGTATTACAAAAAGGTGGTATGGAAAGGACGTTGTGGAAAATAAAATACTGATCGTCAGCCACAAATAAATTATTTGTAGTTAAGTATTTATACATAATGTAAGAACGAAACCCTAACCATAATATGGAAACAATGGAGTTTTCGTCAAAGTCTTTACAATGCTCTAGAGTTTTAGTGATATTTTAGTTGACAGCTTAAGCTGGTCATCTAAAAATATTGATACTACATCGATATAGAGACTAAGAATTCAGACTAAAATTATCTTTAGTTAATAGCAATCATATTAATTTAATACATACATACTAACCTGTAATTAATTCTGAATGTTCAGTTATAAAAACGCATATACTCAGAAAACACATCGTAGTTTCATTCATAAATCTCCAATTTGAGTTAAATTTAATTAAATTAAACAATCTTATATAAATTGAATTTCACACTAATTAACTCGACTTTGATTCATAAAGAAATATGACTGATTAAATTTTTATATGTTTTGTTTACATAGGACAAGCATTATTTTTATACCTGATAGAGCACTACGAAATACATAAATAACGAAAAGATTTAAATCACCAATACAGGAATTGACTTACTTCTAGTGACTGGTCTCTAGTAAAGAGTTATTGTGCATTTTGTCTTGTGATACATCTAAAAGATGTCGAACTAGTCAAATATATATTATTATGTATATTACAACTTTATGGGCATCGTTTGACAACCAACATTGGGAAAAATAATTATTTTTTACTGACATGAGGCATGTAATTTCTAGCTACGCACGCATTTCAATCAAAGGCATGACATTACTACATCTTAGTCTTCCGGAGAGCCAACAGATGACATTATCTTAGTGCCTTAGTGAAGGTCATGCTACTGTTGTATTTTATGCATATCTTTTTACAGACAATGGACAATATTTTATTGTTATAAATGATCACTGTTATAATTTCTTGTCATGTATCATTTATTTATAATTTTATTTGGCCTTTTTGTCGTAGGCAAAGGAGGTTACTTCGGCGAGCTCGCGTTGGTGACCCATAAGCCGCGTGCTGCGTCTGCTTACGCTGTCGGACCCACCAAAGTGGCATGTAAGTATCCACATGTTCACAAAGTACTTTATGCAAAGTCGTCTTTGTTGGCACTTCTGTCTCATCTATATCACCTGCCAAGCAGATTGCTTTGTAAGCTAGTTCGACAACCTCACATGAACCATACCACAGGCGTTACATAATATCGTGATGTCATGATACAGTTCGTGTACGTCATATAAATGCGACTGTTGCTACTTACAGTTTGTTTGTACATATTTTAAATTATATAAAGAAAAGAGTGGCGGTCATTATTTCTTATTCAGTACGTCGAGACACGTCAGCAGCATAAACGATATTACAATATCGTATTATTATCTAATATTTAAAGAATTAGAGTTAAAGAATTTATTTAAACCAAAAACAAAGTTATAACAATTCTAAAAAACTTTAATCAGAAGCATCGTCAACTATTCGATAAAATCTATGAAAAACTGGGCCATATTGTTGCCATCATCCATCGAACAAAAAGATTGCAATTAGATACGACGCTGCTTTGTAACGATAGAGGATCTTTCAATATATTAATTCTATTCTATTCGTATGGGTTGAAATAGGTGAGACTGAGGTACAATATCACCTATTTCAGTAGCTAATCAGCGTGGTTTGTAACGTGTGTTTTGGTTGTAGGGTGTATATTTGGCTTATAAATTACAGTTATGTGGTACTATATCTTAGTCCTGTTAATAATTTGATGTCCATAGTGCTATTCACGTATATACACGACGGTTACCAGCATGCTTAGTTTTATTTATTTATTATGGTTTACACCTCTGGAGACTATTAAATCCAACTTTAATAAGTAGAACTCGAAGTTTTATTTTTGTTTTCAATATCTAACAAACGTCAATTACAACTGAACCATCATGTGGACCATCAACTGGTTTGTTATTCCAATTACATTAAAAAAATCATATATTTTTTAATGTAGTTATTTCTTGTTCTTAGGCCTCAATGCTTTTCTGCTAACAGTAAACAAATTAATTTCAGTCCTGGACGTGGAGACATTCGAGCGTCTGCTGGGCCCATGCATGGAGATAATGAAGCGCAACATTGACGACTACGAGGAACAACTGGTGAAGTTGTTTGGTGACAAGAGCAACCTCACCGACGTGCGATGAACGCCGCGACGCGGCATCATTACGTTCCCCTTCCATTTACCGTAATCTACTGTTTGGTTTTATGTTTTTGGATGTATGGAAACTGAGATTATGCTGATTTATTTTCGGTTGAGAGAAACATACAGATCTGACTTCGTTATTTATTTTTTTATATTACTTATTTAATGTAATATTATACCTTGTAGTAATTAGTACAATATATAGTTGATATAATTGTTTTATACTCTTCTGTATATTGAAGAAAAACGCAAAGGAAATAACCATTTCCGTATCATAGATGAATTTAGCAAGATAGCATAATCTCGGAACTTCCTCCAAAGTATGGTATGTTTTATGCTCAAGCGATCGCTTACTAAATCGCTAATTAATTTACTAATTTAACAGCTACTAATGTTTTACTGAGTACAAACTGAGTAAGGTGATTAGTTCTCGAAGAATATCCTTTGTCAAACAGTGCCATTTTGATAATTATTTTTCAAATAATAATTTAGTGTTTTAGTGTGTACTGATTACGCGTTTATTGGAAGGCGAAAGCCGCGCAAACGGGCGAGTGCTCAATAATATTGCATTGAAACTGAAATACGCTTATTTTAGATAGAGAAATAATGCCTTAGTAGCTATGTAAATATAAGGTACAGTTCAGCGACCGACCAACAATTGCGCCGTGCGTGCAGTTATCGCAGAAATAAAATGTATACGGACCATCACTTCATTCTCATAACATACCTATCGCGTGACGCGTGACATAACGTGTATGTCAATTTGCTGATAAAGTATTTCTGTAGATTCACGTAAATCTACAGAAATACTTTATTAGCAAATTGACATATTAACATAGAGTGCAATAACTAAGATATTTAATATTTTGATCTATGGAGGATGTGATACGTCGTTAACTATGGTCGTTATCTGCGACAGCTATCTTCAGAAAGTATAGCTAACATCTGATAAATATAATCCGTATTTGAGAATCGGGAGTAAAGGCATTAGACTTAAAATTATACCATAAAAGATGTTTGAGTAGTGAGAGTGGAAAATGCAATGCTATTAGGCACTCGTGCTCGTTTTATCTTGGGATATTCTCAACTTCTATCGCCGTTACTATGAACTTAAGAAATTTTCACTCACACAAGCTTTTCTGAAAGATACAAAATTTTATATACCTTATAGGTAAAGCATGGAGTACTATTTTGTTTCCGTGATTAGATTAAATCTACTCACTTTGTATTAAAATTTTATTTATTTTAAATTTTTTAAATTAAATGTATCGTAAAATTGTATGTATATGGAGATGTAATGTGCGGAACAGATATTGAATGCCAAATTAAATAATAGTTACATTGTATGTAATTGTTACAAATCTGCGAAATTTGAAATATCATTCGGGCGTATTCAATTGTAATTACCAAGTCTAGAAATATTCATATTGGTAATGGATAAGAAACTCTCATGTTTATGTAATTCTATTTCGGCCCACGTACATGTGAATGTTTCGACTTTGTAATAAGAAGATGGAATATTTTGTGTTACCTTATAATTGTGTTACATCTTATGAAAACTTTTTTTTAGTTATAGAGAGTTCCTATTATTTTGTTTGCTCTTACGGTTTTACATAGATCTGAGGTATGTTGAACATTGTTATGTTATAGGGAACACAAGAACTCCAATTATCAAATAGCATGTTGATTCTCAACTTGTACCCTTATGTAGCCGAGTAAACAAATTGGTGTAATGTTTATAATTTTATTTAATGGAGATAGTTTGTATAATTGCGTACAACAAGCACCGTGTAGTATGGTAATTGGTATTTAGTGTGTGTGTACGTGTGGTGTGATTTGACCACCAATTGCGTTATGACGTTAGTGTGAGACGAGCACCCGAGCGCGCCTCCAGCACACGTTTGACCCTCAGGTAGAACTTCCAGTATTATTTTAATTAGACAAGTCTACAAATGTTTATTTGTTAATCCAGCCAAAGTAGGTGACGTGTATTGATCATGATTGTGTAGTGCTAAATATTTAAGTCCATATTTACTATTTAGTAGTTAGTTTTTGTCATTTCTTATTGTATTTTAAAATATTAGTAGATTAGGAAATTTTAATGGGGTATAGTCAAATCCTGAGGGGTGAGGTGTATCGTTTATGACGCCATGTACAAAGATGTACAAATTTGTTTCAGCTGCCATAGAAGATTTTATTGTTTTATTTTTTAATATACCTAACTAAATAATTGAATGTTAATAATTTTATTTCATATGTTAAGCTGTTCTTCAAAGTACCGCATAGATATTGTCGAACAGTTTTAGAATATTTATTGGAATTTATATTTCGATCTTTACATTGCTGTTTTCGATATATTGTAATCATTAACAGGTAGAGTTCCTTTGGTTAGCTTATACATTCCTTCGTTACTGATTTACATATATGTATGTTAATTAATTTATTGTCATTATAGAAATTTATTTGACTTTACTATACCCATCTATTTGCAATGTTTCTCACTTCAAGTGCCTATTTCATACAAAACATCCATCAAAATCAATTAGAACCAAAACTTTCTCACTAACAACTTAAATTTTAATCTCGTGTTTTAACCTACTTGAACTGCCTTTAATATTTGTGAAATGTGTTGTGAAGTATATGTTTAGTGCATCGGGCGGAAGATTAAACAGTTGAACAACACTTGGAGTATTGGACGTTTAGATTTAACCTTTGTTAGTTTATACTGAAACATTTCCAATCCATTATTGTATTTTAAAAAGTTGACAGTTTTTGGGTGTTTATACCAAACTCTTTATATACATGTCGTGAAGTTTATATAATCCTACAATAAACACTTTCTACTTGTGTCTGTAAATAACATTTAACTCTTAATGAATTTATAATCGTATTTTATAGTAAATACCTATATAGTGCGTCAATCGACAACTGTCAACTTCAATTTACATGTGGACAAATATTTGATTGCTTTTGTGTGGAGTCTTGTTTGAGAGGTTTTCCCTTCTATGATACATTATATACCTATAAAATATTGATATTTCCGTGTATAACGATGTGTTTGTTACATTGTACAGGTGAGGTGCGTCACGTGTCCGCCACGTCATTTCTCTGTGTGTCCCCAGTGTCCCGAACCCAGTAGTTAAATAGTTTGTGCAATAACTAATTACTGTCATTTATCTATGTCGTTTACATCAATATCATGTGTTAAATTTTGTCTGTGTGGAATTTATTTATATAGATTTTAATAAATCGTAGTATAAGATATTTCTCTATAAACTGGTGTTTAAGAACATCGTGCATTTGCTGTAATGCATCAGAAAAGTGGCAACGGCTATCTTGATTACACGTCTAGATTCAGTTTTCTGAATGATTAAATCGCAAATGCAATCTATTCGCAATACCTACTATGTTAGAAGCACAAATATTTATATGCGTGAATCGTGGAGAGGTTTTCATTCTGTTGTCTTCCATGGGACGCACAGAAAACTCGCCGCTATTTGCTCCCAATCGGGGCGCTATTATGCATTCTCTGGCATACTGATGTAAAGTTGAAATTCGATACGCTTAAACGTAGCGTAATTTTTTATAAATTATACTAGTCATTGGTGTCTAATGTAGATTGTAATCTGACAGCACATTGGAATGGAAAAAACTCCATATCTTCACGTTCACCCTAGGTGTAAGTTGTCATATTACTACCATGTGAGTAAGCATATCAGTGCGGTAGCCACCGCGCGCCGCCGTCTCCCATGTCTAAATAATATTGCACCACATAAGATACATCCGGTAGCCAGTTGAAAACTAGTACCTACCGCTTTTCACGTCATGAGCTTACCCTGTACATTTATAAAAATTATGTATCGTAAAATGTTAGAAAACTGAATTATATTTGTTTGTAGATCTATAATGTTGTTTACTTTATCTCTTTAAATCGAATGTCTTCTTCCCTTACTCCTTCTAGTCTATGTACTTGTATTAATTAGTTGGAATTGTATATTTAAGGTAGTGTGTAACAGTGCCATTTCTAAAATGAGCTGTTAAGAAACAAACTATACAAAAAAAGGTTATCTAGGTAAAAATATAATATCCAAAGGCAGGAAGAATTACCTTACTTTAATATGTAATATTTTTATAAACATATATATGTTTTAATTAGACCACCCAGTTTTTATTTCTCAGTTGTACAGACTGAATAATGATCAATGTGATATGTAATTATATTCTATGAAGTTCATGTGACATTCTCTAGCGGGAAAATGGTTCCTTTTCTTTAGAGAATACATACTCCCACCATATATATAGCTATTAGCCCACAGGTCTACAAAAGGATCCCTTTTATACCTTACAGTTTTTGAATACTTTAAAGTAGTAATTCCTGCCAAAGTTATATCTTTAAAATAAAAGCGACACCATGATAGTGAGTTCCTAAAATAAGAAATTGTTTTAGTGATTAGGATTTCCTGCAAGATGGGTTCTACATAAAGAACAGTAATTTAATTAAAAGAAAAAATATGTGGTCCAAAATCCAAATCTAAAATGACTATAGTATATATGGATTAACTATATAGCACAGTCTGATGCATGGAATATCTCTAAAAATAAATAGATAAAAAATCAATATGTGATGGAGTCATAAGGACTCCACTACGTATTATTATTTTACCATTCCAACTAAAATATATAACTTGTTTAACAAATCAAATTTTTCAAATTTTTTATTTGGCAATACAGAAACACATGACTTCATAGATGAATTAACATTCAGTCAATTAACTTTAAACAGATTAATTACAATTATATTTAAATTGGCTCTGGTTCCCGGCCATACACCTGCATAATTTTTTCCATTATTTCCCAGTTCTTTTCTTTCTGGAGATCTTTTGTAAACACCTGTAATTAAAAAATGATACCTTGTTTATTCATAAATTTTACATATAACTAGACAGTGGCATGATTAAGGTTCAAAACATTGATCATTATTATTTGATCTGATCTAATATAAGTAATAATATTTAATCTGATTGACCTGACTGTAGAATGTTATTGACATAGTGATGAGTCACATCTACATTAGGATACTGATATTAACTCAAAAATATCACATTTTAATTAGAATACCTTTTCTAGTAGTGTTTACAAAAAATAAGATTTTATTATAGAGTATTTGAATTAAAAATGAGCATTTTTTTAAACTATGGATTTATTTTCAAATAATGTATATATATTAATAGAAGTATTGTCCATCACTGGGCACTAATTTTGGCCATCTCTCTAGAAATTTTCAGATGCCACATCACACCCATTTTTTGCATTGTTCAACTGAAGTGAACTTCTACTGACCAGAACCCATGACTTTTTGCGCTTGGGGTTCACTTTGGATCACCAGTGAAAATGCGATACAAATAGCTCTTCCTATTTCGGCATTAAGAAGATCTTCCCGCAAAAATATTATTTGGTACGAAATTAAATTTGTTCAAGACAATATTTAGTACTGTTGTATATTTTTCAACCTAATGATACAAGCACAGACTAGATTTTAGCGGAAGACATTGCAAACTGGAATATTATAATAATACTACATACACTAGTGGTGGCCTCTTGTGCGAAATACTCTCTATTAATTCAAGTACCCTATACATATGTCAAAATAGCAGAAAAAACCTATTGCAATCACTCAGAAGTTTAAAAACTCATTTTCATTACTTATTACAATTACTTCTATTAATACTAAATCATAAAACAGTACTCTTTATGCCTAAGAGCTGTGTTGTAATGAATTTTGTATATACTTATAAAGTAATAATATGGTGGTACAATACACATAATATGGTATGGCTAACAAAATGAGCAAATTATGTATTGTTTCGTTTCGTGTAATACTGTGTAGATTAAGTAATAAATACCATGTTTTAGGACAAAATTGCTATAAATATCACTTACCGAGTACCAAGCCGCATCATCGTCTAATGTTGAGGCCAAAGGTACAGATACTCCTAGTACATGCAGGGCTAAAGTCAGACACGCAACTGCAATATGTGGCGCTCTATAATCCAAAATTGATGAAGAATGATGAAAATCTTGTAAGAATGCCATTGCTGTACGGGGTACTGGCGCTGACCGCCACTGACCAGAGGGGAACCATTCTTGAAGTGACCGTAAATAGTGTAATAAGTAGCGATGGGGAGAAGGCGCGTCCAGATTGAACCCTAGTAGTCGTAGCACTAGTAACTCCGCTTGTGCAACAGCTCCTCGCCATAACCAGTATTCTTCACCTAACTCTAAAGGCCCAGCACCTCGATTTATAGAATTGTATGCAACGTTTACCGCATCGCGTAGTTTAACAGGCTCGTCTCGCGATTTCCCAGCAGCACAAAGACAAGCGGTGCAAATAACATAGCAATCATAATCGTTTTTATCGGCTTCTTTGAAAAATTTGTGATAAAATATCGCTGCTGTAGCAACAGTTGCCGGTTGTAACAGAAGTTTTATTCCACATTCAAATATAAAGTTTGTAGCTAAACTGTGACCAGGAGCACTTCTGTAATCCGGTAGACGTCTTTCGCGTCTATTATTCTGTAAAGCTAATACATCTATCACGTCCTTCATAATAAGATTTTAATTTCAAAAGTTATCAAATAATTTCAATTAAATTAATGATAATAGGTTAACCAAAGATGCACTACATAGAAACATAGAGAAAGACGCCAGCCATATTAATCTGTGCGGCAGAATTTATCAATAGACAACCTTTTTTTACAGTGTATACATATTACAACGTAATGTACAATGGCGCCCTCACGCTAAATTAAACTAAATTTAAACATGCTTGTACTAACCGCTTTCTTTTTTTGTGGACTCCTAAAAATCAACACTGAGCATTAAACTGCTAAATATTTATTTGTTAAAATTTAAATACCAACATGACATAAATTAATTTTATTATTTATGCGCCTATGTTGCAAAGGGAAGTTACATATCTATAATTATTATATTTATAAAAGGGAAAAGGGAAATATAAGGGTATAACAGGGATCGTTAGTAATGAAAAACTAATTTATCAAAGAGCGATCGCGTGGAGGTCAAATTGACGTTATACACTATTAGCAGTGAACCTTGTATTTGCGTATTTACCGAGTGGTAGAAGTATTCTTATGTATTGTAAGTAGTGGTATTCTCCACTAACTGTTACATATATCTGACCCACACTTATTTCTATTTTACTAATACAAAATCATTTTTGTATGCAAGTGATACGGAACTCTGAAACTTACAGCTAACTTTTGACGTATTCTGATTATGCAGAGTTTTGAGTCTCTCCGAACTTAGCACTACTATTCGTAAGTATTGGTGCTTGTCTATGCATTTATTCTACAAAAATAGATTTACTCGTTTGGATTGAATAGGTCTTTAGAAACTATACGAGTGAAGTTTAAAATCATTTAAACTTTCTTATATAAATGCTATATGTTAAATATATACCTATGTGCCTTTTATTTTTTTCAACATTGCATATTTATAGTTTTTTAATATAACCAATCTATTTACTTGCTGTCTGTGTGCTTGTTTGACTTTTAAAACAGTTAGGAATTTATATAAAAAAACAAAATTTTATTCTTTATAATTGGTTTAGATAATATTATAATATGGATTCTTCTATTTTGTACAGAAATTGATATTATAATAATTATTGTAATGCAGATTAAGAGGATACATCATAATACAAGTGTCTTAACAATATGTCATTATAAATTCAGATCATCCCCTTAGTTATTAGCTGATAGTTACGTGAGCTTCAAAACTTTACCACCCCGACAATTTCTTGCTATTTGAAGATCCCTTGTGCGTTTGAAAGTTGTTCCCTTTCCATACTCATGACAGATACATGTTTGGTATATGTAAACTCAATAGCCTGTTTAATTTCAATATCAAACATAGGATATTCAGTATTTGTTATTTCTCTTTAAAAATTCTTACACAGTAAATTAAGCAATTCAGAAGTCTCAGACAATCACAAACTTCCATTAATATGATATAAAATTATAGAACATAGAGCATATTTATTTACGAAGCGAGCTTTACAGTTTCCCAATATGCCCACATACACACACATTTTTGTTCCCATATAATAATAAAATAAAATAAATAAATAAATAAGTTCAAAATCAATACGCCAAAACGGGATTAAGGTCACCTTCCAGTTTCATCATGAGACTATAATTTTAATATCACATTGTACGGGGAAAGTGATTATTAGCAATGTGGACTTATTACTCCATAGCTAGCAATGTTTGGTACATTGCTAGCTATGTCAGGTAGACCTCCATGCGGTTCCCCATGGAAACCATCGTGATAAATTCCTGGTGAATTTGTCACGATGGGCCAAATGACCTGACCTGGCTCATCCTATCATCTTCCACTGGTGCCCTGCCAGCGTAAACCGTTAGTGCAGGCGCACTATTCCATAAACATTCATTCAAAAAAATCACATTGTCTCCCGACTTCTTATACATACATGTACATTGTACGTGACATGTACAAAATGTCAACTTACTATAAAATTAAAAGATTTTTATAAGTTGTACTAACAACTTTTTATTCTACTGCCTTATTGAAGTAATAACGTTCTAAATCTTAAGACCTCCAATGGAATAAGGAATTGGAAAAATAAATAAAACCATCACATTATTTGAACATAAAAATTAGAATATAATCATTTTCAGTAATTATTTAAAATTATACACTTAAAGTACATTTATAGTAATTTCAATAAAAAATACCAGTGCAGACGAGATACATAAAGAGAAAATATTGTTTTAATTAGATCGTTGGTTAAATACATCGCTTCCAGTAAATGCTTTTACAAAAACATAAGATGGAACGTAAAGAAATAAAAAGTTGAGACGTCACTCGATATAGAAAAATAAAGATAAGATTGAATCACATTCAAAAATTACCCACTAGTGACTAAAAATTTTACTTTTCTTAAACGTTTCTTCAATAGACGAGACCGCCCAACGTGTTCCTGTCTGCCACGTTTTGTGAAGCATACGTGCCTTTGGATGCTAGCGTACTGTAATGCTTATAGGTAGTGCAATAGTCCATGTACGGCGTACAATGGACGCGATACTGCTTCGGGTGACGTTCAACAGTACTCACACCCCGGGCGGTCTCTCGCACGCGCTAGAAATAAATGTTTACATGTCATCAATTCTAAATAAGATATTTTCAACATTGTACTATGATCAGTACCGTTAACCGTACGACTATAATGGCGCTGGGGCCGCGTCGACGGCGATGCGTGCGGCGCGCCTCCGCCCTTATCGCGATCTCAGACATAATTTAGTTATCAAAGAACATACAGTATAAATAGTGAGGTTAGTATTAACTTTGGCAAATATGAATGAAGCATGGTGATATCGTTTTAGATCGACAACATTGTGATAAAGATCCAGCGTTTAATATTAAAGTATAACTGAACGTCGCTCGATTTGCGAATTTTATTAAGATGTTCTGGGTAGTCCTCAAATTATCTCATGTTACATCATATACAATAAGACATCTATTACGACCCGATACTAGTAATTCTCTTAAAAAAATCTGTAATAAACTTCCCCCGTCGTGGATCTAATAAAGCGCGAGAACATTTTGAGCCGCATCAATTCAGTCTTCAAATAAGAAGCCTACGCACATACCACGTGATGTCACGTTTGGCCGACAAGTCAGTTTGAGCGTAGAGACGAGTTATCACCGGGTGTCGGTACCAGCTACCAACTATCAGGCACCCACTACAACGCTGTTGCCAATGGTACTACGCCGCTCGGCTAGCACGCCTGCTTGCGTTGCATCGCGTGCACCTACGTCCTTACGCCAGTCTATTATTTGTGCGAACATCTTTGTGTCCCAAACAAACATTGGTTTGTGGCGTGTGCGTTTCGGTCACTGTCTCAAATCTTATAAACTAAATGTGATTCGAGCGAATAAACAATGCGGCAGTGTACAAAATTTACATCACATTCACTCGAAATATTAAAGCATACAAGTTAAATGTTTAGCGGCGGAGGAACACATTAAAATGCGAAACTGACGACCTTAATCATTTCCTACGATATCTGCTCGGTCGATATATGAACGTAGCGGGCTGACGGGGTGCGGGGCGGCCGACATTCGAGACACATGTCAGTGCTGCGCTCGAATACAAAATATTCCATACGTGCGTCACGAGGGCGACGACGGCACAGTAGTGGCGGCCGCGCCGCGCGCCCCTCACACATACACACACCGGCACCGGTCATTCATCATGGAACACATCGTACCGATGCGATGAGACCCAACCCAACAGTGAAGACATTCAACATTCACACTTTAAAACTTTCAATGTAGTGTGAAGCTTACTTAAATTTAGGTTTCGGGTTGGATGTAGAACTGCGCTAATTATTTTTATTAGTTTACGTACACATATTGTTACATAACAGTAAAAAACCTACTAGCAACAAATGAGCGGCGGCCGCTCAGCGGCGGGCCACTCGCACGCAGCCGCTGACACTACTCCGAGCCGACGGAAGGTTCATATCCACCTACATATACCGTCTCAAGCTTTAGAGTTCACCGATACAACACATTTTATAATTAGATAGCGATTAGTATTGAAATCTTTGGTTTTCAGCAACCTTAATCGTTAACGTCGATGATCATGCGATGTCTAAAGCGCTGGCGAATGACCCGCTCGGTCACAGTGTAGGCGTTACATTCCGCATTTAATCACTTTTTACATACTCATAAACATAAAATGAAATTAAATCACCTAACTATGACAATAGTAAAGGTTACTGTCTAATTGCATTATTAATTAATGTTTATTGATACAGTTACTGCCCTAATGCTTAAAAGTAAGATTTTTATTTTATTATTAATAATAAATTATGTTATATAGTATATATATGTATAGAGTTTGATTACGCCAATTCGCGAGTGTATACAAAGTTTATATACTCACATATCTTACACTTAATGCGAACAGAGTGTCGCCGCTGCCGCACCGCAGTCTACATACAACGACTGGCGACTAGCGACCGGTGCGTCGCACGAGCGAGCACACGTTCGTCACTTACTACTCCTTTCTCACCATTACAGACTCCACTCCAGCTCCACAAAATAATGACAAACATTAACATGACCGTAAACGTTGGTTAATCACTTAAATATAAAATTAAACATGACAAGTTTACATTATACCCACCTTCAATACACGAGTATGCTAGATGAAATAAATACCTAATATGATTTTTTATAATTGAATACAAGAATAGATCTTAAATGGCTACACCTTAAGGTTAACTGTAAAGTGATATAGAAAAAATATGAACACAAAAAATATTTAAGATTTTATATGGCATTATGTATTTATTGATGCTTACACGAGTAAATAAATTGTGCATAATATGACGCTTAAAGTAAACACACTTGGAGGATGACACTGCGCTTAGCTTACATAACGATTCAAGGCGTGTAAAATAAATGCTAACATCTTAATCCGACAGCAGTTATGTGCATTCAAAAGTTTATAAAAAAATAAATTTCTCATCGTAAGCGATATAATACTTAATAATGGAATGATGTATCAGTTAAAGTAGGCCTGTGAACGTATTCATGCATCTCACTACCGTGTTATTCAGTACTAAATATTGGTTCCATTCTGTTTTTGGTCCGTAAGAGAGTGAGTATATAAGCACATTTGTTGCCGGAGGTCCCGAGGGTCGTCTCGCGCGGCCGGTGAGGGTCGCAATCGACACACGACACGACATGTCACGACACGACACGTCACGACACGACACGACACGACACGACACGACACGACACGACACCACACGACACACGACACGCGACGTGCAGTGCACGCGCAGCGCACGCCCGCGCCGCCACTAGACCGCGAGTTACCCCTTGCACGAACGAAACACTATTCCAATGTCTAGCACCAAAATTTAGAATTGAACACTAGATCACTAATTCGCGCTCGTCGAGAACGAACATCTAACCGGGAACGGTGGGCGGTGTCGATAAACGCATCGCCGTATCGAAGAGAAATGGCGGTTTATAATACACGGGGAATGGAACAGAGCGAGGCGGATCTAGTCGCGCCCGGGCGTGACGCTCGTGTGCACGTCGGCGGTATATCCAGTAAGCTTACTTCCCATAAAAATATATAATAATACGCGTAGCTGCGAGCGCGGCCGCCGGGCGGCGGCCGGCGTCCCCGCACTACGACAACAACGAAATGCAGTGCGACCACAAAACCTGCCGCGCGTCCGGGGTCATGCTTCGTAAAACGCCGAGTTCCAACCGGGAGCGTGGAACGAACGTGCGCGACGTGTACGCCGCGTGACGTGACGTCACGTCCTGTGGTCGCACCGCCGGCTGCCGACGGGGGCCGTCGCTCTAGTAGAGGCCGCAGCCGCGCAAGTTGTTAGCTATGATGACGTCGGTGACGGCGTCGAACACGAATTGAATGTTGTTTGTGTCGGTGGCGCAGGTCATGTGGCAGTAGATTTCCTTGGTGGTAGATTTATTCTTTGCTTCGAACTGCGCCTGGATGTACGCAGCCGCCTCGCCGTATTCTTGCGCGCCTGGAACATATAAAATATACTTTAAAATATGTATTTAACAAAATATACGGAAATTTATATACATAACAATACATAACATTTTAACACAGGTAAATTAGAATTTCTCATTGTACCTCCACTGGTACTCACAATGACCACCTCTAATACCGATAAAGTGTCAAATATATTCTAGAATAAACTAGGTAAATAAAGTAGTAGTAAATATTTTGCAATATATACTTTAGAGGCAAAAATACTGTGACTCATTTACAATTGGAATGTGCTTGGCAAAGATATTATTAGCAACTTTGGTTGGCAACAAGAAAGTTATCTGATATTTTTGTTTCCTAAGACAATATTGACCATTCCGATTATTACGATCTATATTATGCTGTCGGTAGTATAGTTTTATCTATTTTTTGCCATGAAGTAACAAATTTCAACCTATAGCAAGATAATAAGTGTAATTTCTGACGCAGAGGCGTGGCACAGTGTATTCTGTGTTATCTATGATACTATTGACTTTAATGACATCAATCACCTTCCTTCAGATGATATGATAACTTGTTTAATATTTAAAGCTTTTAATGCATTTTTTTGCTCAAGTAAATTTTGTACAAAGTCGGTTGCGAGTCTACACCTGTCTCAACTAAATTTAGCTGCAAAGCATCTTGTTTTATATGTTTTATCTAAATTTGAAGTACTATGACACCTCAATCTCTAGGAAAAGCAAATACGAGGGTCGCATGATGATAGAATGGCTATGTTCTTGTCTATAGGCGATAGTAGTCCACCTATTTCATTTATATGAATTAAATAATAATATATAGTCCAGTAGTCTATTTTAGCACATCGCCTTACTTATGATGGTTGCAGATCTCATTCGTCGCAAGGTACAAATATTTGTATTCATGAGTATGTTTGTTTGTTTCTGGGTGTTTTCTCTGTATATTATACATATTTACGAAAGAAATGTCTGTGTTTTTCTCAGGATTATTATTATTATTAATAATATTCTTATAATTACCCGTGTACTCTGGAAAACAGATAGTGAGCGGCGACTTGCGTATCTTCTCCTCGAACAAGTCCTTCTTGTTCAAGAACAAGATGATGCTGGTGTCCGTAAACCACTTATTATTGCAGATGGAGTCGAACAGTTTTAGACTCTCCTGCATGCGGTTCTGTAAATAAAAAATATATTCTTTTAACTGAAGTCTCGTTTCATGCTAATCTTAAATCTATACATATAATAAAAATTTAATTAAACGCTGTTTAAATATGAGCTAAACTATTATTGGGGGACTGTAATAGAAACAATGATTTTTAGAATTATTGTCTCCGTATATACGCGTGTGTGAGCCATGCATTATTACTGATGTGTGTTAAAATTTAGTGTTTGTTTTATTCCAATTGATTTAGAAACAAAAACATAGACCAATACTAAGTTTCAGGCTCAATTAATAATTAAATTGAATAAAAATAAAATAGAATAGGTTTATTCCTTTGTGCGTTTTTCTTTCACGTCTTATCCGCATAACCAGTAAAGTGCATGATATATTGCATATAGCTATCACCAATTCTTATAAATGGATTTTAAATGATACAAAAAAAGAATTCATAACGTTAATTACAATAATACAAAGTCCAAACTGATTGCGAAAGTTGTTAACAGAAAATAAGAATAATATATTTCTTGTGTTATTTGGTAGACAATGGACAATGTACTTGTATAAGTAAAAATACATCATAGATAATTATCAAACACATGAAAAACAAAATAAATTTATTAAATATAATTGTATTTTAGTTGTCCAAAGGCAATCTATGTAACCATTTGTATTCGTTGGTGTAACTAAAGTTTATATATTTCTAAGAGTGTGTTTGTAATTTTATCAGTTGTCTATTACCCATAGAACAAGTACTGTTTACTTTGGGACTATATTGCGCTATGTGAATAGTCCAAGGTTATTATATATTAAAATATTGTTTAATAATTCTTCACCTACTGTTATAACATATATACATTATAATAATGTGTTATTCAGATTATAATAAAAATAATTTATTATTTATAAAGGTAGACATTTTTAGACAGTTCACTGCGACTATTCCGGCGGCATCTTGAAACTCAGCTAGAAGTATAGTAATTTTTTAGTAACTTTCCAAGCATCCAGCTTACATCATAAAAGGAATGTGTTACCTGATATGCCCTATTATTATGTTCCTTAAGCTTCCAGTTTCAGTCATACAGACAATGCTAGTGACCAATAAATAGTTCACGACAGATCTCTTTATAAGAATAGATAAATAGTCTCATTTCAGTATGAAAAACAAGTGAATAAAGAAAGAAACGCTTTGAACCATTTGCCACGTCTCGTCCTACCTACGTCACCATACTTATCGTTACAATGGTATGCGTGTACTATAGAATCATTAAGGAAAACTGTTGTAGAAATATTTCCGCTAAATCCAATAAATTATTAATGAGAAGTATTTCATGATTCACAGTCATTCTTTTTTAAATAGGACAAAAAATGTTTCCAGCGTTGATTATAAAAGAACGTGTAATGAAAATAAACATCACTGCCACTATTTATTTGAAATATTGTTATTAGATAATTTACGACACAGATTTCAATTTGATCTGGGTTTTAGCAGTGACAGGCAGATCTTTCGTTACCATAATACAGCCTGTGTTTGTTTTGGAACTATATGGTGGTATTACATACCGTTGTTTCATCCTCGTGCAACACTTGGTCATACTCGGACATGGCGACGCAGAAGATAATCGCTGTCACATCTTCGAAACAGTGGATCCATTTTTTTCTCTCCGACCTCTGACCGCCCACATCAAACAATCTGTAATATTAGAACAGTATTATTAGTAAAAATTATAATGAAATCAATATAGGCCAGCTATAAAGTATTTAATGCAGTGGCTAGGTTTAATGCAGTACCTATTTTCTATTGTAGCAATTACGAGGTAGTTATACGATTTACATAGTTGCAAATTATCGATACATAATAATAAAACTGTAGGAAGGACGAAGTTTCAAAAGATGTTTTTAGTCATTGTGTTATAAAATGAAGATACAGTTTATGATACTAGTAAGGTAATAAGGTCAGGTAGAAAGATTTTATAGTTCGTAGAGTAATGGAAGGTTACAACGCTAAATCCACATATTAAATTATGCTGGTTGATCGATGGCAAGCATTCCTGTTGCCAAGCGAATCTGTCAAGGACATAACTATGTACTGATATTCTTAACTATTCTCAATTATGACGACCTCGGTGGTCTAGCGGTTAGCACACTGCTTTACGTCTGATGATCGCGGGTTCGATTCCTCGCACGGCACAAACATTTGTATTCATGATATGATTGTTTGTATCGGTCTGGGTGTTTTCTATGTATAATACGTATATGTATTTACGAATAAAAAAATATCTATGTACTTGTATCAGTTATCTAGTACCCGTAACACAAGCTTTAGCTATCTTAACTTGGGACTAGATGGCGCTGTGTGAATTGTCCTGAGATTATTATTATTATTATTATAACGGGTTAATAGTGTGTTTGCGATTTTAGAGCAGAGGAATAAGCTAATGAATGGATTCTACATATATCGATAGTTATATTTATCGGAGAATTTCAGGAGCAGATTTCTTGTTTTGTAGTGTTCAGTTAATTTTTAAGTTGTACAATAGCTGGGTTATGGAAGTTTAGTCATAGTGTATATTTGTAACATGGAGGGTAGATATTTTATTATTAGTCAAAACGAGTGTTTTGTACTCACATTCATTGTTGTACAATGAACAATATATTATGTTGTACAATATATTAAGCTAGATGAAAATACTCTAATTACTCCATTTAGGTTCAGGAATCTACGTATACTATGATGGAACTGCTTTCATTCCTTCTGGAGATTGTTAGTAAAGGGGTTTAGTGTTCATAATGTTAGTAATGTCACGCATAGGGTCTGGAAAAACGTCGTGATAAACTAACTACTACCGATTTGGGTGGGACTAGCTGATTTGTCATCACCCTCATCCCATCATCTTCCACTGGTTTCCCGTCCGTGTTTACTATAGTGCAGGCGAGGGTGCCATTTCAAATTAATTAATCAAAAAATACCACACTCCAACCTTATAACGGTCTTAATACTTACATAATTAACTGTGCTAAAATATATATTAGGTCTTACTTGAAGTTAAGGTTTTTGAAGGAGAAGTGCACTTCAACGATGCCAGTGGTTTTGACTCTAGTTCTTAAAATATCTTGCTCGGTGGGTTGGTAGTCCCTAGCACCTAACCGGTCCAGGTCATCCAGGAAGCTGAAAACAAATTAAACAGTACATGTCAATTAATTGTGTATTTATATTATTTATTAGCGTTACCATGTATAGGTATATGTGCTTTTACAAATAAAAAAAACATAAAAACAAAATATTGTACTACTATTATTAGCTGTTACCAGCGACGTCTTCTACTTCTTTGAGATAAATGATCAGGATACAATCTAAACTGTTGTATTATGAGGACTGAGTGTCAATATATGCCAATATTGCTAAAACATTGCTTTTTAGCAATAAGGCCGCCTTACTGTATTTATTCAGATGTAGTTATTTAATATTTAGATGTACCTATTTTCTTCTACTGTATAATTCTAGTAAAAGCGTCTTCTTCCTATCTTTCTTCACGTCCAATTTCATTCAGTTCAGTCGGTCAGTGGTAAAAAAATAATGAACAGGCAGTCAAACTCGCCTCATTATGTATAATATTTGTATAGATGAATTGATTAGTTTCAAAATACATCATATTTTTGCTCAAATTGTTGCCTTGTTACAATTTTGTTATAAGACCGGAAAAGAGAAATATGAAAGTAAGTAGGAAAAATTTGAAGAGACATTATAGTCTCGTCAATTTCATTTAGTTAGTTAAAATGAGATGCGATATAGTATTCTCTAAGTTGCAATATATATTTAATACTCGAGTAAATAGACTTAATTCATAGTGCAATTTTTTTCCTCGTACATATGTACGGATAATATAGATTATTTTCGCGCAGTTTTTCCGCATTGCGTACAACTTCATACAGCTATATACAGTTCCCTATATGGAATATGCGGAAAAAGTCACACGATTTTAAAATTCTAAATATCGGACTCAAATAGTGCCACAAGAGTTAAAAACGAAGAAATAACTGAGTAGGTAATAAAGGTAAATACCACATGTATAAATGACTTTTATCTACATTTCTAAATTACAAATAAGAAAACCACTCCCCAAGCAAATTGTTCGTCATTCTGACTGTGGACTTTCTGTAGCATTTCAATTTTGTTTTATTATTACTATGGTACTACTTGTATAATACAATTCTATTGAATTAAGTTTAAAGTCCTAAGAAGCGAATATTGCTACTTTCTGATCCTCAGACCCCTTTCTGAATACCTTAAACCCTAATCAACTCTATAGCTAAAACCAACTACCAAAAGTTGTATTATTACCATAGACTAGATGATCAACTATAGGAATTAACTTATTGCAAAAATGCTGACGATAAATAAATCGTTTTGCCTTGTAGTATATATGAGGACTCGATACAAAGCCATATATATGCAACAAAGAGTGACATTCGCATTATACTGATACCAAATGCCTACGTGGCGACGACAACGAAGTCGCCATTTAATATTCTGCATGTGGTCTGTACCGTACTCCTTTGTGTCGCAGGGACTATATTTTTTGGCGAGTCTCATTGCGGACGTGTCAACCAAAGTGTTACACTGTACTCTTACTTTACTTATATTTAAAAAAAATCCTGCAGTGTAGCATAGCTTGATGACTTTTAATTTGAATTTCCAAAGATGTAAAGCAAAGATCTTTTAAAGAGATTTAAAGAGAAACAACTAAATTATAATATGAATGTGCTCGTCCAGTTTAGATTGTTTTCAAAAGAAATATTAGGTTTTGTTATAATTTAATATACCCACATCTGAATGATTTACGTTTTTAGTAGGTGGGTAGCGTCCGGTGAGCCACTAGTTGCCGGCAAACAGGAGTGGAGGGCGACGGCACCGCATACATATTAACGAGCTCAGAAACCGACGGCACACGATAGACAACACAACACGCGATTCTTGAATATTAGAATGGCGTAGGAATAGGGACCCTTCACACCGCACCTTTTAGCGAACTCATAAAATCACCGCAATTGCGCGCCGTCACGGAAAACACAAGTGACAATGATTCAGGTTAACTTGTTCATTATTACCACGAAGTGTCACAAGATGTTTCGATCTGTATTCGATTCCATATACATTTATTTCCGAAGACACGTGATTACATAATTCCGTGAAATGTGACATACATATGTAACAGTAGGAAAATTTATCAGACCATATCTAGATATTACGACAATATTCATACAAACACTTCAACATCGTGAGGTTAAGCATAAATATGAATATGAAGTGTGGTTATTACTATTAGAGAAGTAAGAAATATTTAATATGCGGCGTGTGAAAACTCAATGCAGGCCAGGTATACCGGTAACTTAGAATCAGGGTAAATGAAAAACTACGTCCGCGAGGCACGCAAGCTTTATTGTTCAACAGAAACAAATGCTATGACTAACTACCTATTCAGATGTTAGTTTTAATGTATGAAAAACATCAACATCGATTTCTCTAATGAAAGCAATATCTTAATGGAAGATGTCAGTATTGAGAAAAATAAATTCAATTTAAATCTGAAAATATCCGTATCAATGTAACTGTTCATACATGACAGTTGTGGACTATATAAATACAAAAATTGATAATTAAGGGAAGTCTTTGTTTTGAAATGGCATTTCGTTAATGACCATTTCGTGGCGTGATTGGTGTCAGTAACTGTTGCAAGCCAAGGTCAGGGTGTAGAGGTCGCGGGCAGCCGTAAGCTGGCATACTGCCCGCCCGCTTGCTTGCATAGTCCTGACTAGATCGAACATAAACAAACCCTAGCTTAACATTAAATAAACAATCAATATATCCCTTAATCACATATAACCTACGTTTCATGTTATTACTATGGTTATTTCATATCCCATGTCATGATGACGTTATAAATAATGATTCGAAAATTTTTAAAGTTTTGTTTATTATATGTATAGGGTTAATTATCATAGGAAGTTCAATAATTTGTAGAAAACAGTACAAAAGACAATATATGGATGTGAGTTTGAATTCTGAAAACAAAGGAATATAACCTAACGAGTATCAATTTCAGTGAAAAATTCTAATATTTGCTTTTGTTTTTATGAGTCACAAAAATAGACTACTTTCACTTTCTAGTATGGTACCGAAAACAAGTCAAGAGGCTAGAGTGGCGTCGTGCCAGTCTCAATGTCAGGGGGTTGTATGTACGCGATTTGGAAGATCGCCAACACAGAACCTAACAAGACCTGCTAAACCGGCTTAACAAGGATAGTTCAATGAAAATTTGTTTGTTTCAAATAACTACAACAATATAATATCATTTAAGATAATTATATTTCATTTGTAACGAATAATTGTTCAATGTCTTCATTTAATACTAGACATAAATTTATTTCATTGAAATGATGGAGACGTTTTTTTTCCCGAGAATTTTGTTGCGTGAAGAAAAGATAACATTGAACATCAGTAATAACTCTGTCGTGAGATAATTTTATAATTAAAACATTAAGTACGTATGCGTCAAATGTTCTGACCGAGTGTTTATCGTTCGGACGCTTTTTCGCGCCGGTCCTGGGCGCTGCTGACGTCAACGTTCTGTCAACACTAACTGGGTCAGTAGACAAGGATAAATTACATTTGGAACAACCTAAATCATTTCATTACACTATTGAACCTCGACCGACTTTCTTAGTCCATCCCGATCTACAGTGCTGGTATTTAGTATAATTGAATTGCCTACAATCGAAATAACATTTAATCGATGATTAAATCGAAATCGATATACGAACGATATGCGATTAATTTGAGAGGTTTTGCAAACATCCTGAATCGATCGTATGCGGGCGGACATGCATCCGATGCATAAAATCCATGTAGGCCGTTGTCGCGACCGTCGCGGCGCTGTGCGGCCGCCGCCCGGCAACAGGTCCGGCCGCGCGATCAATACACCGCCGCCGCCGCCGCCGCCGCGCCGCCGCGCGCCGCGCGCCGCGCGCCGCGCCTTTCGATACCTTCTTCGCTACGCCCGCGCCAGCCCGAACCGTGCACACGACACGCACAAGCCATTTATTCACATACAGTAAGATGTGCTTGGTGAAGACGACTCGATCGATGGATCATGGATACGATAATTGAGAACTTATAAATCTACAGTAGAAAACGATATCAAACTAGAAGTCTCCTCCGGGACAAGATCTCTTATTCACGAGTTTTAAAAATTCAACTTACGATAGGCTGTCTTAAGAACATGTCAGTTAAAGATACGACATGAGACAGTCATTGAGTTACAGTAACCGCATAATAGGTGTAAATTGTTATTACAACAATCTCATGGCGGGTGTCACGACACAAGGTGTAGAAACGACTATGTATTAAGTATGTGTCCTATAGTTTTAGGGGTTGTCGTCAGCCGGAGGTCGATCGCTGTGAAGTGCTTCCGGAATTAGCGCGAACGTCATGCGATCGGCACATAAATCTGTCGCCCTCCACCCCCATAGTACTGCCTGCGGTCTTCGCACTCGTCAGCCACGCTGACGGCGACGTAGTCGGCTCTTATAATTCACACATAACTATCTCAATTTAGTTTATTAACAAAATACGTATTTGTAAAATACCTTCTACATGTATGTAAATAATAAAATTGAATCTAAATTTAATCAATACATCTGCTATATGTGGATGAATACGCGGAGCAGTAGTTCATAACTACTTGATAGTATGTATATGTAATTAACACATACAAATGGTATTGCAAATTTTATAAATGTGAAAATAACCGTGTCACCTCTATTTTTGGTGGGTTTGTACGTTTAAAAGCTGAACTGCTATTGGGGAAATACGTTATTGGGATGGCTTGACAAAAATATATAATATATATATATCTCCTTTTCAAATAAATCCTAGCCTGAGGGACGGAATAAGCGACTTTGAATTTTTCTAATGTATTTTCATTTAATATGAATTTTACACGTGTCTGAATAATAAAGCTGAGTCAAATATTTCTATGTAATTCATAATACCATACTTAATGCAATGTGTTATCCATAATACTGTAGTCGAAAAAAATAATCGCAGTATTAGAATATTACGACATTCTTCTACATAAATATAATGAATCATCCAGTCAATTACGTTTATTTTACTGGCGAGAACTCGGCAGGTCACGAGGATCGTAATTCAGAAACGCCATGACCATGGCAGTGTATAATAAAATGTAGTCAACTATTCAATCTAACAACTTTAATAACAGTGCCATGAATGTCATACCCAAAGAAAGAAAGAAAGCGATTCAAGATACAATCGACAAATAAGTAAAGGTACCACAGTCATTATTTCTATAGCTAGTACGAGTTCCGTGACGCCTGAGTGACGGCCCAATGAATAAAACAATCACGAATTAAGATACCCTTTAACAAAATCTACCCCGTAAAGGCCGATTCTTGTATTTTAAATATGACTCTAATCTGATCACATCGACGACTGAATTACGTAATACACGCACAATACAATATGGCTCATGGCACTCAAGTAACTTAATTATCTTTAAATGTTTAAATAATCTTAACAACAACAATTAGCTTATATAGTATTGACATATCAATATTCGATACAAGACAAGTGTTCAATCATAAATTAAAATCTTATAGTATGACGGAACAAGACAACCGTTTTATTCCGCCAGCAGTTTTCACAATCGGATCTGGCAAAGTAGCAATTTTCTGGTTGTTAGTTAGGAGCGCAGTCAGTCAACAGTCTATAATAATACTGCATCGATGAATAACAAATTGCTTACGCGTAGTAAACCATTATGTAGCTAGATTCGTCCTTACATGTTTTGAAAATATAATCGTAAAAATTAATTTTGTTCAAAAGAATAATGTGACCACACATAATCAAGAAATATATAATTATCCTATACAAATTTATAAAAATCAATTTTAAAAAACAGCATCAAAATTATAAAACCAAAAGAGAAAAAAACGCGTTTTTATATATTAGCTTATTGCCGCAGCGTTTGTGGCGCTACAGCACTATATTTCAGCAAAAAGCAGAGAAACGGATTGCCTAAATAGTGTGTTGCGGGAAAACACAAATACGTAAACGCATTTAAAAATACGTTGTTTTGTAAAAAAAAACATATAATCCACAAACAAAAGGTCAATAAGTATGTATTTTTAAATTATTGTATTATCTATTTGTAGAAACGTTGATGCTTATAAATCTTGATGTAAGCCCGAGGCAGACGCATGATGATCCGAACACAAAGCACTACTTGTTTCTGTTACGAGAGCATCCGTCGGCCGCATTTCACAGCACAAATCAAACAAGACTAACATCCGTATATAAGCAATTGTCAAGTATCTTATTACAAACCAGCTTTATCTCGAGTTTTGATCTCGTTCCATTTAAATATTACGTATTAATATAAATGTAATTTTAGAGTCTTTATCCTTCCTAATAGTAACATTTCTAATTATTTTTATATATGTTGAAGTATTTTAGCCATCGTGAAGTTTTGAATATTATTTGGTAATTTAAAGTTAAGTACTTTCTATCCTCATCAATCAATACAATTCTGACACGCGGACTTTTCCGGGGCAATTTGTTTAAATATATGTTTTTTTAAGTGGTGTCCTTTAATTATTGCTGCTAACGGTGGTAGCAATATTTTTTCTTATTTGCTTATCCATTAACAGTGAATATACTATAGAACAAAGGTGCAGTATCCATGGGTTTCATAATATTACACTTTCTTTGAGGGACGGTTTTAAACACGTAAAGTACTCTAACAAACAGCGCTAATGACTTTCAACAACGTTTCAGCATAACTTACCTATACCCATGTAGATTTCATCTGACGATTGCGAAATTGATGATGACTTGCATACTTTAAACAAATTAAACTGAATTCTGTTACTACGCATACTTGCCGAATTTTATTATTATAAATATATTGAGCGTCAACAATGTACAGTATCAGTTGGATATTAGCAAAATACTATTAAATATTTATCGATACATAATGCATGTAGTTCTTTAATATTAATTATTATATTATTAATAATAATAATATAATATTAATAATAATAATATAATAATAATAATATAATATTAATAATAGTAATTTAGTATCTCACTGAATGCAATGATTGCGGAAGATACAAACAGATGGTACAAATGTTCCCAAAGACCGGATGAGTCAATCGGCGCGGACGCACCACTCCCGACTTCCATTGAGGGACTAACTAATTGAGCTGAGTGACATCATACATTCAAACTTGATTGACATAGTAAAGTAGCACTAAAGAATCAGATGATCGAAATGAAGGAATGATGATTTATAATTTATGAATAATTTCAGATATCATCTCTTAATTGCGACTATCCTAAATCATATATGATTCAAACGATTGTCATTCAAGAAGGAGATTAATCATTATTATTTTAGAAAACTTCGCTATTAGGCAAATATAACTGTAATAAAGGTATAGAACCAAAAATGAATAATTAACTGTCCTAGTTTTTGTAGCTTGAAGTCGTTAGTTACAGCACAATATTATGGAAACATGCTACCATGCCTATTGCACTTTTATATAATAATAGACGTTTTCTGATACCGATATTTAAATAACCATATCAATATAAATACTTGCTAATAATAGAAAATAATCATATACATATACATATTTATAATTAGCAACCGTTTGTGCGCGGGTGGTAACGTTAACGTACTTGTATGAGTTAGGTCAACACGGTCGGGTGGCATTGGTTACGAAACCAATAATGCTGAAAACGTAATGCAGATGCTCGCCCCCACTGCCTCCACTGTTGTGTCTTCGGGGGCTAGACCTCCCATTGGCATTCCGATCGCGATGAGTGCCGCGCGGTGTTATACGGTTATGCCGGGCCCTAAACCCTTGCCAATATTTGGCAACTCATGGCGATTCGCTTTAGGCTTGAAACCTTGGCGAACTACCGCCTTAGATGTAACTTTATGGACGTTGAAAGCTTTAGCTGGCAAGAACGGTGCAGCAAAAGTAGCAAAACTTTTCGGACATCCCGATTTAGTATTCCCATTTTGTGCTGAAGAGACTGCAAAGATATACCGCCGGGAGGATGCAATGCCACATAGAGCGGTAGCTCCGTGTCTCAAGCATTATAAACAGGAATTGAGAAAGGACTTTTTCGGCAGTGAGCCAGGGTTAATTGGAGTGTAAGTTACTATGTATATGAATTTCAACCAAGTGTACACACAGTGTACAGTTACACTTAACAAAACATAACTGATTTGTATTTTGTATTTAATCCCTTCCAATGGTTTACGTCATTATTATTGATCTAGTTGTTTTATGACTAAACTCACAGTGATTCTCATCCTAAGTCAATTATTCAACTCTCGGACTAATTACTTGATTACAGGCATGGTGAACCGTGGTCAAGATTCAGATCGAAAGTATCAAAGGCGTTGGCGGCTCCGGAAGCAGCTCGGGCCGCTGTACCCGCACTAGACATCGTAGCTGATGATTTCGTTAATAGGTATGTATGATTTAAATTATCATCATAATGAGCTACAGAGAGATAAGCATATGGCAGGCAGCATATTTATTTCGATTATTTGTGTTGAATTGCCAATTTATTTGTGCCATTAATTTACTCAGCAATAGTAACTTCTCAAAATTTGACAGTTTTATAGTTTTTTACCTCTATATGTTTCAAACATTAGAAAGAAAGAATAAAATTTACACTTATAAAGATAAGTAGGATGCAAACCGAATTATTGAAGCTTAAACTCATCTATTTTAGCCGCCATGCAACTTATTTTTAAGCTGAGTGTCGGTTCAAAGGTGAATTGAGGATTCGTCGACTGCTTTGAACATTATGGTAACGTTATTGCAGCGGCTTACTCTTCTTATGCACGTAGAGGTTATAGTGAAGTTATAGGTTATGGAGGCATAATACCTTAAACCATTATATTTTGTGTTGCCCATGATGCTTTATATGTATGGTTATAATAATATGTATGTATAAATATAATAGTTTAGATAGCTGTTGCGTCTTCTGAATTTATTAAATTCATATATAACAATGTCAACATTAATTTAAAAATCAATTAAATGCTATATATGGAATTAGATGTGTATTTATCGGGAAGTAATACAACAGTATCAAGTCTGTTATTCTTCTATCTCAGTCCTCACTACGTATACTCCCAAATATATACACATATTATGTGATTTTACTTATTAACAAGTAACTTTTATTAAGTCATAAATAAGGATTCGATTACATCTGCTTTTTAACCGGACTGTAGCTATACGGTTAGCTGAACATAAGAACTCAAGCGAAAAGACATGTCTCATAACAATTAACACATAACCTGATGTGTTGTTTTATGACAAAAAAAAATTAGTTCAATAATTTTGCGGTATGTAAACCTAAGTAACCAGCAACATTGTATACGAGTACATTAAAATTCGTTCTTCATAAAAGGAAATAACGGATAAGTTCGTACAACGAACTGTGAATATAATAACTATCTTCTAAGTGGTCTCGTGGTTCAACTGTTGAATCTCAGTTTAATGACCACATCCCGTTTGTAACAACGGCGTCTGCGCATTTGTTTTGAGCACAGTTTACTGACTCATTGCAGGGTACAACAACTCATTCAACAAAAATCATAGCGTTTCATTTGACTGAATTTGACACATAGACAAATTTTAATTAGGTTTTTGATAATTATTCCCAAAGACTTGGTAATTGCCTATTGTTTAAAACCATGAATCATTTGATTATACTGTTATTTGAATTTTATTTGCATTTTTATAGGATGGAAAATATCTTGAACGACAATCGCGAGTTACCTAAAGACTTTCTCACGGAGCTATACAAATGGGCGCTTGAATGTAAGTATAATCCATCAAGTGTCGCTACTTACACAAAAATATACCTTTGAAATTACATCCGTGAAATTAAATTAATCACAGTAAAACTATAGAAACTAAGAATCAAATGCCTGTAAAATGTCCAATAATGGCATATTTACTAGTTTTGATTATTGGTGGTGGAGTGTTTGTATATATGGTCTTATAGAGAGTACAGACAGTAAAATATTTGTAAGAAGTTTTCATTTTGTTAATAATGGTAATATATAAGAGGTATAGCAATCCACATTTATTGTTACACCATTACTACTTTCCGCCAGATCAGAGTTTATACTCTACTCAGTTCGCTAATTCCCAGAAAAGTAAAAACCACTGAACCACGTATATTTCTATTAAGCACTTGATAGAATAATAATTAGTTTGGGTTCTCCACATACGACGAATATATAAAGGGAATTACCCAGTATAACATATTATTAAACAATAATAACATACCAATTATAGTAGTTACTTATTTGATATTATGGTTTTAGCGGTAGGAGCGTGGGCATTGGGCACAAGATTAGGATGCTTAAGTGACAACGACGCTGAAGCAAAGGAAATTATTAGATGCATCCACGGTTTCTTCCATAGTGTTCCGGAACTAGAACTATCCGCTCCGTTATGGCGAATATATTCAACACAGGCCTACGAAACATATATTGAAGCATTGGATGCCTTCAGATCACTCTGTTTAAAAAGATTGACTGACAAAGGCATCTGTGCTTCAATAGCCAAAACGTCAGGGGAAAAAGTTGCGACGATTTTGGCTTTGGATTTGATGTTGGTGGGTGTGGATACAACAGCGGCAGCCGCGGCCAGTACAATGTACATGTTAGCAAAAAATAAGAGAGCTCAGCAGAAATTGCAGTCGGAACTGGACAATTACTTACCTATGGATAAAAATTTAACCAGTAGAGACTTAGACAAACTGCCGTACTTACGTGCATGTATCAAAGAGACATTAAGGTAAAATGGCTAATATCATGATATTGCAACTTCTACAATTAGAACTTTTAATATGCTTGGTGGTGTAGTGGTTTAATGCTAATGCATTTTAATGCATATTAATTTTTCGTATTACATTCACAACTGTAATCAGTTGTGAATGTAATACGAAAAATTAAAAATTATTTAAGTTACTTCGTAACATTTAATATTGATAATCTAACTCGGCACATTGTAGAAGTGTGGTGCGAGTGATGCTAAGATTACATCATTTTTTACATTTATTTGTTAATGTTAGTAGTTAAAAGTCACAACTGACATGTTCTCTAAACCAATTATTTTATTGAATACAGTAAAGGTTGGTAAATAACTTACATTTTAGTTACTTGTATACCTGTCATAAGCAGGATATTACATGTGGCGTATAGAACCATAAAATATCATTTACTTAGTTTCGAACGATGACGCTGTGATAGTTTCAGGGCAATTTATTTATTATTTATAGTAGGGGCCGGCATAACTTCGTTCGAGTGCTCATAACTTAGCTAGTTTTGCATATATTAACATAATGTCACTCTGGAGAAATGTACCTTATAGATAATACAAAAATCTTTAATTGGAGCACGAGTTCCGGAGTCTACTTCATCGTAACAAATTCCGCTCTCTCTTTTTAATACTATGATAGTTTCAGTTATTCAAAAATGCATTTTGGAATCTGCGTTAAGCTACGTTCATATGGAGGTTGGCGATAGTTTCAGTAGGTAGTCGTAAACCCTCGGCGCTGTTATCTTAGTATCTCACAGTGGCAGTTTGCATAATATTTACATTACAAGGCTAATGTTACCGGAGCAGCAAACACGGAGCGGATCTGATACCTTCGTGCCCTGACATAACAACCGAGTCATATGATAACAGCGCGCGTGTGGACATTACACGACATAATTTTTACGGACCACCCAAGATTCTTGATAGATTTTAAATACATATTATATTACAATACATCGCACGTTAGTAATAAACTGTAATAACTAAACAATTGAACAAATGTTATCCCAGATGAGATAGTGGACTATATCATCTAGAGAGGTATTGTCAATTGTCGATGTCGTGTTGAAGAATTTGTTATTGGTATTTTAGATTTAGAGACAGTTTTGTCCTTCAGAAATATAAATCGACAAAATTTTTGGATATCAGCTAATTTGATCTCATGACCTTTGGTGTTTGGTGGTTTACTATCTCAACGTACACCACGTTGGTAAACCACCAAGGCACGATCTCACTTGTAATATATAAATGTTGTATAAATAATTATTGGAATTAATCCAAATATGCGCAGTATAAAACTAAACTACGCGTAAAATATTTCATTTTTTGATAAAATTTTACTTCCTTTTAATGTATATTATCCTAGTACGTCACTAAAATATCTTTACAAATAACTTCTAGCGGCTTGCGGTTTTATTTATATTCTTATCTATATTACTAACCAACTGCTGACAAAATACGTAAATTTACTAAGATAATGTACCAAATGAATATAAAATTAAATAAGTTTAACAAAAATGTACTGTACACGTAACACGTTTTATGAAATTTCTGTCTCAAGTTCTTTTATAAACTAAACCAACTTATTAATCTACATTCCTTGTATAAAATTTATGTTAGTACATAAGATTTCATCAAGAGTCAATGTGGAGCACTATTAGATATTCAATTTTAGTGGTATTCCATTTTAGCATTACAGAAGATTATCTCACAAATAAAGAGTTCAGATTCTAAGTCTTCATTGAAATACATCACGCGTCGTATACGCCGGTTTATCTTAGATATTCGTGAATAATTCTTAAACAATGAAATCACAATACGGTTTTAAGCGAATGACGTTCCGTTTTTTATCTACCGATCAGTCGCAGCGGTTTATAGAAATAAATATTTTCAAGACTATATCCCAGACCGCTCTTTAGAAACAAGGCGTCTAAAGATAAAATGCCATGATGCTATATTGTCCAATTTTGAACAGATGTGAAACTCATACGAAGAGATTGCTATTCTTATGTCGTAATACTTGATATACCCGCGTTTCACATATTATATTTCAATTCAAAACGCAATAAAGGCAAAGTGTAAAAGAACCTACCGCACACTCTTTCATTCGTTGTATAATAGATTCGAACTATCTTTTGGGGTTTCTAAATCGGGCAGTAAACCACTATGCCACAACGCGTTTTACAATACAAAAGTGATATATGATTACAGTACGGATAAATTTATTTAATAACCAGAATTAATGAATAAACATTTACTTTAATATTAACGATACTAGTAGTTTGAATCGAATTAGAGCCATTATACCAAATCAAATATGAATGCTTGTTAAATATTTATTAGAGACAAGTTCAAGCGTCAGTAACACTTGACATTTGAGTATAATACATGTAGCAGTTAAAAATAAAAGAGGTATTTATATAATGTACTTATAAACTTCACTTAATATGTATATAGAAAAAACATATTGTTTCTCTATTTGTATAAAATAGTTACCATGTAAATAGTTAGTAATCGAAGCTCTGCGGTGTAACTTGAACAATGATGGTCAGTGTTGAATTACTCATCAGCTAACCACCTGAGATTAATAATAATTTGCAAGATGCATAACACGTCTTGACAAACAGTGATTCATATTTGTTTTTAATAGTATTTAATATATGTATATATTTTAATTAGTATTTAATAAACCTGATTGTGAGTTTGTTACCCACGCCTTTATTCAATCGTCGAGACATTTCGCTTATAATGTATAGCATTGTGACTGACAAGAATATAGGCCACTTTTTACAACCGGTTGTTTGGACAAAGTCAGGAAATAACGCTAGTTTGCTAAAACTAATTATATACTTTTATGTGGAAATTGAGAAATTTCTTAATGCGACTGTTCCTTTTATGCTTGTATCATGCGATATCATAACTAATACTCTATCATTTATGATTATTTTTATTGAAATCAATACCGTATTACTGCGTTAGTCTCATAAAAATTTCGTTACAATTCATTTAATTATTTTTTGAACAAAATATGTTGTTACACAAGTTGATATTTCTGTTACAGAATGAAACCAGTGATATTAGGAAACGGACGCTGTATTCAATCTGATGCAGTAATATCTGGCTATGAAGTTCCCAAGGGAGTACGATCAAACATTTATACACTTTATTTCAGAATTAGACTCATCGTAAAATCTTTAGATAAACAAATATACTGTGAATGTTCTTATTTAGTTCATGAGATATACAAATATATGTTTTTCTTGAACATTAATTGAATGTAGTCAATGAAGCTAGCTAAACTCATATTTAAATACTAGTAGAGGCTTCCTTTGCTTCAACTGAAACAGTTGTACTCATCGAATACTATAAACACGAAAACTATCGCTTCGCGGAATTTACAACTTGAGCCATAGCATGTAGCAAGCATCCTTAATGTGAAAGGTCTTAGGTCCTTTGCCTCAAAAATTGCACTGGAAACAAGGCACGCGGCACGCAATGCTTGCCATAATAGGCGTTATCATGGTGAGATGGTGGTATTTTCATAATAAGTGAATACGACTACCACCTGTATAATAATCTATATCTAGTGTGATTTGTTTCACTTGATTGGATTTGTTTAACCATAATACGAATGAAAAAGTATATGAAATATGATTCACTATATTTTTCACACGAATGTAGAAACAAGTGCTAATATAAATAACATTCTACTTTCTATTACAGTCTCACGTTGTATTCCCTCATTACATACTCTCAAATGAAGAACGCTATTTTCCATTCCCTAAAGAGTATGTACCTGAACGTTGGCTACGTGATAACGATATAAAGGAAAAGCAAAAATTGTACTGTCCCGTATCACGGCCGGAGACACAAGGAACAGCGGAATCTGTTATAAGTGTATCAGAGAACAAGGCACTGATGGTATGGCGCAAGCAAAAGGAAGTTGGAATTCATCCGTTCGCTTCACTTCCTTTCGGCTTCGGCCGAAGAATGTGTATAGGGAAAAGATTTGCTGAAGCTGAGCTACAACTTCTGTTAGCAAAGGTAGTTTTTTTTATATCTGTTAGCAAATTTAAGTACCTATCAAACCTTTTTCAGCTCATTAAATTCATTCTAGGAAACGTAAAATATTAGGGTATTTTAAAATTTGTATTGGACAAATTTATAATCGAATTGACAACGTGATATAAAATCATAAGTTTTCTAACTAAATTTCCAAAGGGTTTTCCAATCGGATTCCAAAATTAAAATCATGATGTCGTAGAGTAGAGTACTCAATATCTTCTATATTTTTTTTTGTGTAGGTGTAATCCATATACAAATTGAATCCCAATTGCAGTTAGTTGATTATGTATAACAAATAATACATGTATCATGTATATTTACACGGAAACGAAGCTGGTCCCTTTTAACTATATAATATGATGCTACAAAAGATATTACTGATATCAAATACTCTTATCAACCCTCACCCTCTAAATTTTTATCGGCGTACATTTTATCTAGAAACTCTGAAATAAAATTTAGTGTGCGTCAATTAGGCGCCACTGTGCCCTGATTTAGTAACAATAATCGAGCACGAAATGGGCAAAGCACACGCAGTCGCGAAATATATTTATATCGATGCTATAAATACAATTATACATATTCGTTTGTAAGAAAAAAAAAATAATACCCATCGACGTCTAATCGGGTACGAACTGTAGCATTGTAACAACAATTAGGTATGTATTGTATTTTTTACAACACAGAGGTAAAGATTAATTAAACATACGACTCATCTGATCTGAACGATTACCGTAACCTTTGGACACCTAAAACACCAGTGCTTTCACGTGCTCATTGCCGTCACTTAGGAAACTTTAATACCCTTATTTAAAATCGCCAAAATAAATAATATATTGTGTTTCAGACTTTCCATCGATATGAAGTTAACTGGCGGTATGGAGATCTGACGTACAGTGTGACGCCAACCTACGTACCTAATGAACCCCTACAATTCACCCTGACGTCCAGACAATAGACTTCTTAATTGTATAATTATATAGCTATTGTATATTTACCAAAGAATTACAGATACATGATTTATCAATAATCTCTAAATAAATTGCTGTGTATATTTGTTAGTAATTAAGTAACACGAATAACGAACGATAAATTGTTTATAAATAAAATTACTTACAGACGCCACACATGTATAGGCCTCAAAAATAATTTTAAATGAACAACGATTTCAACCCACTGAAGCGCATTTTAATACATATAAATAATATATAATTTATACATTTTTTATAAGACTTTTCAAAGAAATAACGAAAAGGTTAGTCGACATCACAAAAGACCGAAGAGCTGGCATGTTCTATATTCAAAGAGGGAACGCTGTGTGCCAAAGGGACCACTTTTAATAATATATTTTAGTTATCATATTCTATTTTTTTTTTAAGCTTTTTATTTTAGTTCATAATTAACTACTTATTAATTATTATTGTAATGTAATTACTCTCGAATTTTCTTTCTCTCTCATTTTAAGTAAACTATTTATACACATGCTATGTTCTATCAGTGTGCCAAAATTCTCTGAAACTCCGTTTAAACTGTCCACAATAAAATAAACACAAATATATTTACAAGTAAGTAATGTAATTAAATAAGAAGCATGTATTTATTATAAAAATTAAATGGTAGTATTAATTTCTTCAAGCCGTTTCCGTTGTTAGAAATCTATTAAATTTATTATAAATCTTCAATGCATTGATAAATTCTGACTAATATGTAAACTGTTAATAGGAAAATGTATCCAAAATTATTTCAAAATTTGTTTTTATAGCAAAAAATTGAGGAGAGATACGTTATTTTAAACTCGTATTATATGGCTCTAGGCAATAATTACCGTATTTTTTCTATAAGATAGTTCTGCATTTTTCTACGACCAAATTATTTTACTTTTATAGTTTCAATTTATTTTTTCAATTTAAATATAGGCTACAACTGTTTAACATTTTTAAAATAAATGTAACACTAATGACCAGTTTTAAGTGCGTATGTTTTGTACATATACTTTATATTTTTTATTATCGGTGGGGCAATTAGGCGGCGAGTGAACGAAATATAATAGGTGGAAACTTGTAATGACAATGTTTAGTTATGTAAATTATTATACTTTTGATAACAGTAAGTAATCATTTTCATAAATATGACCTCCATCAAAGATTCAAATGTCTACTGAAGTTTATAGACACGGAGTTGTTTCTAATAAAAATATATTATGAAGAACATATACATGTTTTTTTAAACTGATATCTGCCTTACTGTTACCACTTTTCTTGGCCTTTTACGCTTTCCTTTAAATAACCTAAATTGGTAATCAAAGTCATTGTCAATTGTCGATGTTGTGATGAAAGCAACACTTGACATGCGTGGGGAGGGAATTGTTAGTAATGTGGACTGTTGAACCTTTTGCTAGCAATGTACTATGTTGGATTTGCCCCCACGCAGTACCCCCAGGTAGCCATCACGATAAATTTCTCGTGAATTTGTCCCAATGGGCTAACTGACATGACCTCATGTTCATCTTATCATTCTCCACTGGTATTCGAATTAACAATAAAATAAATTAAAATAAATGTACTCACTATTTGGCAGAGTCGTTGAGCTGGTACTCGTTGGAACGTCCAAAACATTCCTGAACACCGGAGTCGGCCCAGAGTCTCTTCATTGCCGCCAGCAGTTCCTCGCTAAAGGGCTCCGTGTCTTCCATCCTTTGTATCACATCGAACACCATCTTGCTGTCGATCTATAACAATAGTAATGTATATAAAAAATTCCAATTGCCAAATATATTATAAACTAGCCCGCGAATTTGTCTGCATAAGCTTTCACCCCCTATTTAACCCTCTTCTAGATTACGTTTTGAGATGAAAAGTAAATCTATTCAACCTCATATTTATTTTCATTTAAAATTTTATCAACACCCGATTAGTCGTTTAGTTGTGAAAATATAACAACGATACAGACAAGCACATTTTCAACCACTTCTAAACAGCTGCAACTTATTAAGTAATTCAGTCAGGACAAGGTTTGCAGGACAGAAAAAAATATTATGTTTTTTCTGTATACTATGTTACAGATTAATTGGCGAATAAAAAAATTATCTTTATATCTATAATATATATACAATATTCTCTTCTATATATATATATATAATTATATGTATAGAGAAGCGAAATATTTAGGTTCAAATTTGGCATATAATAAATAATATTGATAAATTGATGCTGCAATTTGTATTGTTGCCTGCCGATTGAAGTCGTAAAATTCAATCGTTCTTTTTGCGCTTTTCTACTTATTTTATAAAAAATATAAATTGTATACAATTTCAAATAAAAGCGTCATTAAACTCTATAACTTCAAGAATATTACCTAGAACTATCACATCGACAATTCAATGCCTTCATTAAAGAAATAATAGATCAGTAGTACATAGTTACTGTACAGTTAATAAATGACAGTTATTATGTCTGTATTCATTGTTCTCAAGTACATACTAGTTTATAGAATTGAATTGATTTGACTACATGATGTATGTATAGTTATAATTATTACTGAAGAATAACTATAGTATAATATTATACTTTTATTTAATGGTGGTATTAGGTATCGAGTTAGAGATGTAGAACCGAATTCCGATTTCAACATAAATATAAATTGTCTCTGTGGTCACTGCAGTAGTCCTTCATGAAGGTGATCAGTATATTGGTTCCCACCAATATGCTGACCACCCGGGCTAGAAACATTTAACTATCCCGTCGGGATAGTAGTGGTGAAGGTATATTATTACAGTAAACATTTGATATTTCTTTTATTACAGTAAACGTTATTTGGTGGACGTCACATGTAAACTTGAGCCGTGACGGCGTTATCAGACGTCATTGTAATAAATAAGTTTCGTTGTACGTGTCTAACATAAGCGAATTAGAATTAAATATAACCGGTATATGAGTTTTGCAGTTAAATAAAATTTACAAGACCACTTTTCCCCAGAGCCCTTCTGTTGGCCCTCCATTGTAAATTATATCCTTGGGAATGATTTATTGGGTTCATAAAATCTAATATATTCATTTAGGAGACCAGGAGATGCTGTCTATTTTTGGAGCAAAAATTTCATTCGAATTCATTGAGTATATGCATGATTGAGTAACATGAAAGAAAAATAAATTAGTCTTGTTTCAAATAGACTATATTTTTAAAGTAAATATGACAGAAATAAAATAATAATATAATACCTACTTTAAGTTAAATTATTTGAAATAATAATTGAAAATTTGTAACCACCAACGTCATTACGAGTCTATTATAGATATATATGTAACTACGTATACAATTTTCTTAGCACAATAGTATCGTAAAAGCATATCGTTTCTAAGTAAACCTTAAACACATATCATATCCTTTACGAACCGTGAAACATTATTACAGTAGCAATGCGGCATAAAATGTCACACAAAAATAAATAAGCCATATATCCTGAGTTGCTCTCAGTGGTTGCGGAGCTTTTTGTGAAATATGCTCTAATTATGACGGGTGGGGACGCATGCGTATAGAGCGGAGTCATAACGGAGCCCCGGCAAAGCGTCATTCACAACCCTACCTACATTCACGTCTCACACCCTTCCCATATCTAAATACATTCTATAACAGGCTATTCCAGTTTTAACATCCTTGCACTTGGACTGCGAATTCGAATCGAAGTCGTTACTAAGCTATCGTAATGTACTATTAGTACCCTCGACTTCATCCATGTATACATTTGTAGACGGTATCTATTTTTTTTAATCAGAGTACATACTTGTCAGAAACCATATTTACCACCAATTTGCATTAACAGTGCAATCTGTCGATTTCTCTGTTTCACCTATTTCAGTCATTTATTTAGACAGTCAGGAGGAAGACATTGTTAATAATTATTATTATTACCTAGTTGCTAGGCATATATCTTAACAAGTCGACCTCGACGCGGTTTCGCCTGAAACCATACCGGTTACGAGAGAATGTGTAATGATGAACTGACCTAACTTGACTTCATTCTAACTTTATCATCGTTGACTGGTGCTCCGCCGGCATATACCGGCAGGCAGGTGCATAATTGCCACACACATGACTATAAAATCTACTTCGGTAAAGCAAACTAATTGAATTTGCCATAACCATTCCACTGGAAAGTGATGCTTTACAGTCAAATCGTGAGCCTCGACGAGATAACGACCTGTAGGCATGGTTAGATTGACTGTACCATTTATTGCAACAACGCACCGGCACAGGGGCCGCTGACTCACGTAGATAACACGCGAAACGACACCTACGAGTATATACCTACATTATATAACAGTAGCGCTAAAATTTGATAAACTGGGAACACTCATTATTATTCATATGAAATAACTAGCTAACCTCTTCGGCTACGCACGAGTGTAATCAGTCTAGGGTACAATCCGTACAATGTAGATCTTATAAAAAATAAAATGTATTACTGTTAAGTACATTCTAGTCATATTCAGCTACTCGGCAATTATTTCATGACACATTTTACATTAAACATACATAACCAGTTCACGTCATTACGGCTAAGGCGTCAAACGCGCAACATCTATAAAATTACTACAAAAAATATATTATTATTATTTATAAATAACAGTTGGGTAGTTTCTATAGTGTAAACACAAATCCTAAACCCGACAAAAATAATTCGTAAAAAAATATATTTATTTTTTTATTGGTTAAGTATTTATTACGATCCGGCAGTATCTTATCGGAGAAGATATTCTGGTCCCGATTGTGAGCAATAACTAATGGGTATTGTGGGTATTGTGGTTTCGTGCACTCTTAAACACTGCTCTTATTTTTTTTAAATCAATTCATTATTAGGGCATTAAAATAAAATAAAAAATACTGTATTGTTTTATCTTAGAGAAGGCAGCCCTACGAAACAACGTACTATGAACCTATGCATTTGACAGTCGATATGATAACGCAAACTGACTAATCTTTTCACCGCGATTATAGATATAATTTTAGCATCGATCCGATAACAAGAAAATACATTTTTAGAAAACACTGTATTATATATACACGTTACATGAAACTATTGCCCGTAGTTTTATATGTAATGTGGTTAAATTCAAAATGGAATACACCCACACCCACACACATATACACTTTCAAAGTCCAATGTTCCTAACTTCGTCTTTCTAGATGTAATAATTTTGGTTGTGCATTGATAGTCAGTCAGGACAAAGGATTTTATAAGTGTACTAACTGTTACCCGCGATTTCCCTTGCACAAATTTTCAACCCCAATTTCATCCCTTCCAGATATTTTTCTGATATCTATCTATATATCAATTTAGCCATTAAGTCGTGAAAATGTAACAGACAGACAGACACTTCCGTATTTATAATATTAGTATGGCTAGTTACATTGTTCGTTGTGTTCTTGTATTAGTGTGATATCAAATGAGACTCGTAATTCGTTAATTAATGGTAAATTGGTAAAAAATCTTTCATTATTTGAGTTCTTTTGAATATACTAAGTTCAGTAAGACTCAGTTACGCACATAATCCCCAGAAAAAAAATGTTTCTGCCACTTTTTCTTCTCCCTAACTCTTCTCCTCTACCCAAAGTTAATCTAGTTAAGTTAATCTAATATTGATTTTTGAGCGATAACACTGCCTTGTAAACAAGTCGTATAAAACTTAATAAGAGAGTTCATCAATAGAGTTCCATCTATGTACTTTTAATCAAACAATACAGTAGTACAATAGTATCAATATGAAACAATGCAATAAGCTCTAATGCACACTGCAGTATAGACACAGTGGGTTACTCTCATGAATAACGAATGCTTGTATTGATCCTCGCACAACGGCCATTTCGTTGAAATATTCCAATTTCAGTAACATCGAATGCAATTTCATAAACATTTCATACGACCAGTAAGTCTGCGTGAAAGCATTAATCGATATGTTCGACGTAATTTGTTAAATTTTATCACGTTATTGGGACACGATTGGCAACTTACGGAATACAAATGAATATTAATGAGCATAAAATCGATAATGCAGTGTTTTTCTATTGTGTGTGACCCGGATCGTATGTAAATACAGATACACTGAATAGCTGAAAATATACTTTCGACTCTATGATGAAACAATTTCTAACGCTTTCTTGTACAATATACGTAGAAAAATCCTTTAATAGTATAACAATAAAAGGCAATTTAATTGTTTGCAAACTACTACTGCTTTATAGTTGCAAAACAGTGGTTTTACAGTTAAGCATTTAACTAAACGACAGTAAGATATGAATACAAGTAATATTGCATTTGAAGACACTATTCACATATACCTAAAGTGCCTATATATAACTGTATCGCTTCTGATAAACACAAAAAAATGTATAAGTATTATACTCATATATGGCATGGTGTACAACTGTACAGTGGTATACTAATAGCATAGAACATTAACGTTTCACACATGCATGCATAGGCGGAAGTTGAAAGTTTGTACTTAGCTGGAGTGTAATGTAGAGCGGTAGAGTGCAAGAGATCATTTTTAATGACGACTGATTTATTTATAGAATATAGCCGAGCCAACGCATAATACACGCAGTTTATCGTTTACGCAACGGTCATACATTCTTTAATGTTTCGAGTTCAAGAGTTTGTAATAAATTCCTTTAACTTGGAGAACGCGCTTTCATTTGGTTACGTACAAAAAATATTTATTTTAATAGAAATATTTTTAAGTAGTTTTATACATACCTATAATAAAATCATACTCAGACAAGTGTCAGTTCAGACAGAATGCTCATGACGGCAATTTTCTATAAATGTTCTGTCTAGCATTTTTTTTTCCAAACTGTCCCAACTTAGTTCGGTAAGAACTTTCTCATATTTACATAGGTATAATTTTTATATTTCAAATATTTCTAGACTTATTACGAATCGTTTATCGTGTTTGAGTAGATTTATATATATCCACTAAACAACTTACATAAACTATTCTACGAGATATCTATTTTTTTTCGAACAATTCTAATACTATTGGCCGCAAGTAGTGTTTACAGCATCTCCCACAGATAGGGGCGAGCTAATGCAGATGGCACTCCAAATCCGAGGAAGGACTTACGTAGATGGTGATGGCTACTCCTGCCTGACGGATGCGGTGATATCTATAGTGATGTTCGGATATAGAAATAGACGACGACAGACACACGTAGTCAATGCCATTCCAGATACATAAACAAATACTGATTCCAGGATAGGCAAGCGTAGTCACAGTATCTATAGAATCATTTCTATTGTACACATAAAATACACAATATTTTCTGAAAAACATATGTATTTTCCATTCTATCGAATTCGTCTGGCTACCACGATTTCGTGAATCTTCGTTAATATCTATTCCTAGATAGTCGCTGGCTTTGTTCACTAATAGAATACCAACCAGTGCCACTAAACAAAACCTCTAATAGTATTGGAAATAAAATAAGATATTACCTCTCGGTCCTTATTGCCATAGGTGATGCCAAGGTTTGGCATGGCGCGCAAGATGGCGACGAGTGACTGAATCGTGTTGCTGTACACCACCGGCCGGTACTGTTTAAAGTCTTCATTCGTGAAGCCACTTTCGTGGATAATTCTGTTGACAACATTATACAATTAATAACAAAATAGGGTCAGCAGTCAAAGTCAGACGATATCGATGTGTTTAAAGTTTGAATTAAATGTTATCAAAAAAAGTCAATTATAAAAGACTAACTGACCGCAAGCAAATAAAACCTAAAAACAATACACACTTGCATTACTAAATAATTGGCGAGTTTGTTAAATGAAAAAACTACTTCAATTGCCATGAAAAGGGATAAAGACCGATCACGGAAGCAACCCCATACAATAGCATCGATTAAATGATTAATTATTCAGTAAGAAGTATTATCTATCGCCTTTCACGGCCTACCCCTTCACGGTGTTAATGGCTTACACACTGCTTCACCTTCTAATGGTCATTGCTATATGATTCAAGCACAACATGAGGGGACTTTACCTATTTCTGCCGCCATTTGGTTATTTTGCAAGCTATTTATTATTATATACATTTATCTACTTTTTGATTTAAAGTGCAATGACATATTGAGTAGATAAGTAACGTCTTATTCACCATTAAAGTTACATAAAAATACAAATATTTGTTCAGGGGAATGTCCGTTTGCATTGGTTTGTATGTAATGTCACTTTGAAATAGAATGAATCAGGTTGTAAAGTAATGATGAGTCATCTTATCGACTTTTGTGTGATTCATAGTTAAACATCCTAGTATAGGTAAATGTGAGATTTACCATTTCATTGATTTCGCGGTTGCAGCTCCATCCATTTCACATACGTAGTATAGCTACATATATAACAATGATATTAATACAAGTAGTGGAATTTTGGAGCATATGTATAAAATAGGAAGTACAGAAGATAACAAAAGTAGCTCAAAGAGATGATTTCATCGCTAAACTATTAAATTAATATAATATGAATAATTATTAGCGATATGTTTAGATAGGTACTACTTTTTCAATCAACTTATTTGTCAGTACGAAATTAGGTGTACCCCTTTCTGACTCCATTGCAAAAAAATAAATTAAAGTGAAACAAGTATAATTGAACAAATCAAACGGACGGACAAAGTCGCTTTATAAGGATACCGCTTTACAAATTCTGTATGGACTCGACGTAAAGAAGACTCATATTGTTTGTAAGTGACTTCAGACTTACAATCTAACTAAATATAATGAACAAGAACAAGAATTAATTCTCATGACAATATTTTATCGGTTCGTATCAGCAGTTCAGTGATGTTACTGCAAGTCATATTCTATAAGGGGGAACATCTATACTCCATACTTTTTTGCCCGTATGCGGCGAAGCAAAGGAGTTATTATTTTAATCAATCAGTTAGGTTATGACCTTTTTCATTCAACTGCAATAAGAAACAAACTGTCAACTAGACCATACCTTACCAATACATCTATACAAAAGTGGCAACAGTATCCGCTTATAAATGAAAGGATATCACGAAATACACAGTGCCGACTATAGTACAACCCCAAGTACTGCCAGTCTAACTGACTGAGATAAGTATGTACCCTGTAATTTCATGTAATATCCATTTAGATAACCTTACCGTGCAAACCAGAACGTGCGCTATGATTCATGTAAAACGGCATATTTTAGACCATGATAACAGGAGTGTATACACTAAACCTGACTCTAGAACTTTCGAAACGTTGTTGAGTTGTACTTATGACTAACATAATTAGGGAAACACATTGGCTAGCTACTTTGATCGTCCTTGGCATCAGTTATTTCATTGAGCACTTTTCGTGAATCCATATCCGGGACGCGGATGACGTCATCGACTGTGTCCATCCCACTCGAAGTCGATGAACGTTCATCTCGATCGACGGGCTAATCCGTTCTCTCCGTACCGTAACATCAAGTTATCGTGATTTGTTGACATTAGTATATACAATGTAAACAACGTGATTAGATTAGAACAGAAATGACGGCCGCCTAAACGTAGGCGAAGTAATGCTTCCAATCTGATAACAGGATAAAAGCAAATGGTTATCCAAATAATTTTTAATTCACTCTTCTCTATCCCTATCTCTCTCTCTCTCTTTACCGAATGTAAAGCGAAATTTTTTATGGATGTATTAATAAAAGGGCGTGACTATATAACTGAATTCGGGATGCACAATCGAGAAACCAAATCAAAGCATATATAATTTACTGGTATTAACTTTTAAATTAATTTTCATGAATTTCGGGAAATATTTTGTAAGTCACAAGAAAAGTAGAGTATACTTAACTCTACTTTTTTTTTGGATAACCCAACGAGAACAGTATAGATAGCGGATTCTGCATGGGCGAAACCTATTTGATTCTAGTTGTATGGACATAATATTTATCTGTTATCCGTCCCTACACTCTGACTAATTGGTTAAGTAGTTGCATTGAATAGAACTTCATTACCTTTTCCTTATCCCTATCATTTGGTATCGGCGTATACATAACAGTTTATTTAAAGCATTGTCTTTATTCTTCCGCATTAGAGGTCCACTCCAAGACAAACTATTACTTTTTAATTTTTCTGACAGTGCTTAATAACAGATTTACAACATGCTGACGTCACACTGATGAAAGTCAAGACAATTTGTATTTCAAATATTCCTAACTCTTGACGTGTTTAAAAATATCAAAATAATGTATTTATATCCGTCGATGGACGATTCGTTATTAACTGTTATTAAAGAGTCGCGACACAGTGACGTAGTAATAGTACTGTTTTAAGACATGTTGAACTATAATAGGTGAAACACGAATTAACTGCTAATTACGTAGCCTTGACGTTGACAACGAAGCCCAATAACGTCACCGAATAGAACTCTACACTACTGTATCTATTGTAAATGTAATAATGATAACGTACTTGCGTAGTGGTAAATATATTTTCGAATAGTCACAACACTATTGGGATATTACACTTGCGAATGGGTACCTTAATTATCGTTATAATGGTTGCACCATAATATTGGAGCGTAAATATATGAACACAGCCTGGCTAAAAGCAAATAGGTACAGTAATGCTAGATCGCCTAAAAGCCTACAATGCCTGCAACGGTGTAATCTTGAATTTATTCTCAATATCGATTTTGACGATATAAAGTCCAACATCAAAATAAAGAAAATCTTGGAGGGAACTAATTTACTAGGCCCACCAGGTCGACCACTTCAAAATCATCCTGTTAATTGCTGTTGAATTCAACTAGATGGGCTTAGTGACATTGACTTCATCCTCATTCTACATACCGGAAATGAATGTACTCACGCAGTTTACAATAATGTTCTAATCTATCATCCTCCACTGGTACCGTACTGTGCTCCAACACATGTAACAATCTTGCAATTATAGGCATCAATTGACCATTTTGTGTGCGGTTTATTTCTCACTCTATAAGTATTATGTATATCAATCCAATCCAATACTTTAAAACCTATACCACTGTAGTTTAATTCTATGAATTACTCTTTAGTACCGAACTAAAATATCGGTACTGTTCAATTTAAGAGTATAGAATTATAATACACTGCAGAAAATTTCATTGATTATATGGACGGAATAATGGAATTACTCAAGTTTAGAATCAGTCAGTCATTCTCTCAAGGGATCCTAACAACAGCGAAACTAAGGACTGTTCTTTTTAATTGCCAGTTTTAGAAACACATTATGACCATGTGTATATGAAACAGTAGCATAGAACTTCACGAAGCATAGTAAACAAATTAAGAAACTGAACAAATGCTCTCAAAGGGTTTAGGTAGTCGAAGAAGTAAAACAACAATGATTTTTTCTATATTAACAAGTATTATATATATATTTATATTTTCGATTTCGAATGAAAGGTTAAAAGAATAGAATAGAAAATCCTTTATTGATATATAGTTAATTTAAGCACTTTTGAATAGTCATAGTTTTTTTTAATCTACCGCTCACTCGGAAAGCTGTCTCATCACAAGAAAAACAAGCAAGACACTTGCGTGTCGTTTTAAGTACTCGAAAGTACTTAAAAGATGATTTTGTACATTACAATGTTTTGTATAAAACTGCTTAATTTTTATTCATTCACTGTGTTTGGTATAGTCATATGTTGGTATGTATCCTGTACCTTGCCAATATAGATTGTACGTCAATCCTTGCCAGTAAATTAGCTACCCAATTGACTACAACTAGATTCTGAGAACCTACGAGGATACTTTGTTTGAAAAACATTTATATAACTAATAAAAGCATCACTGAATTGTTTTGATAACAGATCTTCGCTCTCAATATAGAGATCTGTAACATTGCTAATTAAAATTTTATTTGAAGCTTAAATCCTGAATAAGAACATAAGGTTGGCCTTATGTTTCAAGGATCAAAAGGGATTGATATAAATACAAAACTAGAGTAAAACTATTTTAGAACTACAATGATATTTGCAAAATGTAAAACAGACAATATGTCATAAATATCAATTCCAATTCATAAGATTATGTTAAAAGATACACATAATATATCTCACACTCATCCATATCAATAGAGACAATGCTTAGATACAGTATCTTAATCTTACAATATATGGTATATAAGCTATTGTATAACTGATATCGATTATCAATATTGCTGGTTTGTATATAACCGATTTTATCACAGAAATGTAAAATGGTTGTTGACAAGCCATAGGCTGACAACAAACTAGATTAAATGTTAATATATAGGTATCAGTCAGCTTACAAAAGAGATTTTCTACAATAGACAAGATTTTGTAATACATAATGTGACATAGTGTTAATTTTATTATTATACTAGCTGTTCCCGCGACTTCGTCCGCGTGGAATATAACTTTATTCTCTAAATTAAAAGAATTTTTCTAAAATAAAAGAACCTTAAGTTACTCTTTATTACATCAGCTACCTGCCAAAAAAAGTCCCGTCAAAATCGGTCCAGCTATTTCAGAAATTAGCCGGAACAAATAGACAGACAAAAATTATAAAAAATGTTATTTTAGTATGTGTACGTTATATATATTCATATGCATGTAGTAAAACGGTTATTATATTCCATCAGGATCGTCCAGTGCGAAGCAAACTCGCCCCCATGAGTAACATGCAAAAAAACTTCGCATCTCATCCCAATCTGCCAAACACGACGTCGACCAGTAGATCGCGGTAAAGAAGGACGCGTGAAAGGCACTTCGCTCCGTATCAGACAATGATCAGAGGATCCCAGTGAGGCTTCCACAGAGATTTGATATCCGTCCGGATGAGAAGTCAGCAGAAGGTCCAACAGTGAAGGTATATGGTCAACAACATCAGGAATTCGCGTAGGCGAGGATACCAGTTGCGTCAAACCATACGCCAAAGCAAAGCCATGAACAGATCTCCCCGCATCGTCGGTGGTACGTGAACCGAGCCATTCAGCGTGATGGACATTGAGGCCATCTAGAATCACGACCTCAGCGGAGGGAATCTGTTGGAGCAAAAAATCTGTAGCCATTTGGACGTGTTTAATGAGTCGATCAGTCATCTACACGCAACCATAAAATGGACAGGTCAGTGCCTTCAAGTGTACCAAGACGGCAACAGCAAATATCCTCTCTGACATAAGCGCACACACCGGCCCGTGGAATAAAATGGTGTTCCAATTTATATCCAGGGTAGGTCAGGTACGAAATTTCGTCGGGACAGAATATTTGCGTCTCCGTAAGGAAGAGCAAAGCCGGCCTCACCGTCTCTAGGTGGTGGTGGACGGCATTGAGATTGGAATGAATTCCCCAGATGTTGCAAAAACTGACTATCAGCAAGGGAAACGCCGATGGCCCACCCCAGAATAAGGCAGGGTAGCCTGAGTGTGATCTCCCAGGGGTGGATTCTCCAGTAACACGGTTACTGGTACCACCCTGGGGTAAAAATCTTTTATATTCCGCTGCCATGGTATGTAAAAAAGGGGTGGGTAGGGGAAGGAAGTAGGAAAGGGATAGGGAGAGGGGAGGGACTTGTCCGGAACCTACAGCTCACCATGCGAAACGCGATAACGCTTAACGCCGGTTTTCTGCAGAGGTCTGGTATTTCCCGGTTCGACCGGCAGAATCGAGCTGAACGACGTTTTAAAAAAAAAATTGTGCAAAATGCTTAATTGTTCTTAATATTTTTTCCATAAGAACTTTCTACAAAGTATTAGAAAACAATAAAAAAGATGTTTGTAATCGGTAGAGCTGTTAATTTTACTTTCATAATTTGTTAATCAATTAGTACGGAGTACTTAGTCATAGTCTATAAGGGGTGTCATATATTGCGTAGTATAATATTCTCTAATGTTCGTGTTATTAGGCAGGACATGTCTGTGAAAACCAATTCTCGCCACTTTGCAGTAGGTAACGAATTTATCATCAAATTACAGTATTGATGTAATATACTTATATGCTTTTAATATAAAATCTATGTTATTTTCGACTGCCTAAGGCAACCAGTTTATCTATACCACTTCACTCGACAAATCGTCATGCAGTTAGGTATTTTAGTATTTGGAATGGAGAATTTATGTGTCGGTCACGTGGACAAAATTGTAGGGAAATTAGTAATAATGGTACATAAGACAATACTTACTTCATTTGTTTGACTATAGTACTTTTGCCCGATTCACCAGCACCTGTAACAAAACATATTTCATTATTATTTCAGGTATTCAAGAGTTGCTTTCAAAATATTACGTTCATTGTGTAAGGGAGAATTTGACGAGCATACGAGTTTTAATATACAACAAGGTATATAGGAATAAAAATACTTAATTACGGTGTTTAATTAATACGGCATTCAATTAGACAGTTTCGTAGTTTTATTAGTACGTATGATATAACCATAACGCATAGATTGTATATTTCTAACTGTAGAAACAATATAATTTAAGTAAAAAATATTTACATTACGCATATAATGTGTGATTTAGATAACTACTACACTACCTTAAACACCGAGGACATTTGAGGTTTATTATGTTTACAAACAACACAATTAATATACATAGAAACATGTAATACAATTTATTTGTAATATGAATAATCATTCCTATTTACCAGTTAGTACATCTTATTTACATATATACAGTTCATTTATTACAATGTATGTATGTATGCAGACTGACTATCCAGTCAGGAACAGACTTTCCCCCAACCGCGGCCATAAAACACGCAATGATATAAAAACAGTTAATTACCGCGTGTTCTAAATGTAAACTGTTACTACTCACAATTTGATAGTCTAGTTGGTCGAATGAAAATAGCATAGGAAAGTAATATGAAGTTTAGATAAACACAAGAAAAAGAATCTACGGACTCCCAAGCGAGCAGCGACTTCGAAACTGTTAACATGATATAATATTTAATAGGTGATGAATGGTGCAACCGTTAAATTACCGGTAAATACACTGGTAGGACACCAGAAGAGATCGTAGGGTCGTGACAAATTCATCAGAAATTACTGAAAAACCCATCACCCCAGAGAATATACCACATATCTTTTTTTTAAATATGTTATATACAAAGATAAAGTTGCAAGAATATCCTATTCGCAGTGTGTTTTTTTTTTCGGTTCCGTATTGGTTTTTACAGCTTCCACATACCTAATAAGTCGTTTTATTATACTACGATGGTGACAAACTAGCATACCGCCTGACCCCTGAAACACCAAGTGTCAAGTGCGCGTTGCCGACCCATTAGGAACCTTAATAAAGGAACCCTTTTTGAAAAACCCTATGCTGTAGTCTCTAGAGAAAACCTCGACACGTAGATCATTTCACAATGTAATGTGGGAGGAAGCGCCACTGAAACCGCACTGACTGAGACCTCTAGGTTCTGCGTGTGGGGATAAATTCGCTGCAGTGCAATGGTCAAAGGTAGCAGTAGACCGTATTTTCTCAAACTGACATTTTATTCTCGTAAATGATTACACAATTCTTATCTTGCTTCATATGTATTTGAGATAGACTATATATTACTATAAATTGATATTATGCAATGTCGAAAAAATAACTTGCATAAAGAAACGTACAGGAGTCGAACCCTAAAATGTATTATACGGAAGTAAAACTAAATAGAAGCTTTCAAAATAACTTCAGTGTACTCTTACAATGAACGCGAAATGTGTGGGTGTTGAAAAACGAACCCTGTCTAATACAGGTCCAACCAACGTGACCTTAGTCGTCTGTAATTGCCAGGCCAACGCGAATGGCCGATCTCTGACCTCATGATACAGATATCACCTACGCAGGCAACCAACTCGGCTAACTGATTTAATTATACTTATTGCAACATTCATTCACATACCGCTGGAATCGATGAATGACATAAATCAGTCGTATTAAACCATATGCAGTCTAAAACGTATCTTACAACTGCATATATTGTCTACTTTTTATATCTGGCGGTACCACCACCAGTGTTAGAGAAAAGAATAAATATGAAATCAAGGCAGATTAAATTCATCAGAAATAATCACAATGGATTCCCGGGACTGACAGGTTAGACTGCCTTCTGTTAATCGAAGTGGCAGTAGCCTCATAGTTTTTATGAAAGAAATCACATATAAGTACACTTTAGTACACAAGAAAAACAACCTACTCCATATGTAACAAGATTAGAGTTAACATGATACTAAACTCTATCGATTGCAATAATTATCATCATAATCGCCTAAAACGTAATATAAAAAAAAATAAGCCAAGTAAAATACTTATTTTTATTCGTATAAAAAACAAGATTGAAGCTACATCGCGAACATTCTCTAGTAATTAAACAGTGTTATGTTTAATTCTATATAACAGGTATGTACAGCGTAACAAAGTTCACACGAAAGACGATGGACGGGATTCGTAAAAACTTTCACTATAAAAATGGATGACTATCGCGTGACAAAAATCTATTCCCACCAACACCATATAATACGTTTTAAAATACTCAAATTGATAGAGTTGTCCAATATAACCATGAACTTTAGAACGAACACTTATAAAGTTCCCACATTTGCCTATATAAAAAAATAGGTGTTACCAGATTACCTCTGCTTTTTAAAAGAACATAGTCTAACAAGAACTATGTCTGCCTCGTAACATAACCTATTTTCTCGGCAAATTTTAATAAGATCAGATCAGCCGTTAAAATTTTATAACAGCAAGAAATCGATAGTTTTGTACCATATATTATCTAGATGAAATATTTAAGCTTCTGCCTCCACCATCCTCCAGTCAAATACTACCAACGGGAAAAAAGCAGCTTTAATCTTTCCAGTGCCATGTTATAAAATTGTGATTTCCTCCTATATACGTGTTCCACTCTTCCTACTAAAAAAACATGTACACTTATAGAGATGATAATCGCCAATAAATTACTAGACGTTGTGATAAGGATTCTCATATTAACCACATTAAGATTTACTAAAGTATATAAATAACCATAACTGCTATAGAAACAAAAAAAGACATACAAATCCCAAAATACAGATTAAAAACAAAGCAAGGGCGATAAAATACAATGTTGGAATAAGTAACATAAGATGCTTATTCCGATAGAAATCGATATGATAACTATTGAATCCTATTGTATTTGAAACAACCTAGGTAGACGAGGCACTTAGCTCTACTATCTTATATATTATGTTCTGTATCGATTGAACAATCAGATGAGCACGAGCGACGTCGTTTCGTTGCCTTTTTGCGGCATCATCGCGATAAGATCGTCGCGTGCTCGAACGAGACGGTGGGTTGATAAAATACCTGTCCATAAACCCTTGGTTGGCGCCTCTTTAATGTTAGTTCGCACATTTGATCACTTTTGATACAATACAGCGCTTGTATAATTTAGATTGTAGATTTTTTTTCTAATGGATGATAATGCATAGAATGAGGGACGAGCGGAGGATTTTAGAATGAGCATAAGGTCAGGTCGGTTAGCCCATCGGGACAAATTCACTACATGGAGGTCAACCTATTGATACATAGCTAGCTATGTCTAGGCTGGGGCTATTAGTACATAATTACTAACAATCCCCTTCCCTCAGATTATAGATTAATTATTTTAATATAACAATGATTATAATACTAAAATTAGCTACAGTTTAAATATGTTCAATGTGGGCTTGGACTACTATAATAATATACAGGATACATTCATTTTGCGTTTTTTTTAAACTTTCATACAAACTCCACGTTCACGTGATCAGTTGATGAATTCAGTATGAATTTTATTTTGTAATTTCCACTTCCTTTACATAAAGTGGAGATCAAAAAAGATCATAAATATTCTACCTGATTTTCGGCCTGAAATATACTTTACGACTAAGCTTCCATTTATTAATTTTAGATAATACCAATTTAAAGATATATAATACAATACCTAACCATTTGAAAACCTCCGTATGATTTTCGTTAGCTTTACTAAGGAAATCAGTAAAAAAAAAGTATTTTTTCGAACTCTCAACATGAGAAAAAAAAACAAGTTTATCTCCAGATGTTTCTTAAACGCGATTAACGTAGATTACGATTCTTGTATGACTTGTTCTATTTCTATGAACAAATGTGTCTGGTCATAGAAGGTAATATTAAAGGTCCATGGGCATATTGGCACGCCGGCTGTGATCACGACATCGACATTGTGACGTCACTGATCAATTAACTTCTATAAGTGCCTATGTGGTCGACACACTTATTGTGTGACACTTGTTGTATTTTATACGTACGTATTATGACATGTGATGTTATGAGAAATTATTTTTAGAATTTTGTGCCAAAAAGTACTAAAATCTAATAAGAATAAGATTGCTTATTCATTGTACAAACTAATTACTAAAACAAGTCTACTGATTCTGTTCATCCCCAAAATTGAACTGGAAATTCTTCCTCAGTCCTTCCACAATAAAATGTATTTTTATTAAAGCCAAAACCGAAATATGAGCATAGATGTAGTTTACCACGACTTAACTGTAGGTAATTTAAAATAAAATTTTATGACAGGACGCAAGCAGCACCAAGCTAAACTATCCGATATCGGTAGGGTGACTTGCTGCATTTTATATGGTAAGATACGATACGACCGATAACGTCAAGTCACGTGTGCGAACAAGAGTTGAATTCCTCGTCAGTTCATCTCAATTGTAACCGTCATCATAACAGGATATTAGAGTTAAAAAAAGCTAATGAGTGACATGGTTATAAATAATGTTCAAGTGCACGAAACCCTAATTAACTTTGGAACTGAATGTTGTAACTTTTATAACCAATAATATATTTAAAGGGAGTGGTGGGGAGATGAACACCAATCGACCTGTTAATATCTAACCAGCATATCTTATAAACCCAACTGATTAGTTGAAGAAACAAGTGGCCCAGGAACTTATGAAGACAACTTTGGTTAATTTTCATCTCAGCAACCAACAATATCTTTCAGTATTCTAGTGTTGTATCAATATCAGATATTATCTACAGATCAGTCAGGTACAGTCTATGCAAGTTTACTGCACATTTTTATTTTATTTTCTATTTAATTAAAGAATAGATTCTCGAAATACTATGAATAACAGTTGGGATTTAGCTTTTAATTTCCCTCTCACTGATTTTAATGTATTAGAATAATATAAGAGTATGCTTACTATAAAGTTTCAATCAGTTATAAAATAAAAAAATATAGGAGTAGACATCTAGAATGAACAAATTTTCAATATTTTTTAATGTTACTTAAAAAGTGCAATTTTTAGTCATAGACTTATGAGCAAATTATTTTATGATAGCAAAGAATTTTAGTTTGCGACAAGCAAACTAAAATTCACAATTTTAGTAATGTCAACGCAGTAAGAATGACGGTTTAAAACTGCCTCATCTCCAATGGTTGGAGATTCAATATGCATAATAAAAACACTGGTATTCATGACTAAGAAATCAGTATTTATCTGTTATGTTTTGTTCTATATAATTTCTGTGTTTATCATGTCAAATCCCAATTATAAAACACTATTAGGGAAGGCCATGGAACCTTGGATTTCTCATTTCTCTGTACCACACATTAGTTGAGATTTTTTAAAATTTACATGTAAAATGCAATTTTCAAATAATGAAACTATAAAGTAATGGTAAGTGACAAGTTTATGTATTATGAATACCAAACAAACCAAATTCATACCTGATGGTAAGTAGTAACCATAGCCTATATACATGAAAGGAACCACAGATACAAATATACCATTTACAATGATTTAGCCACTTTCAAATATTGTACTAATAATGACAAACATAAATTTATTACACATATTTAAATTCTTGTAAAGTATATTGTAACAAATATTTTATTATAGATGGAGCAGTAGCTCTGATTGAACTGACACTAGAGTATAAAAGGCACACACACATATTCAGTTAGTCATAAACCTCATTAGGACATGACCTATCCCTGTGGTATGTATACTATCAACAACAATATCACATTGTCAGAACTCCGCATATTGTATACATTTATTAAGTACATATATTAAATAATACATTTACTATTGTAATGGGGAAATTTAAATAATTAAGTGGTAGCAAATCACAATGCATAATATTATGCAGTACTTATATAATTAAATTTATATATCAAGGAATTATGAACATGTATTCATAATTCTGGTACCCTGAACATACAATAAGATAACCAAGGTTTTATTATTACAAACCTGATTGATATGAAAGAATTTGAATGAATCATATGAATGACTCAGTTCAATTGGGTTTACTAATCTTATTTGGTGTTATTTTAACAGTTTTGTAATATTATAAAATAAAACTTAAAACTATAATATAGTCAACTTTTTTCAATTTTGAGTATATTATTAAAAGTTTAATATAATTTATTACTCTTTTATATTACTATTATAGAGCCATGATCATTGCATCTAATATTGATATAATCTTTTAATCAAAACAAACAAATCTATAACAATTCATTTCATAAATTTATTATTTATTTTATAAAGCAGTTACCAGGTGTTTGGTTAAATTTGAAGTGAACGCACTACCTTGATCTTGACTCTGTTCATTTATACAAAACCGAGCTATTTGTGTTACTGAACATCTGGTCACCATTATTTTTATGATGAATTTATATATTTTTAGACAACTATTTACTGTAGGAATTAATTTTTGACTTCTTCTATACTTTATAAGTTATTGAATACACATTTATAAAACAAATGCATCCTATCATTTTTGGTTAATACTATACTATATATTATTATTATATTGAGACTTTTAGTAATATTATTTTTTAGTTGATTTTATATTCTAGTATGTTCAACAAAGACAAACATAATTACTGTTGTTTTTACCATTTAATGACACTTCTTGTACTTATTTTACTTCATAACAAGTAATTCTGTATTTTTTCATAATACTTAAGCTATGACACATAGTCCTTCAGCTCCATTAGCCACAGTTGTGACATATAATAGGTGGATATATATTTTTTAAACTTTATTATATTTAAAAGAGAATTTGGGTCCCCACAGACAGGTTATATATACCACATACTTAAACCTATAAATTTCAACTGGAAAAAGATTCTAGCTATCTTAATTGTTCCATAACTGATACATATTGTTTATACATGCCAGCATACTAATTAGCTTGAACAGGAGAAAGTCAAAGGCATTATGATATAATGTAGTACACACAATTTCTACAACATTCCATATTCTGGAATATAAATAGGCATATCAATAGAAAAAATATTTAATTTAAAATTGTAAGGTCACTAAACAACGTTTGAAAACGTTCGAAGGGTGCGGCCATGCGCCGACATTACATATCATTCCCGTACCTAGTAGTAACAGCTTTATGTCTTTGGAAGCCTGGATGCCATCCTCTTTCAGGTTCCTCTCGATCTGACGGCTGCGGGCAATAGCCGCGCGTTCCTCTGCCGACTGGGCGCACCCCATGTCGGCAATTGTCCCTGTTCCTTGACCGCCGGCCGCCCCGACTCCCCAGCCGGGCGCGCTCTCACCGCTCCCTCTGCATGCGCTCCACACGCGTCCTGCCGCTCCGGACCGACCGGAGCCACCCTACACAATGTTAACACCCAACACAGTAACCTAACTGTTACCACTCAACACTATACGAATGTACCAGCAACACACTCTTTAAAGAAACAACAATCACACGGATAATTCCTTCCAATTTATACGACATCCAACACTAAAGACACGTAACGACAGCGCGAATTTTAATTGATTTTACCGATCGGTTCAAATACAAGATAATGGCGGCCGGATGACAAGCGCCAACTCCGCTCCATGACGGCGACCGCGCCCCGCTCGACTGACATTCGGCAACACTCGGCTCTCTTCGTTCGGGCTCGCTCACACATGCGTGAAATGGATTCACACACGAAAGAGAACAAACTAATGAAACACATTGAACTTACGGCAGTTTAGTTACAATTTAATTTAATTTTGGTGTATAATACAATATAAAAAATATACAGTATTATAACAAATTACCAATAATTAAGACTATTTTAATTTTAATTCGCAATTAATAGACTTATTTTCTTCATTCTGTCGTTGTCTCGCTCAGCTCGATCTCTTTCATCTTTCTTAAATAGGAATAGGGTTAGTTATTATTGGGGTTCCGTCGGTGAAGTAGGTAGATAGGTATGAACAAAACGTTGTTAATACTGTATATCGATTTTATGCATTTTATTAATGGTTTTTGATTTATCATATAATAATTTAGACAATTCACACAAGCTTAGCAGAGCTGTGTTATGGATGCTAGACAACTGATACAAATATTTAGATTTTTTTGTAAATCCGTATATACATAGAAAGAAAATGCCCCGATTTATTCAAATAATCATAGACATAATTACAAATTTATGCATCATTCAAGAAAGTAAACCTGCGACCATCGCAAGAAAAACGAAGAATTAAACTGCTAAATGTCATCTAGGCCATCAAACCCGTTAAAATATATATACATATATCTTTATGCTATAAAAAATATAATTTTAGTAGATCATTTCACGATCTGAGTATGAGCGGTAGATTAGTCAATGATCATTTAGTTTGTAAGGATGAATCCCTGCCGATGGCGATTTTTAACAAAAGATAGGTACTTAAAAATATATGTAAATAGTAATTGTGCAAAATAGTTTTTATCATAACAAGTTTCATAAGTAACAAAGTAATTTAGAATGTAACATATGTATTGCTATTCCAACAAAGTAAGGCACATAATATACTATAAGACCTATCTAAATAGTGCGGTCAGAGAGACAAATACACAAAGTCATTGCAAATATTAGTGAGTGATAAATAGAACAATTATGCATTAATTTCTAAAATGTTGAAAATAAGACCACCATTTTTTTTGGTCTACTCTTACAGCTCTATCTTATTTTCAACTAAGCAGATTTCTTCCAATATGCATTAAACAACTGATATTCTTCAGCTGCCTACTGCAGGGCAGATCCCAATTATACTGGAGGTGATTTTCAGTCCTTCTCTTCTAGTTGTTACCTGTTACCCCACGTATGTCGTCGTTCGACAATTACAGAGTTCATCCCAAACCACGTTTTCCGATTCACAGTCAGCGCTCAAGGGGGGAAAGACCTGATCTCTTTCCACTGATGCCCCGCCAGCGTAATCATTAGCGAAGACGGACGCACCATTCCATTATCATACATTAAAAAAGACTTCGCTTTAAAACATATTTACTATCACGGCTCCCTCAGTCTGCGATAGATATGAGCCACTGCTACTTCATTTTGCAAATTTATTGGGGTATGTCAGCGAACTTAGTTTTCTGGCGAGTTATTTAGTTTTTTTTTAGAGAAAATCACAGCCCAGCGCTTTTCGTAGCTCAATGAGCGACTTTGACTTAGTAGACCTATTGTATCCACGTTTACACCTCGACATACGGCACCGTATGCAACTGATTGATATACTTAGATATATTTTGTATGTACGTAAGTACAATATATTTTAGAAACACCTATATACTGTAATATATTCATAAACACTCTTGTGAATTTTAAATTATTTGTACTTTACAAACCCCGGCACAAAAAATTTTGGAAATTATTTAAATTTCTAGTAACGTTGGTTCTAGGTCTTTTGTTTTCCTTATCATGTAGGTAGGTATTCCTTGTATGATAAAAATATTAACTCGCTCAAAAAATATACACTCTACTCTACTCACCAACTCGTTACGATCATAATGTAGGAATCTAAGTAAATAACCCTATAATTTCTGTGGCTGCATAGGCTCTTTTTTGTTACTATTTTCTATAGTTTTTCTGTTCAGCTCTGTTTTTTTTTGTGGGCGATGACTTCTAATTCTTTTTTGTAGGAGGCGACGTGATAATTGCTGTGTGTCCACGCTTTTTAGCAACATGAGAGGATTTCCTTAGGAAGCCTTAACTTTTCTCTTTATAACCCATTTTTCATCCAAAATCGCTTGAACTCTTCGCTTCCCGCATGGATTCTTTGGACCACGACCGACGACGTTAGTCGTAGAACCATTCTAAAAAGACAAACTCACAAAAAACGAACTCATTTTTCGGAAAACAAACCAGAACAAAATTATTCTCTTCAGTTACCTCATCTTGCCTGCAGAGCCCTTTTATATAAAAAAATAACTAAAAACGAAACAGTCAATATTATTTAAGGAACACAATGCCTACTTTTTTATAGATTAGTTTAAGCATCAATCACAACAACACCCCACCAGCTAACGTTATTTAACAAACCACAGTCACGTGTCAAGCCAGAAGAAAATGTGATAAACAACTTGCAATAAAACACTTATTCTGCATTTTTTTTGACAATGTGCACTTGTGAACCACTAAACACCCGGCGACTGATAAGTCTCGTGGTGGCGCGTCGCACGATGATTGAAAGAGCGTGATTGACAATTTGAACTGTAAATTTTGATGGGTACCCCGTCTTACCACCATCTCCCCTATGTAAAAATTTTGGAAATACATGACCTAAATGCGGACGAGTTAATTAGAATTGAGCTATTTTAATAGAGATGCTATTAATCTTCGTTTTTTTTTCTATGTACACAATCTTGATAAATCTGCAGCAAAATTGGGAGCTCAGTGTCACTTGGGGTATTAGCGCCTAGTATGTAATATTATGTTATCTGTGCGCCTGGTCTTATATTTTATACACGAGTTTTCTTACAATATACGTATCTCTTATAATATTATCCATGAATATTCAAATTTTTTGATATGTCTATTAGGGACACTTCTGTAGATATCGTGCATGCAGGAAGCAAACTTAACTCTAAACTATTAGAAAAGAATTAACAGTGTAAAGTGGACCTTGGTTATCCAATAAATGTTCACTCTTTAGGCGTTATACAAATGTACTTATTGTATTAGAGAAATTTATTTTCTTACAATGGTTTTGAAGTAAAGGGATTACTGTAAAGGGATAATACAGGAAATGTCTAAAAACAAAGAACATAGGAAATATAATCCTGAAAATGATAGAATGGAAGGAAAGTACAAATTGTTATCTAGTATCGTTGCATACAGTACCAAGATAAAGGCAATAAAGTCGTAGATCCACAAAACACCAATATCCTAGCGGACGTAGGTCCCAAAAATGTGAAGGTAAATCCAGAGATTGAATTTTTTTGTATCATTATTTAAAAAACCAGAGAATATAAAAAATGTAATGATATTAAGTAGCAGTCTATAGAGAGACCCATCGTAAACAATGGGCAAAGGATGATTTAAATTATTTAGAAAACTATTAGAAGGAAAGGACAATGTTGGTATTGTTTACTAAAAAGCAGCATTTTTATTTAATTGTAAATGTTTTCATTATAGAAGACAAGAAAAGATAAATAACTGCGGTGAACCACAGCACTGAACTAAGACTCCATTAGTTCCAATAGGTATCTGTTATATGTATTGCGGCGGTGCCGGTACAGTTGCGTGAATTCCATTTTAGAATTTGAAAAGGTCTCTGATTTAATGTAAATGTAAAGAAGAGTGGTCACTAAATAAAGATCAATGTATTAATCAATGGTTCACGTTCTTTTTATATGTGTTTCTTTGTTAGCGTTAATTTTTTACATTTTATAATTTCCTTGCATTTTCATTGCATTATTATTAGATGACATCAGAAACTTGTGCGTAAAAATTAAAGTTTCCAGTTATAATATTTTTAATTATAATAAACATCAAATGAATTCAATTAATTGAATAGTCATTTATAAGTGCCGGCTCGACACGAGCGTCGTACAAAGCTGTAGTCGATAGAGCTCGTAACGAGGTGCGCGCGCATCCATTGCAACTAGAAAGAGATAGAGGAAACCTCAATTACCAAGCAGCAGCAGCTTTATATCCTTGGCAGCCTGGATGCCATCCTCCTTTAGGTTCTTCTCGATTTGCTTGCTGCGCGCGATGGCGGCACGCTCCTCGGCGGACGAGGCGCAGCCCATGGCGATGGCGCGCACGGCCTGGCTCGCTACGCGCGGCAGCGCCGTGCCCCTCGCATGCTCGCGGCCCGTCGTCGCGCAGTCACGCGCAGCTGGCGCCGCGCACGCGCTAGTTCGCGCACGCGTCTTTTGCCGCGGGTGCTCCGCCGGTCTGCTGTACGCGTGCAGCTCACGGTGGTCGCAACTCGGCGCGGTGGACCTTGCACAAACGAGATGCGAACTGGTCAAGGTGGCGCCGCGGCGTGGGCCCGCGAACGAATGACGGATCGCGCAGGAGCGTCGCGACGCCGCCAGTGCGCATGCTTCCCTGCCGCCTCCGGACGCCGCCACCACTACCAGCCGCCCAGTGCCTCCCTGACACACTAATTACTCCCTACGTCAGCCTTGTTTCTTTTCTCTCGAGCCTATTCAAGTTCATGAGAACGTGTTGGCAAAAATAACTAAAATATACATATACCTAATAACATTATCCTTAAAACAATTAAAATATAATTTCAAAGTCAATTGACATACCATTAATTTCATATGCAACTAATCCATTCTGTGGCAATTCTTCTAAAATTCTAAATAAAACGAGTGTCTACAAAATGTAGATACCTCGTTTATTTATAATATAGTACAATACGTATAGTTTATCAAGTTTTATAAATTAATGCGTATGGTATTGATGAAAGTACTAGACAATGCATATGACCTAAAAAACAGAAATTTAACTATTTCTTGTCCAGGGTATATATATGTAAAAACTACATGATCGATCAATGCCTTTTAATGCTTTAATAGAATAGAAAATCATTTATTCAAACTTAATTTAAGCACTTTTGAATAGTCAACAATTTTTTTAATCTACCGCTTATTCGGAAAGCTGTCTCATCACAAGAAGAATAAGCAAGAAACTTGTGTGTTGCTGCTTTAAACAATCCTTGCAAGTTCACATTTTACAAGTCGAAACGTGTGAATACAAACTACCAACCAGCACTAATTCATTTAGGCTCAAATATAAAAACACAATAAGATTAAATCAGTCGTAGTGATAAGAGCAGACAAGTCCCTACAAGCAGCACTCGTCCACGAGTATGACTCATCGTCAGCCATCACTGTGCTCGACCATATTTTAGGGAGCCCAATGACCCGGCCCACCACGACGCCACATGTCTGGACATTTTAGTAAGCATGACTACTCATTCCACTCGATCTCGTCATAGTAAAATAAATAAATAAATAAAAATAATTTTGAGCCATCCTCTCTGTTGAAATTGGGATGTTTTTTAATTTCAATCGCCTCCCGCACCATTCGTGGGTAATAGTGGCGATCAGTAGAGAGGACCTTAGGCGCATGTAGTTCAGTCCAGTGATTTGTGCCAGCGTTCAGTAGATGATCGGCAATCGCTGATTTGTGTGGTTTTTTTAAATGATGATAATGGAATGGTGCACCCGCCTGCGCTAACGGTTTACGCTGGCGGGGCACCAGTGGAGGATGATAAGATGAACATGAAGTCAGATCAGTTAGCCCAACGTGACAAATTCACCGGGAATGTATCACGATGGTTTCCAGGGGGAACCGCGTGGAGGTCGATCTGACATGGTACATTGTTAGCAATGGGATCATTAGTCCACATTACTGACAATCCCCTTCCCCCCTGATTTGTGTGGTTTTTTTTGTATATGATAATGGAATGGTGCATCCGCCTGCGCTAACGGTTTACGCTGGCGGGGCACCAGTGGAGGGTGATAATACGAGCATGAGGTCAGGTCAGTTAGCCCATCGTGACAAATTCACCAGGAATTTAACACGATGGTTTCCAGGGGGAACCGCGTGGAGGTCAACCTGATATGGTACATTGCTAGTAATGGGTTCATTAGTCCACATTACTAACAATCCCATTTCCCCCCTGATTTGTGTGGTTGTCGACAACCACACAAATCCCACGAATGGTCCGGGAGGCGATTGAAATTAAAAAACATCCCAATTTCAACAGAGAGGATGGGTCAAAATTATCATCTGCGTGGAATCCAGTCATAAATAAATTCAAGCAATGTTCAGTAGCATCAATAGTCAATAAGTGTACGGATACCGTGAGTGCTGTGTGTGTTCAATTTCCATAAAAACTTTCATCCCCCATTTTATTTTATTCTACCCCAGCCCCCTTAAGGATAAAAAATTTACAAACTCTGAATGTCATATTTATTCGTATTTAAACAACAACCTAAAAATATGTTTCAAGCTTCTAGCTTTAAAAATGACGATTCATCCATACAACCTTGCACCTACCCCCTTTCAACCCTCTTACAATTTACTCTCCCCTCTGGGTGTAAGGCCGGTAGATTCAAAAATCGTATTGGACAATAAATCTATTAATTTTGTTGACGATACTGTATTTCTAGGTATCACATTAGATTCCAAGTTGCAATGGGGTGCTCATATTACTAAATTGGCGAGTCGACTTAGTTCTGCCGCTTACGCGTAAGAAGAATTAGACAATTAACAGACGTGGCAACGGCTAAAACTTGTCTATTTTAGCTATTTCCATAGCATTATGTCGTATGGTATTTTGTTATGGGGCAAAGCAGCTGATATAAATACAATATTTACTTTACAAAAGAGGGCCATTCGCTCCATTTATGGTATGGGTTCCATGTATGGTATGGTATGGGAGTCATTGCGAGAGTGTTTTAAGGAATCAAATATCCTCACCGTTATAATCTCAATACATTTGTGTTATGATAAATATCATCTATGCCAGAAGGAATATAGACAGTTTCAAAAAAGTTAGTGATTGCACTAATAAAAGCTTACGTAACAATAACAAACTGATTTTACCTAAATGTCGTTTGGCTACAGTTAGTAATTCGTTTTATGTGTGTTGCGTAAGGTTTTACAATAAAATACAATAGTCTGTTATAAATCTGCCAGAAAAAGATTTAAATGTCAAATAAAACAGTTCCTTTGCAAAAAAGCTTACTATAAAATTGAAGAATTCGTTAAAGATAATAATGTTTTTATAGAAAAACTTTAAATCTATAGCACTGACAATATTATCTGATTACATTAATAATGATTGCGTAGCTACTTCTATGTTGATTATCGCATGCCTCTTACTTGTTATACTGTAATTATTTATATAAAAAAAACATTTATTAAAAAGAGCAACACACAACAGTTTCTTGCTCATTCTTCTTGTGATGAATCTGCATTCCGATATGAGTGGTAGAATCAAAATATGACTATTCAAAAGTGCTTGTAATGAGTTTATTTGAATAAAGATTATTTCTATTTCTATTTCTATTTCAATCCTTTTTTCGCATTCAAAAGTAGCCTATGTCCTTTCTCTGGGTGTAGACTAATTGTGTACCAAATTTCATTTAAATCGGTTAAGTAGTTTTGGCGTGTAAGGCGTGTAAGGGTACAATTTTTTCAAACTTTGAAGTTCATATATATTTATATTTAATAAACTGCCTCAAAAATTAGTTTCAAGCTTCCACCTTCAAAATGACGAATTTACATAAAAACTTGCATCCCCTATTTTATTAAACCCCCTTAGGAGTAAAATTATTACAACCTTTGAAAGTCATATTTATTTATATTTAATCAACAGCCTCAAAAATAAGTTTTAGCTTCTAGCTTCAAAAATAACAATTCTTCCATACAATCTTTCATCCCCATTTTCAACCCCTTGCAACCCTTTACGTGAAAGCGAGACAGACAGACAGACAGACAGAGTTACTTTCGCATTTATAATATTAGTAAGGAAGTCAGGATGTGATCTAGCACACCACCTTACTTCCGATTGTCGCAGGTTCGATTACTCGCGCGGCACAAACATCTGAATTTATGAGTATGATTGTTTGTATCTTACCTGATATCATACATGAAAGTGTTTGAGAAAATGCTAGAGAGACGCTTGCGAGGGGAGTATGATATTTCACAAAATCAATTCGGTTTTATGTCTGGTCGAGGGATAATATTTTACCCTGAGCCGACGAATGGCTACGTCCATGCTACCATGAATAATATGTTAAGTTCAAACGGTTGTTATAAATGATCTCCATATAAAATTTCAAATTATATCTAAACTTTTCGACGACGTGAAAGAAAATGCGTCGAGCTAAGCTTCACGCAGCTACATGCATGCGTAGTACGTAGCACGTGCCAGTGTCGTTGTATACTTTAATTTTCATCTTGTTCAATATATTTTGATGATCAACAAAGTCAAGTTCAAGAAAGCACTAAATATATTTCTCATCCAAATAGGGAAGATAATTGTATTAATAATAGTGAACCTAATAGATTCAATAGTCCTAATAAGACAGAAGGGAAAAGGAGTAAAAGAATTGTAAAACCACCTAAGTGGTCTAAAGATTATTATTTTGATTTTGATTAGTAATATGGTATCTTTATAATTATATCAATAATTTTAATTAAGTAAATATGTAAACAATTATGTTTTATAATCCTTAAAAGCAAAGGGGATGTGTAATGTAATGTGTTAGTGATCAATAAGTATACAGGCCTTAAACATTGTGTGTACTGCTTATAATCGTAATGACGTTTTTCGAATAACTTTAGGTTTAACTGTTTACAGACGTCGAATTAGGTCTCTGGTCTGTTAGCTTTTAACCGCGAAATATTAAAAAGTTAAATTCTCCTATCGTATATATATATAGTTACTGATATAAGCAAAAAATATTTTAATAATATTAATAATTTTTCAATTAAATATCAGTTGTTATTTCAAACAATACTTACAATAAGAATTTCACGTTACGAAACGCTTTAGAATATCGCTGTATACACTTGGACTAAGTAACAAAAAGTATTAACTAACATTAAAGTTTTAAAGGTTTTTCAAATTTATAAGTTGGCAATCCGGGTCATATTTTTAAATTGTAATTGTAATCTGTGATTATTTTATATTATTATCTATATGTCTATTATAGCTGTATGGGCTTAAACTCTTTGCCTTTTCTATAAATTGTTGTTGTTTTAAAGTTCATCCATTTTGGACAGGCGAAGAGCATTGCCCATACTGCCTAGTCAGTAGTTACATTAATCTTCTTTATATAAATCGTTTTATGTGTTTCGTAGAATATCCGGGCTATTCTTGACTGCTTCAGTCAAGTTATTTCTTAAGTAGAATGTCTGAAATAATTTTCTTCAGTAATCCATATAATTGGTCATAATATGTAATTAAGATTTTAAGCATCCATTTTCATGTTTCATTATCTTAGCCAGAGGTACATCTCAGAGTCAAATGTTATTATATAATTCTAATCGAAGGACATATAATTACAACAAAATAAAATATTTACAAAACCTATATAAAAAACTATATGTATATTAAAAATACAATTATTCATATTTCGCCAACAGAACTGAGTACAAAATTATATAGAGACGGATAAACATTTTGATTAGTTAGTAGATCTTCCATGGAACGCGGGACAAGTTCTGCCTTATTGTAGATTTGAATAAGATCATCTATCAGTACAAGGCGCTGAATACTGAAAGACGAGCAAGTGAAGAAAAGATATTTTTTGGGTTTGATCTTCTCCACATTGACAATATTTTCATAGAGGTGTGTTTGCTATTTTTAGCCGGAATAGATGAGAATTAAGACGACAGTGTCCATAAAACTAAAAAATAAACAATGTCATGATTTATTCTTTAAGTAATCTGTACTGTACTTGTTTGCTCTGTAGTTCTTGCCGCTATTCAAAGCAGATAATACTAAATAAAAATACCTATATGTCAGATAGATTTCGCCGCTCTCTTCCTCTACGCGCTCTCTTTAAAACTCTCGTGTCGTTCATTAGTTCGATACAAAATTTTGCTCACTAATCGTATTTGTACATATTAATTTGAGTAATGGATTCAGAAGATGAAATTGAAGATAATCCCCAGTATAAAGGTGTACCAGGTACGATAATTCTTATCAATGCTTTTAATGATTCAAACTTGACATCTTTGGCTCATGTTGTAACATGTCGAGTAGTGAAGCAATATTTACGTTCATCCAAAAATAACTGTATTGGTGTTTGTTATTACGGGCTGAAGAATGATAAGGCGTCAAGTTTAAACATACAAGATGTAGTCGAGATATTTCCTCTTACTGTACCTACTGTGAATGATTTCGAGAAACTTCAAAAAGCAGATATATCCACTTACGAACAAGCCACCGAACTGAAAATATCTGACGCTTTGAAGTTGTGCAATAAAATGTTCACCGACTGCAAAAAGCAGCTTTTATCGAGAACAATTGTTATTCTAACTAAACTTGATATTCCACCTACAAAATCTGATCAGAAACCTAGTTGTAGTAGAGCTGTTGATTTAGCCAGTTCTAACGTTGAAATAAAAATTATTAATATCGCTGAAGAAAATTATAATGTAGATCCATTTTATGAAAAATTTCTTATTGATGCTAATGGTGGAAAAGATATTGTTTTGCCTTCACCAGTCAATGATTGTGAAGCAATAGAAAAATTAATACATCAGCAATCACATCGCCACTTAGCTGTTGCACAACTGACTTTTTCTATTGGAGAAGGGTTTGATATTGGAGTGGGAGTGTACAAATTGCTGGTGCAAAATTCTTATATGAAATCAACCAACTTAGCCAGAGATAAAAACACTGTTGTTACTACTGTAAACAAAACAATGAAGGTACCAATAGAACCAATTGCAACATGTTCACATCAAATGGATATTGATGAAGAACAACCAAAAACAGAAGTGCCTCTGTTGAAATCTGAAATTATTTATTATCAGGAATATGATAAGGAAAGAATAAATTTTACAGATGATGAAAAAAAAAGTATGACTAATCCATTTGGTCCACCAATGATGAAACTACTAGGCTTCAAACCTGCTAACCTTTTGTGTAAAGAAAAGTGGTTTTTAAAACCTGGTTATTTCTTATATCCTAATGAAGAAATCATAGAAGGTTCTACAATAGCTTTCAAAGCATTGTATCAAGCTTGTATAGAAATGTCTGTGGTGGCTATATGTATTTTATGCACAAGGGTGAACTCGAGACCTAACATTGTAGCATTATCTCCTTGTTCTAATCCTCTTGGTCTTAATGTAGAAATAGGTTTTAATGTAATCCATATACCATATATTGAAAGTATTCGAAACCTTCCAGTTCCAGATAATACTGTAGAAGAAATATTAGATGAACATAAATCTGCAATGATAAATATATTGAACTGTCTTAAATTTGAATATAAGGCGGACATGTTCGAAAATCCCAAATTGCAAACACAGTACAGAAATATTGAAGCAGTAGCTTTATCAGAAGAAAATGTTGAACCATTTAAAGACACAACAAAACCTAATCCTGAAAAGTTTCAAACAATACGTGGAGATTTGTTTGAGGAGTTGTTTGGTCCATTTGGTGCAGTTAACTTAAAACGGTCAGTACCAAGAAATCAAGATCATAATGCAAAGAAACAAAAATTAGAAGATATTGATAATAAGACACTGCTGGAAAGGTTTGAAGATAAAAAAGTTAATACCTACACAAAGCCGCAGCTAATAAATATATTAAATTCTATGAGTATTCCAGACATAGGTTCTATACACAAATTAAACAAAAATGAGCTAGTTGCTCTGGTATATAAACATTATACTAATTCTTCATAATTATTGTTATGAATAGTGAGATTACAGCCTAAACAGTAATTGAAATTTGGCATAAAAAATGTTATTTTTTTTTTTATTTTAGAAATAATGATTGTAGTATAACACATTGAGCGCTTCAAAAACCTTAGCATCTAAGTCACTTTCTCATTGTTTCTTTTTGCATACAGGGTGCACTTTTGTATATGGATTATAAGTTTTTAATTTTTAGAAACCATGTCAATTATTCATTTACAACTAATTTAAAATCTTTATTTGAAATGAGGTGTAATATTTGTGGCACTGTAATGAGTCATTATTTTCATTAAATGTTAAATGACTAGGGAATGTGCTGCCCATACTGGAAAGAGGTAAACATACATGACACATCCCAGGAATGGCAAATATATATTATACTGTATCTTATGTTATGTATAATACATGTAGTACATTAATGTTATCTAATCTGACCTGCAGCCTTATAGAGTGCCTGAAAGAGTTTACTTTATTACTGTTATATATTATTAAAAGTTATATTTGTATTCATACTGTGTAATAAACATAAATTAAGTTTTTATTTTTGTATTTTAAAACTATTGAAAGTTTTAAGTAAGGGTTAAGACAACAAAATAATAATTAATTTTATATGCCTTGTTTTATTGTATGTAATGCAAGAAATAATACCCATTTAGATAAATAACTATTTATTACTATTATTTATATATACAATGACCCATCTGCAGGTCCCAAATGATGTATTCCAATTAATAGAGCATCTACTAGTGTCCATACTCCTAAACCGCCAAAGCTAAATAATTTTCCAATGCCTTCTTGCCAATGTCCCAAATAAAACCGGTCTGCACCAAAACCTCCTAGTGTAAGTGCCAAGAGCAAGGCAGTGCCCCACCTTGTACCTGCAGTCCAAGAGCAACGAATTTTCTTTAAGAACTTTCGCCTCCCTAAACAAATGATGTCATCAGACACTGTGCAGTTTGTCCTAGAACAAAAAAGTAATTGTTACATACAGTGATAATGCGGTTTTTTTTTGTTACATATAGTGGGGTATATTAGTTAGATAACTAAAATAGGTAATATTAATTAATCTGTTATATACATAAATATATTCCTATCTCACATTATATTGAAGACTTATGAGGAATAATGAGTCTATAAATTATTAGACAGTGAATAAAGTAATTGCTACTAGTCACATTTTTTCTAAAGGATGTAACAAATTTATTATCGTCTAGATCCTACATTTAGAAAGGAAAAGTTTTGATTTTAAGTTTATTCTAAATTTGCAATTAAACTACTATTAATAATTTGACTACTTTCTATTATTAATAAACTATCTAAAATATATATGCCTACTAAAATATGGTAAGGATGATTATATGTAAAATAATAATAACAAATATTTAATAAGGAACTATATAATTACTATTTCAATAGTTACTAACAAGTAGAAGTTGAGAGGAGATGCCAATGAGTTGCAATTTGCTTTTTGATCACAACGATGTTCCCATCTCTCAGTTTGGTAACAAAAGCGACAAATTGCTGTCCTATTGAATGTTTTGGAGCCCTGAAACAAAATTCAATCAAGAAACTATAAAATAATGCTCAGAATTAAACTTTTTAATTATATACTGAAACTAGTGTTTAAAAGTAACAGGACTTAAATATAACAATAAAACTTTAAAATGTTATCCAAACTAATAACATAAAACGGAAAACATGTCTGTTTAGGCAGATATATCATTATTCATTGTATTAGGTTGTTCGGAAAGTAATTTCGTTTTTTCATAACTTAGGATTTAATTGTATTTTTTGCAGTCAACTTCACACTTAAGCCATATAATTTTTATATGCTTTGAGAGCTCATATAGCAAGGCTTGTGTCTGAAAAAGTACAATTAATGCTATGCAGTAGGTTTTGGTTGGTAGGTACCCTTTTAAATATGGAGAGGAATAAGCAGCATTTTGGACATTTCTTACTGTTCTACTACAGAAAGGGCAAAAATGCTGTTCAACCCAGAAAGAAATTGACCGATGTGTGTGGAGAAGGTGTGTTAACAGTATGCCAGTGCCAGAACTGGTTCGCTTAAATAAAAAATAGTAAGATATGTCGAAGATGCTGCTCCAAAAACCAAAACTACTGTGTAGAATGAATTATAATTTTTCACGCACAAGCCTTGCTATATGAGCTCTCAAAGCATATAAAAATTATATGGCTTAAGTGTGAAGTTGAGTGCAAAAAATATAATTAAATCCTAAGTTAGGAAAAAACTAAATTACTTTCCGAACAACCTAATAGTTTTATATTACTTAAACAGTATTATCTTTTCATGAAAAGCTAATACTAAACAGCTGTATGAACCATACTAAAAATATATCTGTATGTAAATTGTATTATGACTGAAAGGAGGTACAAGTTTGTCCAAAGCCTCACAGTTTGCTAATTATCATCAATAATAATAGACACTTACACTGCACATAACTTTTGGTTTCACAGTACAATTGTAATTGTAAAATTCTCCATATCGGCAATCTATACTTCTATCGCAAGATATACAGGGATAAAGCAATGAAGAACATAATGAAATATTGCCTTTATCTGCATATGGGCAACTTTTGAGATATTCTTCTTCAACTTCATTAAAAGTAACTCCTTTATCGGACGTGTCCTCTTTTACTTTCTTCTCTTTGCTTTGAATATCCATGTTATTATTTGCTATAAGAAATAATTTAGATCTAATTATAATGAATACACAATACAATTTAAATTTATTAAACATTTATTTAATTGCTTACCCATGTCCGTAATATGTATTGTATTAAAAATAACCAAAATAACTAAAACTAAACAATCTTTAATAGATATTCTTAAAGGTAATAATCTCGGCATCCTGAAAACTAACTATAACATTTTGTATTCGTTTTATTATTATATACTAAGATACTTTTGATTTTTTGGAATAGAATACATTACAGAAAGACATATATTTTATATTATGTGCGGAGTAACTATATTTAGTATTTACTTGTTTTTTAAGTAAATTGAATCGAAATTTGTTTTATTCCCACCCATAAACTAATCGCGTATTATGAATTTATGACAAATCAAAATAACATTTTATTGCCACAATTGACATATAGTATATGACATGACAGCTAAGAGTCCATGAGCTGAGATAATAAAAGTTGCCAAGCTTAAAATATTTTGTTTTTATCAAAGGTATATATGTGTATATCGTTTTATGTGAGTGAAATGACATAATTTTTCAGCCTATTTATTGGTAAGAGTGCTACACATACTGCACCACTAACAACGTGTTAACTTTGCTCGCGGTAGGAGTTTTTTATACTACGATGTTGGTAAACAAGCATACGGTCCATCTAATGGTAAACGGTTAAGTACCTATAAACCGAAACTTTTTAGTTGTTAGTTGCTTATTAACTGAACCCCACGTGTGCCACGTGTGCCGTCCCGTAATAAACTATTATATAAATAGGTATATTAAATACCATACTCGAAAACCCCATGTTGTAGTCTATAGGGAAGTAGTTAATTATAGTTGTAGTAGTTCCTCATTGTAGTTAATTCCATAATTTAAGAGTACCTCCTGCATTGCTATTCTGATATATGACATTGCCTGTGTATTATATAACTTCACTACACTCCCCACCCTGGTTCTGATCTATAAGGTAACAGTCAGACAGACATAAAAAATAACATACAGATACAGGCTGCTAAAGGATGTGTTTCTTTATAAAAAAATATCATCAGGGTAAGACTACTTTGCTAGTTACATAATATTTTAGACTGCTGCCCCACCTTGAGCCCATGGCTGGCTACGCCCATGTCTTACCTTCACATGAAACACATTATAGAAAGTAAGCTGCCATGCGACTGATATAGGCGAGACACGAAGAGGACTTTTACAGCCTACCTCGATAAGTATTTTGACGACCATTATAAATAATCCTTTCGTAACTGTTACATAAGAAGCTATATGCAAAGACAGGAATTAAGAGTCACGTTGAAATAATTAAAAACAACTACATTCAAAATCTGTATACAATAAACAAAGAAAGCAATATATTTCTACACAATTTTTGGTGTACCAAAAACGTACCATACAAGTGATGGCTGCCAACCTGTTAAGGATATAACCATTTATTTAGTTTTCATAGCATAGCATAATACAATGTAGAAAATATAAAATAACTTAAAAACGAATGTAGGTAACATTACGCCATAAGCTGGCAGCGTGGCAGCGTCACTGCAGCGATGATTTTTAGTGACATGTAGATACATGTATCTGCTTAATAAATAAAAACGCATTATGCTATTTTATATTTAATTTATTCTGAGTATCAAATTATTTATTATATTACTTTATTTTTAATCCAATTAATCACATTCTTACATTTTAAACAATCAAATCTTCTGGGTTACGTACCATTTCAAAACCATTCTAAATAATAAGTAACAAAAAGACAGTCTCATTCATATTATATCTACTACTACCTTAAATAAATAATAACAAACAAATAAAATAAAATACAATTTGCACAAAATATTTCTACTAACTAATAAATGTTTAAGTTACAGGTATATAAATAGTAAAAAGAGAAATAGTGCACAATACTTTCATAGTTCAAGTTAATACAAGGAAAATAACCTAATTCTATTCTTAATTGTCTTATTTATTTTTCACGCTTAACACTCTTCCACTATGCATATAACAGGTGTGTGAACACTTTCTTCATTGTTGTTATAGTATTTAAAAGGAAGTAGTTCATTAGTAATAGGTATTTCTTAAATAATTAACTACCTTGTATATTTAAGTTCAGCGTAAAGACAAAACCTTACACAAAAATCGTCATTTGTAAAATAGCGTAATTTGAATTATTCATTTATGTTTTAGGCTGCTGATATACAGGTGAGTTGTCTGTTTGTCCGATTGCGACTAAAGCCCTATGGAATCTAGTCAGATATTTGATTTCTATCGCCTTTTACAATCAGACAGGATAATCGAATATAACCTACCGAATATGCGCCTGTATATTAGCAGACTAAAATTATTATGCACTATTTTGAATAAATAACAAAAACGGATAAATAAATATCAATATTTTCAACTTAAGTAAAAGTTAAACAAACATTGTGAATCAAAATTAGTTTTTATATCTTCGCTTATGTCTATTGTTGGCTTTCTACTATTGTCCTCGGTTTCTTTAGACATTTCAGTGATTGTGGAGAGGTTAGGCACTGCACATGTTATTGGGAATATTTGGTTAAGATTAGCACCAACACTGGGGGTTTGTAAGTTCGTATTTGTAGTCTCATCTTCACTTAAAAGATACCATTTAGATGTAGGAATATTTGTAAGTGGTGATTTGCCGGAAAGGCACGGCAATTCATCGGATAAGTCTTCTGTTATAAGACTATTAGCAGAAATTTCACTGGCTATAGGACTGTGGTATACCGAATCGTTGTTGGATCCGACTTTTGCTGAAATAGATATAATATTATATAGAAATATTTTATGTATACCATTCAGAAACTGTAATTAATAATGAATTACTGTAAATAACAAACTATTGTTGTTGTAACGTTGTCGTATTGCTTAAGGCTATTTTCTTATATTTCATTAAAATATTTAAATGTGACACCCACTATATGAACCACAAATTATTATAATATGATGCTGCTTCAGGTGCGTAATTGATTTCTTTTTTGTTATTGATTGAAAACAATTACAGTAATAGACTACATTAAGTTGTTCGTTTTATTAAATCTTTGTACAGTGAGTTATTCTCTAAACCCTTTTCCCGTGCGAATTGCCAACCTCGTTTACAGGTTTGTAAAAGATTTCTAAGTAAGTACGTCTGTTAGCCGATTTTAAAGAACTGTGATCTCTTACTTACTGGTCATATTAAACACGTGATTCAAGACATTTGATCCCCTACGGACCTTTAATTTTATTATGTTATTTATTACTTTTTATATGTATTGTAGCAGCATACTTTCTACACGTGCCACCTTTTAGTTCTTGCAACTTCTTAGAATTCTTACCGCACGGCACGTGTAACATTAGCAACTGTTGTTACTTGCTGCTGCACATGTACACGACAGGTGTAACTGCAGGTAACAGCTCTAAAGAGACGTGTATACACACCCCCTTAAATTGGTTCCTGTACCGGGAATTTCACCCAGAAGGCTCGGGTTCGATTCCCGGTACGGGAACTAATAATCTCTAGGGTTTAGCTCTATAACCTACTTCGTCGAAAATCTGGGAACTTAAATTAAACAATCTACAGACAGAATAGAAGTGTTTCATTATAAAAATGTTTCAACCTTATATACAATGCTACCTGCCGTGCGATAAGAATTCTAGGAAGTTGCAAAGACTGAAAGGTGGCACGTGTAGAAATTATGCTGGTACAGTATATATTATTAAATTGTACAGTAAAAGTAATCGCAATATTGTATTTATAGTAATAGGTGCAAAAATAAACTTACCACATGTCATATTTGCCCCATCTTGAGCATTACTACAAAACAATTCGTTTGACAAGGAACTGCTGTCTCTGGCCACAAATATAAATCTGTCAGGTGAGTCCCCAGAGTTTGTATTCAATGATATAATTGACCTTTTCGCCTCTATAAGTTCAACACTGTCCATGCATTCATTTGTTTGTAGACAAGTATCAGAATGATTGTGGATAAGGTCAATGCTATCATTCAAGCTTTCTACAAACAAGTGCGACGCATCATTTATGCCGCTATCAGTTTGTGCAGATACTCTACTACAATCTCTTGGTTTATTCTCAAAATCTGATCTATCTTTTTTCGGGTTCTTGTTCTTTGGTCTCAATATCTTCACTTTAAGAATATCTTTTTTTAATTTTTTCCTTTTATTGCCAGTATTTGCGTTTTCACTTGGGTTACCTTCATTTATCTCATTATTACTTTTAGTAAGTTCACTAGTTAAAATGGGAATAGGTGGAAAGGGTTCTCTACCTCCATGGGAGCAGAATTCCATACATTCTTCTTCAACTACAGGGCCTATGTCGGGAAGTTTACGTTTCTTTGTGTCTTTTCGTTTACATGGTGTTGAACACCGTTTTTTAGATTTTGCTTTATTTTTCAAATTGATGTCTGATGTAATTTCGATATTTTCATTATTATTTGAAATATTTCTGCTGGTTTTTGCATGTGATACTTGCATCTTTTTGGCACTCTCTAACAATAAGTTTCGTAGTTTTAGATCTAGTGAATCTGATATAGAAGCTTCTTTAATATTTACATCTATTTTGTCTAATACTGATTGTGATATAGTAGATGTATTTGGGATGTTCGTATTACATTTTGAGGGGCTATTCTTTTGAATCTGACATATTTGCTCCATTAGCGGCATACTCACATCTAAATCAGAAATCAAATACTTATTGGGGTTTATGCATCCATTCGCCTCTTCATTGAGAGCTTGAATTTCATTGATACTAGGGCGGTCTTGAAAACTTTTTAATAGCTCCCTGCTTACAGACAATTGCTCTACGATTGACAGTTCAGGCGATAACGGTAAAGAGACACTACTCGAGTTCACTGCTTCTATACTACCGCGAATAGAATCGCTTGAATTATTTTCTTGGTGTACATTCTTTTCATTGATATCATTGTCAATGTGTATTTCAGGTGGTTTGCTTAAGTTACTGTTAGCCAATTCGTTTGGCGTAGTGTGATTTTCTTCTATTTTATTCAGAACTCCAAAATTGTACCGATCTTGCGGCATCAGCATTTGGTAAGACTCCGATTTGTATACTTCAGGATTCAAGGTGCTGTTACTTTTGTGTCCAAGAACTTGAGATTGACTGTTAGATTCATTGGAAGTATCATCAGAGAAATAAGGATGCGATTTCCTTTGATTTCCATACCGCAGTATAATCTTTCGTTTACGAAGTACATTGGAGAAGCTTGATTTCCTTTTTCGCCTCAAAACTATACGATTTGAAGATGGACTTACATCAGAATCCTGATACCCTTGTGTGCTATCTATAGAATTTTCTGGCTGATTTGCTGAAGCGCATAATTTATGGATGCCCGTTAAGCTGCGAGGAAAAAAGCAACAGTCAGTTTTGTAGCAAGCGTAGATTATAATAGCGTAAGCTTATAGTGCAGGAGTTTTAGTAGTACAGTGGGATTCATATTACGTTATAAAAGTGTATCAATTAATGTAAAGAAGCAACGCAACATTACCTCAAAAGTAGTAATATCGCATAAGAAGGATTTGTTGCTCAGAATGAGATATTATTAACAACTTTAGAGAGCATAATATGTTTATTCTGATAGTGTGCCTTGAATGAAAATAGTAGCTTAGTAGTGTACATAATATTTATTTTAACGCTGTACATTAATCTATAGCAGACCATTAAAAGTAAAATGTCAGTGCAGTGTAAGCAATGGAAGCAGGTTTACAATCAAATATTTACACTCACCGCAAAGCAACAGATTTTCCATAGGAAACAGCAGTATGGCAATTTTATGTTTAGACATATAAGAAAATAATATGCATATATATATATATATAGGTTCAGTTAAAGGATTATATCAATCTTAAATATGTTAATAGTAATAATTAAACTGTATTTATCTAATCTTTCATAACAATGGAAATACTTCGGATAATCTGAGTTATGAATAAAAGATTACATATAATATAGTATATAAGATATATATATAACTTTCTTTGAAAAAATTATCTGTTTCATTAATACTATTATTTAGAAATATTTCCATAAGTCGGAAGTCGAGTACGTGTTGTTACGGCTTTTTAGGCATGTTGCGATTACTGTATTACAGTTCCGTTTCTTTATTGACTCAGCAAGGGATTTTACTATACTATATATATCTTAAGTTTTATTTCTATGAAATAAGTACACAATATAATTTTAAATTTTTTATTGGTACGTACTACCTATTATGTTACACCTGCTCCCATTTTAGTATACAATATATTATTACACGAAGTAAGTTTATCAACAGTGTATTGAATCATGCGAATCACGTTATAATTCTTGTCAAACATATTTTTTATGTGAGTCCTACAACGAACCACATGCTGCTAAAAACAGAATTATAATGTATTTTTTGCACAATAAATGCTTTCAATGTAAAATGTAATGTATGTATTATGGCTATTTATATATATAATTACAAATAACGGTTTAACATTAAAGTATAAAATCTTCGTTTTCTTAATCAGTAGATAGTTAACAAACTTATGATGTTTATAGTATAATTGTATGTATAAAACAATACTTTATGGATAGCTATAATTTCATTATTGTATATCGAAATGACAAAAGTGTTTACTTAGGAGCAATGTTAAAAAATAAACACATCATATAGAAGTTAAATGATTCCTCTCCTAGGCGTATTTAATTGGGCTTCATTTAATACATGCATTTAGTGTTTTCATTCTTAATGTTGAGTAAAAATGAACATTTCGTTGTTTGTAGTATACACAGTATAATTTACTAAAATGGCCGTAGTTAAAGACTTTGCGCGTGGGAACACTGTCTGTTTTGGAATATTCACTATAGTTCTATTGCCCACCGATGTCAAATGGTTAATACTAATTGGATGAAATGCTTATATTGGAATGATAAAAACAGGATAGTAAAAAGTAAGAGCTGAATGCTCATTTTGACGTTTTACAAGACGTAAAAAATATAATAATATTTAAAATATGTATATAGTAATTTATTATAAATCGATTAAATTACATGCGAATGTAGTTAGGATATATATGCTAATTTAATAAATCCGAAATAAAGACATTTTTCTTACGTAATTACAGAAGAATTATTTCACCCTTTGCACTCCTAGTAATTTATAGACGATAACAATAACTTCAGCACAATATTAGTTACCAGTACAGGTACATAAAACAAGACATTTCATAGCTATTTTAAAGAAATACATTCTGACTAGTATAATAAAAGAAATAGTCGCGAAAGTGGATTCTATGTTAGTATTTTAATGTCGCAAAAACGGCGACAACGAAATGCAAAGGGATACTTTTTATAATGAGCTTGATTACTTAACTGATGTTGTAAAAGTCCGTCTATTTTACAGCAGTGTCTAATTAAAATTACACATTTCAACGTATGCTATGTACATATAGATAAGATATTTGGTGTATATTATCAATAAACAAAATATGGTTCATGTATACCTTTATATCATACATTTTGTATAAATAATGAAAAAAAATACAATAGCATATTTTTATAACAGATAGAGATAGTATAAAAGAAGAAATTAAAGAAAACGCAATAATAATAGAATATGAGCGTTTGAAAAAAAATACTTTTAGCTAATATATATTTTTCCATTATTGTTTCAACAATTCCATTACAATAATCTATTTTACTTATTTAATTATGTATATTTTATATACGAGACTAAAAAATAGTTCATTCACACTTAAAAAATGTTTGCTGAAAAAATATGCTGATCTATCATGTAAATTTTAAGGAATACTATGATTACGATAGATTTTGGTCAGTTTTTAATTCACTGTATGATAACATAATAATATAGTAACATGTATATATGTACAAATTTCATAATCCATGTTTACCTTCTACGAGGCCGCTGTCTCTTGTTGATTTCGCCTGTGTGTTTCCTATTAGTTTGTTGATTTGGTGGAAACATGTAGCGTATTTCGTCATCTTCATTCAAATTATTAGATTCGTTTAATTTTGATTCCGATTCACTATTTAAGTTATTCCTTTTATTTTTATCAGGAGTGTTGGTGGTTTGTTCTGTAAATAAGTTAAGAGAGAGTGTTATGGATGGATCCAACTTGAAGTTAAAATATTTTAATTTCTGATTGATGGGTAGTCAGAAATCATAGAGTCATAGATACCGATAATAAATTAAATTAATCCGAGAATACGATTTTGTGCTCCTTTGCTATACATATATTATCTTAATTTAATAAAATATGTCAAGCGAAATGTGAGCATGTCTAGTGTTGTGTTTTTACAACGTCAGTTATTATTTACGATGCATCTATCTGACTGCTCCATATGGGATAATAATTGGTACATAAATTTGCATCCTTAATACATATTATTATCACTGTCAGAAATAAAAGATTGGGTACTGACGTATATATGTACATACAATTATTAGGTGTATGTAGGTGGTCTTATATAAACATTGTCATTAAAATTAAATAAGACTTGGTAAAGAGGATTATGAACAAATATAAAATTTTGATTATTATATACTCATACAGATTTGTAATTTAATTATACAATATGTTACATTACAAATTTAGGACAATACAGGCAATCAAACAGGGTTGTAAATCTAAAAACAACCTTGTAAGAAGATGAATTATTTTCATATCAAAGCCTATAAATCTCGTATTTGTACTATAAGACCCCAGTACGGTAGTCATCCCTGCTATTATAGTTAAACTTACCTATAACTTTTATTGATTTCTTACTCTGACGTTTGCGAGGTGTCACCGAGTTATTTCCAACATTTGTGTTCGCAATTGTGTCTAGATTTTCAACTTCTATTTTGTCAGCTTTACTGTTCCTCATACTCCTCTTCGGTCGTGGTGACCGTGATGTGTTCGTGGTTGACGTGCTATCATTGGAATCAGACAACTTTGGCGGTCTGCTAGGTTTCTTTCTGTAAACCCAAATATAATTTATTTTATATATTTGTTTAATTCAGGCTACCAATGGCCCATATTATAAATACCTTACAGACTAACACACATATGAATTACAGTGAACCCGCGGTAATCCGGCCCCCTTGTAATCCTACATGGTCCATTATTTATTATAAAATATTTTTTTGACAATCTTCACTAATACATGATTGAACAAATTTGAACTTGTACGCATCACCACTGTTGTACTTGACGCGTAGGGTATTGTTTTGATTATGATTGCTTAGTTTGAATGTGACTACTTAGATGTGATGAAGATAGCAGTGCAGTATAGCATGTGTTCATTGTTTACTGTTTATTCACACATATATGTATCAGCTCAGAAGCGAAAGCACAAAACACTGACAATTAAAGAAAAATGTGATATTTTAGAGATCCTAAATCGTAACGAATTTTTTAGTAGTTGACATACATAATGAAGTATGATTTATACTTCAAAGTGCATATATATATAACATAGAATCTTATAACTGGATCTGTAATTTGTCGGATTACAAGACACTCTTTTGTAAAAAATTCCGGACTATAGTGGACCCTTAGGCAGCAGTCTATAATCCGACAGATTCGATGGTCCGACACTGCCTTGCAAAACGTTTGTCGGATAACCGGGGGTCCACTGTATATTCAAAATTAATAGACAAAATAAATATGAATGGTCCGTGTGGTCACGACACTGATGACGGTAATCTGCCACGGTAGCGCCGATACACCACACTCTTCGGTTAAAAGTCTCCTTTCATGAAGGCATTTTGGTGTAAATTAGGGCCAAAAACGCCTTGAAACTCGCGCTGTGACTCGATTCCAGCGTCACCCTAATGTCAGGTTACTTTTGGTCCGTATTTAGTCGACAATGCACGTTAGATAGTTATTCTCATAAACTATTACATTCTTATAAAATACGCAGCACGCATTTTAGAGAATTTACTACTAGTATCGAAACTACGCAGAGTCTGTATCATAGATACTAATATTAATGTGGATGTATGTTATCCAATATATATTTCACTCCAGATATGGTACATTTCATACAAATTTATAAGTAGTTTCCAAAGTTTACTTTCCTAACAACCAAACCTATTTTCTCTTTGTAACATTACTATAGATAGTATGTATCTGTAGTATAGTTGTTTAAAATATAAAATAACATAAACAAATTCAACAGCCTCATTTGTGCTCTTACCTTTTAGTGATATTTTCTTGGTCTGTTGAGTCTGCTAATTCTTCTTTATCTCTGTCTTCTATTTCTTTAAATATCTCACTCTCTAAGGTATTCACTTTCTTACGGACCTCTGTAACGAAACATTATAGCTTGACCAATACACTAAGAGAAATGCAATGTTTAGACTACATTTTGAAGAATTATATATCATAAACATATTCCGACTATACTAGTATAGTCGGAATAAATTGCGTTACACTGAAGTTTTGTAAGCAACAGTACTTAAATATAATCAATGCGAAAGTATTAAAGTATTTATTGTGTACGTAAATATTGATTTATTAATTAAATCTACTATATTTTGATATTGATTATTATTGGTATCCAAAAGGTTTTATTCTAAATGTATAATTATGTAATATCCATATAAAACTGATTTATACTATAAGAAAAAATGTTTTGCGACAGGAATATTCACGCGTCTCTTGACCATTTAGGAGAGTTTAGCATACCTGATAATGTTCTGATTATTAAAAACGAAAAGAGGCCAAACTATATAAAAATAATGCCTTCTGTTGTTTTGTAGTTGCTGCTTTCAAAGCAGTATGAAATATGCACTTCCATTCGACAATTTCATAGCACATTAACGGTAGCCTCTGTTTCATTTAAACGAGGTTCGAAATTACAACTGTATGAGGTTCGAACACCCAACCCTTTTTATTTTTATAACACGGGATAAACGAGTCTGCGGCTAACATGATGGTAAGTGATTATCGCCCAGCACCCGCAACACCAGAGGAATTGCAAGTGCGTTGCTGGTCTTTTAAAAAGGAATAAACTCTTTTCTTAAAGGTTTCAATATCGTTTGATATCGCATTGAAGGTGATTTCACAATGTGGTTGTAGCCTAAAGTTGTATCAGTCAGGCTTCCATAAATCGTTCGGCTGGTTTGTTGCGCGTTTCGCACTTGCCTCCATTTTGATCCAGCTGCGACTGATAGGTATAGAATAGTTCGAAAAAAACACTAACAATATCTGTTTATATGACTGCCTTATAAAAAAAAACTATATCTTTAGACTGTATTCAAGACCATTTTCTATACATTATACCTTCATCATAAGGTAGTGCAGCCTCAGGTTCAGCGGTAGCAGATGCCGTGGGAACAGGTACAGTGGTAACAGGTACAGTGGTAACAGGTTTCAAGTCCCTGTTGCACGGCCTTGCTACAGAACCATTGGTTACAGGTACATCTCGAGCGCCATCTTTTTCATCTTTGTTAAAAAATTGCACCACCTCTGCAAGAACCGGGTGAATATGTGACCAATGGCCCTCCAGTTGCACCTCCTGAAAAATAGGGCAATGATATTATATGTTAATTGTTATTGGATTAATATTAATTTGGACTTTTGACCCCACGCTAACAACGTCCTTTGTCAGAATGACCTCTTTGTTAAATTTCTATTGAATTTGTCACAATGGGCTAACTGACCTGACCTCATGTTCATCTTATCATCCGCCAGGCGGGACAACATTCCATTATCATACATTAAAAAATACTCTTACTTACAGCTACGACGTGCTCGATATCCTAATGCGGCTACACGCAAGGGAAATGGAACACAAAACTTCTTCTGCAGACATACTTGTATATTGTTGTGCTCTTCATTGTTAATTATTTTACATACCTTTATATGTCGATAATTAACTTTTAATACAATATACTATCTATATCTACACCAACCCAAATATAAATACTGTTCCTACTAACACATATTATCTACTAGCTGTACCCGCGGTTTCACCCGTGTTAAATTTAAGTATATAAATTTCAATATAAAATATAGCCTATGTATTATTCTGATGCATAAACAATATTACTGTAAAGTTTTATCAATATCCGCTCAGTAGTTTTTGCATGAAAGAGTAACAAACATCCATACTTACAAACTTTCGAATTTATATTAATAACATAAAACTACCCGAAGTTCGTTAGTTGTAATTATTAGTGATGCAAAGTCGGGAGCACTAAGAAGTGGATGATATACCTATATTATAACTAGTAGCGCTTTCGACTTAGTTGCATATTTTTTTATCAGTAAATCCATTGAAAAAGAAATAGGTTTATGATAATCTTACCTCATTATTCTTAGTAAATTTTATTTTTACTCTCTTCTCTTCTGTGTTCTCTTCTTTCTTTTCCGTTTGTACAGGAAGTAGTTCTTTAGCTGTCAATTAAAAAAACATATATAGGTACAATAAAAACAAACATAACAAACGAACAAGATATTGATAAAAAAATCTCTTACTTTCATTTGATTTACTTGGTGATGCACTATTCTGTAATTTTGGTATTTTTCTGAAAAAAAAAAGTCCTAGTTAAAAAACATTACTTACCTATTTAATAATCTTCTACACAATTAAGATTTTACCGATTTTCTACAAAGTCATGTGTACCTCGTGGATACCTCACCACTATCACCAAGCAGCTTATTTTCTAAATTGTGTTTTGGTAGAAGGTATGAAGTAAAGCGCATGCTGTATTAACATACAGCAAACACTGATCTGGGTGTTTCCTATGTATATTATATAAGTATTTACAATATATATATTGTAACTAGATATATATATCTAATACTCGTTAACACAACCTCTACTTAGCTTGGGATTAGATCGTGCTGTGCGTGTGATTTTTCCATATCTATTTCAGGTAACAGAAATATCATTTAATAATTTGCAGGGCTCTTGAATATTTTTTAATAAATTTAATATAATATAGAATCTTTCTATACAAATAATTACACATATTTCTATACAAAATACAAAAATATTTAAATATGTTAAAGCTCCCATCTCTGTAAGAGAAGGACGAACCCAATTAAAACAAAACTCGCCATCAATAATATTAATAACGTACCGTAATGAGTGGGTGGGAAGTATAGGTGAAACTTCTCTTACATTCTTCGATTCCTTGGCTACATCTAACAATCTGTAATTTAAAAAATAAACCCATTTGTATTTAGGTTTGTAATGTATAAACAAACCATATGATGAATATTGGCCTAGTATTCGGTTACGTGCATACTATTCCGACGAATACTTAATCATAAAAAAGCATAATTATATTGGATCCTATTATGTGAAATATCATCCATCCGCCATCTTTTTACAACAGAATATAGTCGGCCGAATATCGCACACTATTAGGCTGAATACGTAATCATAAAAAAGATATAATAATAATGGATCTTATATGCTACATTTTTACAATAGAGTTCTTTTCGATATTAGTACTAGTATGCGAAATGTACTAAGTGTTTCTTCTGAATATGTGGTGCGTCGAGAACCTCGAGAGATAGATCGATCGATCGTGAGAATTTCCGTAAAACTTCTAGTTCCTTATGAACATAATTAAAAAGTTAAATAGTACTTACACTTTTAATTGTTCCGTTTTTCTTTTTTCTTCCTCATACTTTTTCTTCCAATAAGTAGGATCTTCTTCTTGATCATCTACAAAATTACTCTTATTATTCAAATGTATTTATAAATAAATATGCAAAAATAACATTTTGAGTGGTTAAAATTCTGCTTTGGAAGCTTACTAATTTGTGAGTTTTGTATATGTTAACCATAATATGTAACACGTGTCACACCGAAATACTGTAACTCTAAAATATTGAAAAATTTCTTACATCAAGTGTAGTGGATTTGGTGTATACTTTACTCTTAACAAAAATCTCCTCTCTCTCTCTCTATTCTACTCTATTATTAGTATAAATAGGTCTAAATACCTTCGGATTCGTATGTGAGATAATTTTTTATAATATTCCCGTCTTTCACTAGTGGGTAGATTTTCTTTCCATGCATAACGAATAAACCACCTTCCTCTTGTAATGATAATATACGGGCTGATTTCGGTTTCCTGGAGATAAGTTTTTAAATAATACCATATTATTTGAAGGCATTATTAATAAATTAATATTTGTTTTCTTAAATTTTGTATTCTTATATCATTATTTTTGACTAGCGGCAATGGATGTCAACAACAAAATGAATTCTAGAAACTTCTGCAGATTCAAAGGAGGATGCAAAGGAGGCGTAAGGAACACAATATTTATAACTTCTTCATTGTAAACAAATTGCATATGTGTAAAATGAATTTACGTCTATACTTACACATACTTTCTACTCTGTCTGTACTTGCGACCGCGCGGGGGTGACGTGTATTCAAAGTCACTCTCTGACGTCCACTCGCTTGATTCTAGACTTTTATCATTTACACGAGTTCTGTAACAATATTTGATATAATTCAGTCTAAATTAACTCATGATTTTCTTGCGTTCTTGTATTTATATCTTTGGTCAGGTGTACTCTAGAATAAAATTATAAAAATATACCATTTCTAAAAAAATATTTTATTCTTTATGTAATTGGAATAGCCAGCAAACTAACTGATATGGTAGCCGTCGTTTGTATACATGAACTCATGCATTGTCATTTCCGCGAACTAAGGTCTATCCTAAAATTTTTTGGAAAGAAGAAACATAGCTACTTTGTATAAACATTTCAGTAAGAGAGTGTAACTGGCAAGAGGATATGTTTTTTCGTTTGATATGAACAAATTTTATTGTGGATCAATAAAATAGATAGAGATAAGGTCTCACTGGGAATAACGCTGCGATGTGGACGGCTTCTGACAGCTTAGATTCCTCTTGCGTCTTTTAACCATTCCACCTAAAAATAGATTATGTACATAGTTATTATCATTATGTATATTGTAACTGATTTGATGATAGTCAGTCATTTAAATCAGTCAATAATAAAATTATAGCAATTGTTTCTGTTAAAATAACCTAGAGAAGGGTTGAAAAGACTGAGAGGTATACTATTAAGAATGTTCCCAACATTTATTCATTCATGAGCTTTTGCGTGCTTTTGCTTTGGCGTGACTTTAAAATAGAAAAGTTTTACTGCACTTGGACGATATAGATAGAAAAATTTTTGTTTGCAATATACAGTTTAGAAAAGATATAAATAAAATATATTACATATGTATAATTACAATGCGGTGTCCTTATTGCAAACCGATTTTTTTATAGAACAGATTTGTTACGAGACTTATGAAGTTAATCTACTAACTACGAATATTGATTTAATGGACAAGCAAATATTATGTTTTCATTTTTGAGGACCCTAAATAGTTTTAGTTAACTAATAAAAAAATATAAACATCACAATATTGTACATCAATTTCAATTAAGGATATAATAAACAGATAAAGCAGAAATAAAATTTACTACAAAACATTTAACACATAAGCCATATAGGATTTCTATTTATGTAATGTTTGGTGACAATTACAATTTAAGTTTCATTATATTCATATATATGTGCATGGAAGGTCGTTTTAGATGCATTCAAATTGATGACTTACTAGTTAACATGCTTCAAATTGCTATCCAAGTTTTACATATCAAGCACCGTTATCCCAAACAGAAAGCATCAGGATGAGTACCACTGACTTACCAGTTGAAAATCCAAATATACTAGCTAAGGCTTTTTCTCTTTGTAGTTTATGTATAGGATCTATATTTTTAATTTTCTTTGAGGGCACACCATTATCAGAATCAGATTCAGATCGTGATTTTAAGATTACTACACTATTAATGTCTATGGATGCATGTTTTATTTTATCTTTCTCAACATTGTCTTGAATAGTTTCTTTTGGAGGATTAGCAGAACTATGTGCTTCATTATTTTCATTCTTACCACCATTTTTATTACTAGTAACTTCTTCAACAGATTCAGAATCACTATATTTTGTGGTGTTAAACTGCTCAGCAAATAAACTTACACTCTTCAGACATGGGTTTAATTGAGAAGAAGATATTTCCTCGCTTCGGTTAGCTGGAGATGTATTTTCCATTCTGTTACATTGATCTTCATTATTTTTATCTATTTCAAGAACATTACTGGTTTTTTTCTTGTTATCTTTGTCAGTTAAGGATGAAGGGTGTATTAATTCATTCTGATGATCTGCAACATCAGATCCAGCTTCAGAAATAGACTTTTGTTTATTATTCTGTTCCACATTCTTTTTTTTTTCAGCATTTATTGAAATGTCCTCAGAGTTTGCTCTCCTTCTGGATAATTTAATTTTAGTATTTCCCATAGTTTTATTAGAATCTAATATTATATAGAAATCTCCATTTTCTGAACTTCCTTTCGTTTTCTGATGAGTAATAGATGCAAATTCTTCTTGATTACCTGGCAATTCTGTATCGTTACTATTAACAGAACTACTTTGTGTGTTATTTTTCAGTTTAGAAGAAGCATCTAGCTGACTGGTATTGTTTTTATTATTATCTTCAGCAATTACTTCATTTTCTATTTGTTTTGTTGGATCAGGTTTTTCATTTACTGAAGTATTTTCAATACTTTTTGAATTGTTAACAACAACAGTAGATGGTGACACTCTTTCAGGCCCATTTTCAATATTAGATTTATTATTATTATCCTCAGATTTATCATCAGTTTGAGTCTTGCTTGATTGCTTTTCAATGTCAGATGTGATATTTTCATCAATCTTTAATACTGGTTCACCACTTGAGTCATCAGATTCATCAGTAACAAAATCATGTAAAACTTGTAAAATGGAAGGTGTCGGTGGTTCCGCGTAAGTTATACAGTCCCTTAATTTTTTATTATACGAGTTTTCCTCTTGTGATTCTCTTCTTTTGTCGCACTTTGGAGACTCCAATTCTTTCTCTATTGCATCAGAATCAAGTACAATAGTTTCAGTAGAGGCTCTGTTATGTAGTGGTATTTTTGAAGAAATTTCATCCTCACCTGACACTTTTTCTCCTTCATTGTCATTACTTGTACTGGGGTGGGCCTTATTTGTACTTTCATCTGAAAGTAATAATTCCTAATTAAAATTGTTACTACTAGGAACTATCTTTGATATTTCTCAACATGCAGTAATGCATATGGACTAATTATTATAACATAAAATTTGAAAATATTGCTATCATATAATGACTAATACCTAATTAACAATTATATTAGCAACTCATCAATGGTATCACAATTGTTCCTATGATAAACACAGCATCTTTAATTTATAGTTGTTACCAGTATCCTCATCTGCTTTTTTTACAGACATAAAATATCCAAAGTTCATTCTCATGATACCACTTATTTTCATAGTAAATTTAACTAATATCCATTAACTATGAAAAGGTAACCCACAAACAGACACACTTTCAAATTTACAATACTAGTATGGATGCTAGAGTTTGCATTTATATTTTTTTATATCAACAAAAATAATATATATTTAATTGGCCATTTTAAAAGCAACAATTGGTTTGGTAATTTGAAACTATATATTTAAGTTATGTGTATGTATTTCAATTTCTGGTATATCAAACACAAATTACAATTTTTGGTAAGCATGATTTTTGTAAAGGTAGTATTTATATCATGTGGTGTCAACAATGCAACACATTGTTTTGTTTAGGTTGTCTGACAACATTTCATACTAATATTATAACTGTGACATTCTTTGACAGACCACATATACATAAAATAATCTAATATTTCCAGACAATAAAAATATTTATAATCTTTTTTACCTTTGGAAATTGACTCTTCACCTACTGCACATACTTCAAGTTTGTTTTTTTCTCTTGTTTCAATGTCATATCTGTAATAAAACATGTGACTAGAACAAATAGTTGAAATTTATAATAGAAGTTGATTAAAATAATTTGGTTATTATTTTCTTTAACATTAAACATTATTATTTGCACTATAACAAAATAAAAATAGCTTAAAGTTAAATTGGTTAACGAACAATGTATCATGTGTGTAATATACCCAAAGGTATTCTTATTTTCATCTTTTAGTGAGTTTTTTTATGGCATAGAGGACAAATGAGCTTGCAGCTCACCTGATGGTAAGTGATTACAACCACCTTTGAGCACTTACAACACCAGGGGAAGTGTGTGCAGTGCAATTCTTTGCATGCCTTTAAAAAGGGAGTAAGCTCTAGTAGTCTAGAGATAGCGATATAGGATCGGTTTGGCAATACAATTGCAGGAAGGTGATTCCAAAGTTGTGCCTGGCATAAAGTTTTAATTATATGACTACCACTGTAAATAATAAATGAAAATCTCGATACTGACCCTTGTCTAAAGCTCAATATCTGCTCCTTGGTTAGTTTATAATATGGGTTGTGTATATCAGGCAGAATCCTTTTCAAAAATGTTTCCTTTAAACTTTGCCATGTTCTAGATGTTTCCTATCAACAAAAAACAAATTAAAATACAAATTTTATAAGCTTTTAAATAGAGCAGGGAAAGGGAATTGTGGTACAGTAGCATTATATCATAACAATGAAGTCTTTACAGCAAAATTACATAAATCAAGCAACTAAATACCTTAGTAGTTGTGACTTTACTGAAGTTAAAAATGTAAATAATTTTCAATACTGTCAGTTTGTTTTGGTGATTAATTCAACTAATTGCAAATTATTTAGAATTTGTATACAGGTATATTGTATATATTTGAAAAAGAAGTAGGCTCATAAAACACTTCTTAATTGCATGTCACTAGAAGTAGTTTTTTTTAAGTTCAATATTGAAATTATGCACATGAATCTAATAGCATTTCCTTTAAATGTCAGCATATATTTTTCTCTCATTCAGATGAGATATTAGATATTAATTCAGGATTCTTATCCAAAATAATTTTATTAAAAATAAAAGTAACATGCAAACTAAGTTCTTACAGATGTGCTTGCAAAATCCATCCACATTTTTCTTCCCTTTACCTCACCATACACTCGGTGAGCTACTAAGTACTCCACAATACTCTTCATTTCTTTCATTGTGTATGATTTTCTAAAATAATAAATAAACACTATGAATAAAGTCTAATCACTTTATAGAAAAGAAGAAAATAATAATTATTAAATACACAAAATCAACAATCACAACAATTATGGAACAATATAAATACTGTGTTGGTAATTATTTATCACTGTAAAAATTGTCACAGAAAATCGCATTGCGTGGCTTTTCGTTACAAAATTAATTTCAAATATCTATTGAACGAAATACATAAGTCAATATAAGCGGGTAGATTTGGTTAAGTATAAATAAATAATCAATATTTATTAGTTGTTTTAATGAATAGAAAGATTGAATATGTACAATTTTTGGTTGAAAATAACTATAAGAATATCATTATATGTAGTTTTTTAAAAAAGAAAATAAAAAATATTTACAAACATACCCCGTCATTTTGGAGGGAGCCGGCAAACGGCAATTCTGATGAAGTCTGGTGACGGATATGTGTTCGATTTTCCAAAGTACTTATTTTTTAAATTCTCAAGTAAAAATGATAATTTAATAATTACTACAATTAAAATGGAGAGATTTTGAGTTCCAGAGATATTTCAATTTCATAATTAGTTTCGGTGTCGCACATTACAAATAGAGATCTGTCAACTCAAGTTAACAACTCGTGTAGCTGCGCTGATTTCGAGTTAACTCGAATTGAATTCTGTCAACTCGAGTTGGAAGAATTCAACGGGTAAATGAACGAATCAAGTACAACAAGAGCCAGGATTCTTTGTTTATTTTCAAATTGCCAGTGAGTAGATGTGTAAAATGTGAAAAATTGTAGAATTCATTTTAAATGTATAGGAATGAGCTCGTTATTTATATTAAAAAATAGCATTAAAATAGGAGAAGTTGACCTGCAGCCAGGCATGCGCTCTACAATTCCGTGGCTTTGAAGTGCCATTTCGATTTTATTACGAGTTAGCACTAGCTCTGAGATTAATTTTTTCTTCTGGTGGCTCCGGCAATTTGTGTTGCCATTAGCTTGTTTTTAATAAATTTAAAAATATATATATTCATAGTGTATTTAAAAATAACAAACAAATGACAACTGAGAACCACTAATTTAATCATTTTAATGATAACATAACCGGAAGAATATGGGAAAAAAATTGTAATAACTTCAAATCACTATTGAGATATTTATGACGAATGAAAATTGTATGATATGAAATGATCGAAAAACTTCATGTCATTATCGGTTTGACGACCGAATCATGCTCGTGCTCTTTTACTGGATTTGGCAACCAACTCGACTTGTCAGAATTCAACTCGAGTTAACTCGAATTCAGCACAACTTGACACATCTCTAATAAATTTTTCTGTTTTATTACTACTTTGTTTTATTTGAATATTTTTTAGAAACAAAACTAAAATAAACAGGATTTTGCACTATTTTATACTATTACACTATTTTAAATATAAAAATTTATATTCGTAGTTTCATTTTAGAAATGGCGAATTCTAATTATTTAGATATATTCGATATATTAGTATCAAATGAAAAAGTTCCTTGCAAAACTTTACAGGAATTGCCAAAAATGGGTAAAGAATATCATTAATACATAGTGTATTCTTTCTTCATGTTCTGTTTTTGAAAAATAGAGTCATCTAAGTATCTATTTATTAATTGTATTTCAGGATTTTTAGACCCTTCAGCAACAGAAGATGATTTAAAAATTGGTTCAAATGTCGAAATTCCATTGTGGCTGGCAGAAACTCTATATTCTAGAAGACCTTCATTAGTTAGTATAGACTTGCCAAAGATATATAAGGATACTTACAGGGAAATTCTTAATGCTGATGCTTGTACGATTGATTTGCATAAATTTGCTCAGTACTTTTATGAACTAGGTTGTTATATAGCAAAATATGATATTAAAGGCGGGGTGGCCACAACTCTTGTTAATGTAAGTATTATTAAAAACGATTTATGGATTAAGTGTATGATGGTTCTGTGATATATAAATTATATTATTTAGATATTGAATAACAAAGTAATACAGGTGTCCCAAAAACTCAACATAATACTGTAACAATAAACATACCAGTAAATATTGAGATTTTCTATTAAATATATAATTAACGTTTGTAATGTTCTTCTACAGGTATATTATTTAGTATATTTATGTGCTTAATATGTATTGATGGAGTTTTTGAAAACATCACTATGTTATATATTAAATTTTCAGACATATAAACAAAGATTTAGAATGTTGCTGGCAGCAAGTGTGTCCCATGATTCAATTGGTACAATGCAACCTTTGTCAGCAAGTGAACGTGAAAGAGCAATAGCAGCTGCCACTACTGAACATGCCTTGTTGGGTTGGCTACAAAGAGGCGATTCACTTCTCACAACAGCCTGTATGGTAGCAAATCATCGGAAACGTAAAAGAGCAGAAATGGAAATGTTGTAATTAATACAAAGTAGCAGGTTTATTGTGGACTACTTTGTTAGTAATTTATTTTAGTACTAATGTTCTATAATAAGTTTAATATTTTCATTTATTCATATACATAATTTTAATTATAAATATGTGTTGTCTATTCCATTGATTCAGTCTATTTTTAAAATCAGAATAGTGATAAGTATTAAATCAATATTAATAATAATACAAATTGCTTTTTAAATCCAATCTTGGATCTAAAAAGCAATTTGTAATATTCCCTACAGCTGTAACACATGTGATTTTATCTCAATTTTGAAATCACATTCATTGCAGCTAATATGCAGCTAAAAGATTACCTAACACAAAACAAAGCATTTAACTATAAAATGTAGCCTACATGAGCTTAATCTAATTTCAATGCTCTAAAGCATGATCATATTTGTTTTTTTTTAATTTCATCACATAAATAATACAGTAATCTCAAGTAATTTTTAAGAATATAAAATCTATACTATATTGTGTGTTTTTTAGAAATGTAATTGGGTTGTAACAAACGCAGGATGACAGTATGACATGTCTAGTTGTTATTGGGTATTTCTAATATTATATGGGAGACAACACTCATTACAGTTCCACCCTGAGAGTAAACATAACATAATCTGGTACTGTTATTTGATGGCAAGATTTTTCAATCTAAGAAGCTGTTATAAAGAATATATAAAACATGATAATTGACTATTACTCTTATTTATTGCACTTACCACAAAACTTACATCACTATTATTAAGTTAATTCTTACTTAACATTTAATCTCACACATTTGTATGCTTAAAACAAAATATACATTTCTTAATCACTAAAGGAAGTTAGTATAATATCCACATGAGATCAATAATGAGCAAATGACATCATTAAATGTTTATAAAGTATAAACCTTCATTACCAAAATGTTAGAACATTTTATCTTTAGATTAGAGTGACTGAACATGTCCGAAAAATACTGAATATTATTAATTAATTCATTATTTAAATATAACAAGTATGACGTTTATTGTATTCTAACTATTATACATTACAGTATATCTTATACTAGGTTCAAGTCTTGGTATAATAATTTAAGTCTCTTCATCACAACACTCCTGCACCTCAACATTTTTTTTATCACAAACTAATAGTTCTGAGGTACATTTGTATGGATGGATTGATTGTTAACATCGGTCATTCTTTACTGATGGATTCAAGTCATGAAAGTAAGCATGTGCCATGGCATCATCAGCTGGCATTCTCAATGCTGGGTTACAAGTGAGGAGGCGTGCCAGAAGATCTCTTCCTCTTGCTGGTAGCCGTGGGACTACTTGAGCCAGGCCCAGGCTTGGCTGGTAAACAGGAAGTGGTTTGTAGTCAGGCAACTGAGTGACACCTGGCCATGTGTCTTCATTTGGTGTACCTATTACAAACAGATTATTATATTATTAGTAAACACAATCAAATAATCCAAAACTAAGTAGAACTTCTGCTATGGGCATTAGACAACTTTTAAATATTTGTATATGGAACCACACAAAAATATTGGAGGAGATGAATGTAGCTCATATATATTTTTTGTTTCTGTTCTCTATTCAAAAAAAGCTCTACAAAGATTGAAATAAGAATTAGATACTATGATTTTGTAATATTTGAAACTGTATAAAATGCATATGGTCTTCACATAAACTATACAGGTAGAAGTAACAAACGCAACTCACCAAGTAATTTAAAAATTCTCTTCAACTGGTCATCAACATCTGAGCCAGGAAACAATGGGCGGCCTGAGTTGGCCAATTCTGCAAATATACAACCTGCCGACCACATATCTATACTAGTAGTATATAGTTTAGCACCAAAGAGAACATCTGGTGGACGGTACCACAGTGTCACTACCTCTGCTGAGTAGCATTTTACAGGGATACCAAAAGCTCTTGCTAAACCAAAATCTGCTAGTTTAAGTTCGCCATTCTTATTAATTAATAAATTTTGGGGCTTAAGATCTCGATGTAATACATTATGACTATGACAAAATGCGAGACCCCGCAGTAATTGGTACATAAAGGACTTAACTACATCCAAATCTATTTCTCCGTTGAGACTGTCAAAATATTTCTTCAAATCTTGATCACAATGCTCAAATACTAGTGTCAACTTTTTTTCACTGTGAAGTACATCATACAGCCGAACTATATTCTTATGCTTCAGTTCTTTCAGGAGACATATTTCTCGTAAAGCAGACGAGGGAACGCCTTCATCGTCATCGTCTAACCTTACGCGTTTCAGCGCTACAATTTCATGAGTTTCTTTATTTTTTGCCTTGAAAACAGTTCCGTAGGTGCCTTCGCCAATTTTTTCAAGTTTTTCATACTTCTGCATAATTTAACTTTTTACTTTGTGACAAAAAATTGCATAAAATAGATACTTTATGTGTTAGGTTTTGAATTTTGATGAAAAAATTTAATTAAAAAATCAAAAGTTGTTGTTGTTATTCATACACAACTTCAAATTATTTATAAGAATAAATACCATTTATCAGAATAATTTTATTGAAAGAGTAATATATATCATAAAAAATTACTATAGAAACTGACATTGACATTTTGCAAATATACGACAATTGTAGTTTTTCTATTTGTGGACAGGCAAAGGTTCTTCCATTACACAGCTGATCTAACGCAGTGTCTGTCAAAAAATAGGTAAAAATCATAACTGTCATTTGGTATTTAGAATGTCTCGTTGTCTACCTCAAACTGTCAAATCCAAAAAGTTGAATTGTCATATTTTCGCACAGTATTTTCAGATTTATTTTCATTGTTAGAAAATAGAAACAAATTGTTTTTAAGGTGAGTTACTAATTATATTGTATTTGTTCCATTTTTCACTAATTTAGGTGCAAATAATTTTTGACTTGAAAATAGTTTTAGTATGAAAAGATTATTAAAAGATAAACATTATTACGTATTAACTTTTAACTACGTTCAAATCAAAATGCGTACGTTTTCAGATGAGTGAAGCTGAGAGGACTTTAGTAGACAAGTCGGAGAGCAGTTCGTTTGAGGATTTAGCCTCGGCTGCAGCACATGAGATAGAAGAAGCGAAGTTAGCTGAAGCGGCGGCTACTGAAAAGGAAAGATCACCTGAGATCAGAACAGATCAGTGGCAAGATGTACTCGGGTCTGGCGCATTGTTAAAAAAGGTCGGTTTATGACATTGAAAAATTGGGTTTCCCATAGTACATAAAAAGGTGAATTAATGTGTGTGTTTGTGTACTGAATTACTAATATTTTTTATTGCCCTACAAAAAATTTTAAATTCAGTGGTTGGATAAGCTTGCAATGGTAGAAAATTTTCTTATTTACAAATAAGAAAAATCTACTCATATTATTTATTGTATTATTAGTTTATACATTTGTTTTACTTAACAAATAGGTTTTCAATACAATTAATACTTCTCATTTCTTTATGTGGATGTTATCTATTGCCTTTTGTGATTTTGAAAATATATTGATAGTAATTTTCTCAATTCTTATGGTATAGTACTGTGTTAGTCCTATAAGAATCTTATCAGAATTTAATTTTATTATTTTGTTGAACTATTCTGACTTCCCTTTACATACATGTTAATTAACTATAAATATGTATAGAAGAAAGTGACACATTTTTGTATATTAATATTCAACAATCCAAATAGTACTAATAATGTATATTAAACATATCACCATATTTTTTATTAGCTTAATTATTATATCATAGATAGTGAAGCAAGGCAATGAGTCTTCAGAAGCCAGACCCCAAAGAAGTGACATATGCAGAATCAGTTATGAAGTTAAAATTCGTGACACTGGGGACATTGTGGAGAAAAGGGAACAAGTTAAAATATACTTGGGTGATAATGAAGTGAGTATACAATTTGTAGTTTTTTGTTAAACTATATCCTTTATTGAACTTAGTAACAGAGTTTTGGGATACAATATTAAATAAAATTTAAAACCACATGTAGTACTACATATGGATGTAACTGATATGACATGTCATCATCATCATCATCTGCTTTATTCTTCTCCCATTTATTTGGGGTTGGTGTAATATATTGAAATAATACTGATATGATATGTCAATTCATCCTTAAAAGACCCATTAAAAAGTATTCCAATGGTTAGGTGGGAAAGTAGTGATTCCAGTGAGATGGCTTTAACATATACTAATAATATCACAGGTATATAAACCTTAGAGCTCTCGTATGGTAATGACAAGAAAGTATTGTTAAAAGATTACTTTGAAATAATGATCCAGTTTGCATGAAATGTAGTCATAAATTTTTTTTTAATGTTTATCTATTCTATACTATATCATATATTCTATAGTATTATTAAGGATACCAACAATAGAATTTTTTTTATGTACATTTAACATAACAATCTGTTTTTATAACTAACAAATAGTTTATATAGTATTTGAATGGTCCATTAATTTTCTGCTCTAGAGTATAAGATAAATACTTAACACTCCATGGATTTACGCTACAGATGCCAAGTCCATGAAGGCAATATAATTGACATTAAAACCTTTAATTTAGTTTTTGTGAATAATTTTTAACTTGTAAAAAATAGTACACTTTCTCTTATGTTTTGCATAATGGCCACTCTATTTGTAATAATAAAAATACTATGAAGGTACTTGTATATAACAAGATACACAAGTACAAGTACAAGTTTTTACACTGTTATCAGTGAAAATTGAAATTACTTAATATCAGTTGTAATTCTAGTATTTCTGTGTATAGAACTTATATTTTATGTAGCATATAATTTTTCTTCAAATAGCAAAAGAAGGATTTCCGGTACCATTACTGCCTACTTATTTAATAACAAATAGCCTCTGGATGATGTGGCATAGTTGCTGACAATTCTCAGTTGATTCATATTGAAATATTATGGATAGCTTAAATTTTCAAATAAACCATTTTGCACATACATCATTTATCAAGCCAACAATTAATTAAATTTATACAACATTATAATAACTTATACACCTTACAGCCTTTTTTTTTAAAAAAAAACCTAATATATTTAGCAATATCCACTGTTGCTTATGACTAAAATTTGTAACTTTTAGATCCTGCAAGGGTTGGACTTAGCGCTGACTCTAATGTACCAAGGTGAAGAGTGTCTTCTACAAATAGCACCCAGATTCGCTTACGGTGACATTGGTCTGAAATCAGGCGAGAGTTTAGGCTTAGTTGGAGAATTAGAGAGTCCAAAGTACGAAGGGCCTGTGATAGATGGCGACACCTGGTTAGAAGCGCGGCTCGAACTACACGACTGGGCGGAAGAACCAGAACATGAAACATTGCCTATAGCAGAGAGAATGGAAATTGGGTACGTAATATTAATAAGAAGATAATGTCGCCAGATTGCGTAAACTCAAGGTTGAAATATTTATCTCGCGTACAGTTTTAAGACCGTGACATATTAAGATTGTTTGCATATGAAATCAATATTTATGTTTATCAAAGAAGGTCATTGTTCAATCACTAGAGTTCACTAATAGTTTGTATTATTTATTTATAATATTTTTGCAAGTCTAGTGTAATGTAGTGGTTGATGATAATGTAATAAAAAACATTTATCTCTGGAACAAGATAGACTTCATAAAAAGTCGTCTGCGTAGGTAGCGCAACATATTTGTATTCGACATGCCATGGAACGAGCCTATCGCGATACTTAGATTTCATTATTGTCCTGAATGAATACAACAGTCAGTTCGTTTTTAAGTGAAGTTTAACATATAGGTAGCAGTTGAAATGGAGAAGGCAAATTTTTATTCCGATCAATGGTCACAGGTGTCAGCAAATATAATACGTATAATATAATTCAGATGTTCATATGCGTAAATGTATGTTGCTGTTTTGACTGGTATTCTCATTTCGGGTCGTTAATTTATAAGTCACACAATATAAAATATTATCGCACTTTAAAACAGTACAGATAAAGGTAAAAATAATGTGTTATAAAGCACAGTTTTGAATACCTAGTTGAGACTCGGTTTTGGGAGAGTTTTTGTAGTTAAGTTAGTGCAGGCGGATTCACGTTCCATAGTCATATTTTAATAAACCCGAAAAGTCATACTTTAACAAATATCCATCATTTTGTGTGGATAATTGTTTATTAAAAAAACGTACATGGAAAGGTGAGATGTACGAGGGATTCTATAGTAGCAGGAGGGCGCGCAATCCTATGTGATTGCATTTTACTTTTTACTATTTTTTAATATTAAAAACACGTGTAAGATTTATAAATTATATCATTTATACTAAAATTATGTTATTGTTCTCTATTGAGATGTTCGTCATTTTAAAGGGATAATCCTAATAATATTATAAATGCATAAGTTTGTAAGTATGGATGTTTGTTCATAATTCAAAAGTACTGAACGGATTTGATGGAACTTTACAGTAATATAGCTTATGCATTAGAATAACATAGGTTGCACCCAATCGCGGGCACAGCTAGTTAATAATAAACAGGGCCCTAAGTACACACCATTTGAAGGTTGCAGTAATGCATTAGCTGGCGGTGTGCGCTCTTTCTCGTTCCATTTGTCTATATTTACATGCACATTCATGCGTGAAAGAGCGTACGTGTAAGTCAGCTACTGACGTTGTTAGAACACGGCGGCGCGCGCGCGGCAACTGGTGGTACGTGCGCGGCGAGGCGCAGCTGGCCGTGCAGCTGTACCGGCGCGCTCTGGACGTGCTGGACGAGAGCGAGGGCGGCATCACCAGCCCCACGGCCAGCGGAGCCCTGCCGCCCGCCTCCGACGCCCTGCGCGCGCTGCTCGACGAGCGCATGCGCGTGCACAACAACATGGCCGCCGCGCAGCTCAAAGCCGGCGCCTACGAAGCTGCGCTTCAGGTAACATATCCGAAAGTTGAAAGTATAATCCTTATTGTAATATCGTGATGCAGAATGGTGGAGAGGAATGAGAACGGGGACATCCACAATTAAAAAAAAATCGTGACTCAAATGAAAATAAATCAAGATTAAGCGGAGATGATTATGACGATAAAATTGACGTGAAACAAGACCGTGTCACGAGGCTAAAAATAATCTGGAAAGGGGAAAAAATTAAATTGAATTTTGTGCAGACGACGTCGCGGGTTTTTCTTTTGTATTTTATGTTTTTGAAGAGTAAAAAAATTATGATATCAAGAGAATCACAGAAGATCGTAGTACGTGGCAAAAGATCTCGAAGAAGAACGCGTTTCTTTTTTTTTTTCTCTTTATTTATTTAGGAGCTTAGCACAATAGTGAGCATGTTAGCTCCGTGTTGTCTTCTTAATCAATTACATAACATCTAAACTTTAAATTACTATAAAAACAAATCTTACCTACTTTTATCTACAAATTTATAAATTAATACCCGATTCTTTTGATGCAGGTTCTGATAAAATACTCTGAAATATTCCAAAATTAATTTTGTTTAAATTTATTTTTTTTAGTAAGATTTGCCTTTCAGTGTTGTTCTTGACGCATTCCATCAACAGATGTTGAACATCATCAATACCACCACAAGTTTGACAATTAGGGGAGTCTACTCTTTTCATGAGAAATCCAAATCTGTTTGATGGAATGTGTCCTGAACGCAATCTAAGTGCTATGACAATATACTTACGACTAAGGTTAACGCGGTTCTTAAATCATGATTAAACTAGCGGAACCGCGTTTTTGTGTCGCATAAGAAAACCCGGTTTTGCAACATATTCATGATTGCTCTGCTCCTATTGGTTGTAGCGTGATGTTATATAGTTTACACTATTTGTCTATTTGAATACTATTAATTATGTTTGTCTCCTTGCTGCTTAAACGTGTTAATCTCAAGGACCCACTTTTTCGAATAGAAAAAATCTTTTAGTGTTTTATTTTCTCATTTATCACTCTACAATTAATAGGAGCAGAACATTAATGAATTACTAGTCAGAACCAAATAATCTCCAATAATATATTGTATGTGCCACTGTTACCACAAATAAATGTACTTTAATTTATGGCGTATGACTGATCTATTGCGGACGGTGTAGGCTGTGAGCCGCGTGCTGTCCTGCCAGCCGGAGAACGCGAAGGCGTTATACCGTAAAGCGCGCATCCTTTCCGCCATGGGTCGTACGAGTGATGCGCTGGATGCAGCGCGTGCAGCGGCGGCTGCTGCGCCCGCTGATGCAGCGGCACGTGCGCAGCTGCAGCGCTGTCAGCAACGTGCGGGCCGTGACCGTGATCTCGAGCGTCGTCTCGCGCGTCGCATGTTAGGCGCCGGCGATCAAAGCGCGCCCGCTTCCGAGCCCGACAAGAAGCCCTCCAGAGCCAAGGTAAAACTTGTGGTGTCTATATACCAAAACGATTATAACAATATGCCAAGGTCCATACATTAAAATAATTACAACTCTGAGTAATTTTCACAACGCCATCTACTCCCGAGCCAAGCAGAGCTTGTGTTACGGGTACTAAACAACTGATATATAAATACTATTTCTTTTTGTAAATATATGCATAATACCGAAAACACCTGGACCGACACAAATAATCATACTCACGAATACAAATGATTCCATCGAAAGTAAAGCGGTGCGCTAGACCATCGAGGCCGTCGAGGAGTATTATTAATTCTGAACTGATATGGATCAGTTCAGAATTAATCATACTGATCAGGATGGCCTGAGTCAGTTCGTTGTCATTTGTCCAGATGCTGGTGTGGGGTTCGCTGTTGCTAAGCCTATTGGTGGGCGTTGCCAGTGTACTCGTGTACCGTTACAAGATGCAGGCGCACTGACGCGCCATGATCGCGCTACTTATACGGCCATAAGTTTGTAAGTATATACATTGATACTAATATATACAGCTGAACACTTTATTTGAATGTTTTAATCACCAGAAATACTGGTGGAATAAAATTATACATAAATGTATGTGCGTTATTTGATGTATAGTTAGTTTGTTTTTTGCCACCGACCCATGTTGTTATTGAAGGAGTCAGTCCATTTTATAACAACTTGTATATATTTATATGCAATATTTTTCAAGATCTCTTTTTATATATAAAAATGTACCAGAATCTCTTGGTGTTATTTTAAACAAGTTATAAAACTCTGAGTTCTGATACTGTGTTTTAAATACTTATGATTTATTTCATTTTTCAGGATGTTGAGAACCACGAATGTTGCGTAGGAAAGGTGCACTTTCCACTACTTACGAATACGATGTGAGATCTAAACACAATACTGAGTAGCGTTTAATTACATATTCTATATATCAAAATATAAATAGCTAATATCTACTCAAAAGAAATATATTGCAAAACATATTTTTTTATACTATATGCTGTTTAATGCTGATAAATAGTTTCTATAGACTTAAATTGTTCATGTGTCCTTTTCTTCTTTCCAAATATCGCTCTGATTTCATACTGATTCATAACTCATAGCAATAATAAACATAAAGCTTAATTGCAAAAAAATCTTTGTATGATATATTTTTTGAGCGATCTAAATATTAACGGTTAAGGGCATCTATATCAAGTTGTTATTTTGAATATGGGCGTTGAGTTGTGTGCAGTTTAATATACTTTGTTATTTCCATCGTAGTGACTGCATGCAACAAGTCTTTAAGTAAATTATGTTATTGTAAAATGTATCAAACTGTACAAAACTTAAAGCCCAAAATTAAACGATAAGTTATCTGTTGATGGTGTGGTGCTTAATGACTGATTTCATATATTTTCCACGTTTTTTTGCCCGTCAGAGCAGTCAGAACAAGTTTGCTCCCTTATATTGGAAAAAACTTGTATCTGTTTAATTGTAAAAATGGTGATAGGCTAGTTATAGGAGTTAAATATAATTGTGATCCTTTGTTATATTTCATGTTGTGGCTTATATCAATACACCGCCGCAAGTCGCATTTATAAAATTATATGTATATATTATGGTTCTGTAAATCTATATCACCAGTTTTCGTAGTTAGTGCCAAACATTGGAGTGTACACTGTAGGTAGTGTTGTTTGTCTAAAATAGTATTTTGTCTTTCGTATTAAAAGTATATTTTTAATATCAAAATAGAAAATAATATATATTTTTCGATACTGTATTAATAGCAGCTAAAATATTTTTTTAAACGCATTCCATAAAAATAACTTTAGTTCTTTTTATCGAAAGATTTTTTTTATAAAATTAAGAAAAAGAGAATCTTAGTTATAATTTGTAGTCTGTTGTTTTTGGTGCTTGTAGGTTTTTTTATCTTTTCGAGTCTTGATTTTAGGGTATATACAGTAACTAGTGCGTCAGGGAAAATTATTGATAGCTATTATAATACTTATTATACTAGAGAAAATATTTTATTTTTAGTACCTAAAATATTATGCAACAATCTTTAATGCGGGCATTTATAAAATAAAACTTGTAGTCGCGTGTTTATAAGTGTATACAATATTATAGAAAAAACATTACTGTGTTGTATTTATTTTTTCTATAATACGCAAACAATTTTATTCTTAGTCGTCAAAACTTATTGGCATAATTATGTAGTTACTGGTTGTAGTTATTAATTTAGGATACTAAAATACTACTTTAATAAGTAATGTTGTAAAAGAAGCGCGAGTTAATTTAGTTAGAAGGGTACAATTCTAACACAATCTTACACGTAGGGTAAAAATGCACTCAGGGGTTAGCAATGGTATGTTTGTGACGTTTATGTCGGCTGTTGGAACCTTTTTCTTACTGAATTTTCGCGCAATTTTTCATACGGACTAAAAACGGAGCTATGAAAAAAAAAACCACTAATAATCTATAAGAAATATAGATTGTTGTCGCGGATTTTTTATCCATTTTTACGAAAATAATTCATTTTCTATTGTGTACAAGACGGAATAACATTTTTTCTAATAGTATAAAAAGTAAAAAATATTTGAAATTGTAATTAATTAGTTGTGTTAGTGACAAAGTTAAATTGTTAGTGGTTGTACATAATATCACGTGACTGTGTACCAATAAATGTTAAGCGTTTCTGTCAAAACGCGATCCCTGCTTTCGGGATTCTTAATATTAGATTGAAAAATTTAAATCTAACAGGACTAGAATCTGTATATTTAAACTATCTCGATCAGAAGCGTTTTTAATTACACCACAGAAGGAACATATGTGAATAGATAGTAGATAGTACTTAAATTTTTCAATAAAATATATCTTCATGGTACTTGTACAATATGGAAATGCCCAGTGTCTATTTTTGTAGTGAAAAAAGTATAGATAATTCCATAAATAATATTAGAGTTTATTAAATTAAGACTTTGGTTTGTAGGATTTTATGCGTAAAGGAAATAAATGGATAAAGATTATGACGATTAAAAATCACGGTGGTCCCAAGTAAAAGTTACTAATAAAGAAATTGTTGCAAACATTTTTAGTTTTATTTTAATAATAATTATATTTATAATAACAATATAAAACAATAATTACATACATACAGTCGCATATATAGTCGTAATGAGGTCTACCACACCGAGAACCAATTAGAATACTCTGAACCATTCACTAAGCGCAATTTTGAAGATGAATTTGGATATATATTGTACTAAATTGATCACGTGACCGGGCGTGTTAGTTTGCGTGAAGCTTTAAAAAATATTTTTACTGTTTCACTTTTTTTCTTTGGAAAAGTTATTGGCTTTCGGTTTGGCGTCGGATATCCTTTACCATTAACTTACCTATCCTATACGTACCTACGTACTTGGGTTTGCTTAGAAAACAAATACTACAAAGTACGTAGGCAATGTCAGGTTTTGTCATATCAATAAACAAAATATCTCTTTGGAACGTTATAGAACTTAAATCTAACTATAGGCTGATCAATCACAGCTAATGTTGTATTGACTTTAGAATCTTTGATAAAATTGTATTTTTATGTCTATTATTTTATTTATATCGAATGGCAAACAAGCTGGCGCCTCAATTGATGGTTCGCAATTACTATCGTCCAAGGCGCCACTCATGTGCTGGCAATCTAGAAGACTAAGATGCCTCTGTACTCTTTAATTATATTAATTACTTTCTTATATAGTCTGGTAATTATAGTAAATATCACAATCATTCACACATGAAAGCATTCAAGTGATGGCACTGACACACGATGTAAATAATTTATAAAACAATGTGCAATGTTCAACGATGTCATAATAAATATACTTTGGACAAGCTTAATTACTATCATAAGTAAGTCGCAGATCCGTAGTGTCTCCAAATCGATATAAAGATGTAATAATACCTATATATGTATATATCTATCTTTCATATGTACAATCTTATATCTATATTTGTTTTAGCCTTCATAATAAAACCTCATTAAATTTACCTTCACTTGCGCTCACTTGGGACCTATTTAGTTCGTTTCTGTCTCCAGTAGGTATATGTAGAGAATGACCCATAGAACCCTTATAGGCTATTCTCTGACTGGAGACAGAAGTTTGTTTGTGTTTTAGCAAGACCGCTATAGTATTTTATCTAATGAACTAAATAATTAAGAAACTGCGACCTACTCCGCGTGGTTTGAATTCAGAAATCCCTCTGAATTCGTTTGCGATCTATACGAGACATTCAATGATTGACCATTTTATTTGTTTCTAAGTTAATGCGTTGCCACATGGTTCATCTTATTAGCGCAAACTTTGTTAGCTTATAGCTGGCACTTTTATTTATATAAAGGATATTTATTTAATGAACAATTCTATATTTCTATATCATTCTAGCAATGGCTACGGTACTAGTTAGTGTCTCTTTTAAAACTTAGAATATCTTAATACTGATGAACTAAAACAACAAAATACTATTATAGTGATACCAGTATTTTATTATCAGTAGAGCTTGTCGAGACTTAAGAATATATAATTTAATTTATGCTTATAAAGTGAGAAAAAGAGAGAGAGAGAACGGATTTAGTTACGAGTACCTATACCATGTGCGCTATAGCATGGTGCGGGTGACAGTTGCCTTTATTAGTCGACCTGAACATTCTGGCTGGGTTAAATTTAAGTTACTACAGTTATTAATGATTTAATATATTGCAGAAGTGGTACAGCTAAAATAATTTGTAAATATTTCAACTGTGGCGACAACTTTAAAGAGTGAAACCAAACGTTATTGAAACTGTCACCGGTACCATGCTACAGTGCACATGGTATAAAGCAAATTTCGGAACCACGGCACCGATGTCACTGTTCAACAGATATTTTTCTGAGTGACAGCCTATGTCTGTATTGGGCATAGGCGGGTCACTAGTTCTAAATAAAGTATTTTATCTTAGCTTGTGACTTGATTAGTGCAAACTAGTCAATACGCCTGGAGAGATATACTTTATATTATAAAATCATTGTTTTTTTTAAATGTCTTTGATATTTAGGAACTTACGTAAAGTTCATGTTAAGACCCAACATACTCTACGATAATAATGACAGTATAAAAAATTAACAGTATCATACTATTTATACTATGAACGATATTATAATGAACTATAAAGCATTGTTATCACAGTCTTGATTTATAAGTAAGAGTTTTAGCGAGCCAGCTCGTAAAATGCGTTAGACCAACGATTTGTGCTATTGATGTCAACGCTTGTATAGTGAATACCGTCGCTACAAAGTCATACAGTAGCTTAGGAGAGAATACTGTCCATACAAAGAGATGGTGCCTGAAGAACACCGTCACTATGCAATATAATGCCACCGCGTATGTTCGATGCACAGCGAATATGTTTACAGTTCTCCACAACGTTTGTAAGTACCTGAAACATGCAAATTTGAATTATTATCTAAATATTTTACCTATAATATAAAAACAGTTTGTAAGTGTGGATGGACGGACGGAAGTTTGGTACTATCACGCAAAAATTACTGAATGGATTTTAATGAAACTTTACAATAATATAGTATTTTCAATATTTTGTTTTTATTTATTTAGTCTATTTATTCTTTTCTTTCTTCGTTTTGCTTGCTCTGCTCAAATATTCTCTCTGTTGTGGCTTCCCACAGTTTATCAATTAATTAGACAGTTTTTATTTATTATTCATCTTAATAAATTACATAATTTAGTTACAGTATTTATAAAATATAGTATACTAACTGGTGCCAGGATGGCGCCGTGGCGATATGTGCGAATAGTGTTGCGCCTGCAACAGCAGGCCCGCCGTACGCGTGCAGCCCCATACGGAGCGCCACTCGCACCGCGCAGTACTCACGCAGTCCCACATAGCCCGAGCCCAGATCCACCGACGCCAGGCTGTTGCTGTTGCCCTGTGGTCATCAACAGTTTACATTAATTAATTAATTTATTCTTTTGCACGCAAAATCATATTGGTACATTGCAGACTTAGTGATTGCACTTTTTTCCGTCACGCGAATCAGAGATAATAAAGCGGTGCAATTTAATAATTTATAGTAAAATATAAAAACAGATAAATAAAGAAAAATAATATACAAAAATACTAATATGAAATACCTATATGATTATATAAATGAGCAAAATATATAATACATACAAATTAAACTTAATATTAGAAAAATAATAATACATGGATGGCCTCGATGGTCTTTGATTAGTACATGGATGGTTGCGGGTTCAGTTTCTCGCACGATACAAACATTTGTATTCATGAATATGATTATTTGTATCTGGGTGTTTTCTATGTATATTATATATAAATTAAAAAATACAATTTAGTATTTATAATACAAAGTCTGCTTAACTTAGGACTAGATGAAACTGTGTGGATTGTTATTAATATAATAACGTCTCTGGCTACTTCAGATGGGACAACGATCGTGAAGGTATATTTATTTGTTATTTTATACATATATATATAAGAAATAAATCTTACCTGATAGAAGAAAAACACCTGACCGATCCACAGATGCACTAGCACTTGACTCAAAGTGTCGACTATGTCTGTATTCCTTCCAGGTCTAGTATCCAATAGTTTATGATCTAAGCATTTCGAAGTCAACATACATGTTATGAAAACACTCGGTACCATTATAACATTGTGCGGCCGCATCAGCAAAATAACAATAAGCATTATATAATTCAACATAAGGTGCGAAACTGAACGTGCCAAACTTAATTTTACTTCATCAAGATTCCACGGTTCTTCTACAAGGGGATCGTAAAAATAATCTTCACGTTTCGCTTTTGGCTTGTTGTAAATAAACTTATTGTTGGCTCTTGAAGTACCAGTATGTATGCTGCAAATCTTGAATGTTCCAATATATGTTAATATCTCGAAAACAAACTGTGCTATGAGGACTCCCCAGAAAAAGTTCACTATGGTCACCGGGTCCCAGGATTGTATATCGTCGAAGGGTGACCCTAGTGCTTTCGTATTTATTCGATAGCATAGTATGCAGACCGCGGCTGCTATTGTGAATGCAGTGTGCATATGCATCACGTTGTTCATGTACCGGATATTCCATAGACAAATTGTCAATGTAAGAATAGTTCCTGAAAATAAAAAATAAATTAAACTATGGAGAAAGTTTCTACATTGAAGTTGGGGCAATTATTAACGTATAGAAAACAGATATTACGGAAAACCTGTCGTGCTTCACATTGATAAAATATGAATATAAATAAATATAACATTCAAAGTTTGTAAAAAAAATTACCCTTAAGGGGATAAAATAAAATAGGAGATGAAGTTTGTATGGATATTCGTCATTTTTGAAGCTAGAACAATGAAAATTCTTAAAGATTATTAAAGTATTTACGCGTATGAGTGTTACTTGTAGAATATTTATCCAAAATAATTAAAAATGCTATCCAAGTAACTATTCCATGTGGGCGAAGATAGAACATCCTATAGTAACATAATAATATATAATTATCGAAACTAAACATACCGATGACTAAATGGGCCTGTAAGTATATAGAATTTTCGGGCGCGTTCAACCAGTCCGCTGTGTCTGGCAAAAATAGCCACCTGTCTCCAGTTTGATTCATCGTTCTAAGATACCTGCAGATATAAAGTTCGTCATTAAGAATTTTTAATTGTTATTATTGCAATAAGTAATCTGAACGGGACGTAAACAACGTTCCATTCAGATTCCTTACTGGGCAGCCAGTGAGAACTGTAGTCTCTCCGTTACCACTATTATCAATTGAAAACAGAATGCTATTATTTCTGTTGGATTCAATTAAAAAAACACCGAGTATAATAATTATCCTAGATTATATATAATAGAGCTAGAAAGGTCGTATAATGTACCCGTAACCTTACAAAGCTTATACAAGTATGTTGGTTGAATTACCTGTGTAAAGCAATGAGTAACACCCATTTCGGCAGCAAACCAATATTGAAGTCCATCTTTTTATAGAGTTCCGGTTTCTCCTGCACCTCAGTGGCTCCAATGAACATCTTCCCCACATACATTATCACTACCACTACTGTCCGTAGCAATATGAAGAGCATTAGAGTATTCCACAAGAAATACCATGTCATATGTTCCTCTTCTATAAAACTGGTACCGAAAAACGACCACGAATGAAACACTGTACCAAATATTAATAAGTAATCCATAATATTGAAATCATTTAGTGTTGTTAAATTCTTTGTGTTCTCAATAGCAGTTTTAGCTATAAAATAGGACATAGTTAAGACACAGGCTGTTAATGCAAAGACTAAAATCCAGGCGGAGTTGAAAGAACAGAACTGGCTCTTGGTTTCTGTGATGAAACAGGATATTACGAGGATAATAGTGCAGATGATCAGTACTATGATGAATGCGACAAATAAACCCGCAGAGGATTTGCGATGATGGCCCGTACTTGTTTTACGGGTCTGTTCTGGTTGTAGAGAATATAGTGTTATACAAAACAGGGTGATGGCGATCTGAAAATATAACAAAAACATAAGAAATAACTATTAAAACATTTATTAAAACCAATATTTATTATAAAACAAATTCACCACCGCTCTGTTCGAGTATATCTATCAAATTATGCCACAAATTTTAATGCAGGTTTCAGCAATAGATAAAGACGCCAAAATAAAGGTTTTACTTCTACAGGTCTCATTTACAGACAGAGATTAGTTAAATTGTTTTTTCACACAACGCCACCTAGTCCAAATCTCTGGTACTAGACAATCCATATGAATACATAGATAATTTTATTTGTAAAAATACATAGAAAACAGCCAGACCGATACAAGCAATTATAATCATTAATACAAATGTTTGAACCCGCGACCTTCGTAAGTATATCGGTGTGCTAAACAACTACACCACCGAGGCCGCCATTTTTATTATATGTATAGATGATAAAACTGTCATCACCTTATGACCACATGTCATCACTATGTTGTTGTTATTTATTATTAATGTAATTACTTAATAGAAAATTATACTCACAAAGTACAGAATGACGACAGCAATGCCAATAGCAAACATATCCAGATCGACCATCTGCTCAGAGAGATACTTGGACATTGCTTCGAGAGACTCTTCATAGAAGTCCTTGGCTATTTTAGCAGCGCTCTGCTGCCCGGTTGCTAGGTAATGGGCGAATTGTGATTGGGCGCGTTGAAATTGCTTGTAATATTCTGTAAAAGATTTTAGAGAGACAATTTTCTTAGCATTTCTTTGTTTATATTATCTATGCAACCAGATTGATAATAATTGCACAGCGGTAATCAAAGACAATCATGTGGCAGAGAGGGAAAAGCCAAGCAGTTGCCGGGACTTGTTACCCGCCCGGGTAACGAACGTTTACTCTTTTCATCTTACTCTTGTCCACGTATGTTATCTCTCACTTTCATGTGCCTCTCCCTGCCCAGCCAAATCTGGTAGGATCTTCCTAGTGCAGGTTTATTAGATACAGGTTCTGGTATAAAACCATCGGTATAAGTACGGTATTGACCATGGGAGATACAGGCACATAGACACTATTATATTTAGTGAATAATAGTTTTATGGGCTCTTTAATGCTTTTATAATGAAAATACGGATAAGAGGCATGATATTTTAGTTCTCAGGACGCCTGCAGGCATGGCAACGCATGAGTGGTATCAAGGGTGTCACATGATAGCATATCCGTAGTGTTGTTCATGTATATAGGAGATGGTGTTTATCGGGTGGGCCGAATATTAATTATTAAATTTTATAATTATTAATAAATGAATAAAAGTATAATTAAGCAAATAAATGAGCTTGGTGAAATGGCTGTAAGAATGTGAACTCATCACATTCTTAAAGCCGAGATCGAGACAAAACGATGTAACGACAAAAAACAATGTTAACAAAAATCATATAATATAAAGTCCGCAAAGGACAAATTTTGCGGAATAGATATTTCTTTGTTTTACCAGCATCGGTAGGTACTCCTTGGCGTGCATTATGCGCGGCCAGCACGTGCAGCAGGTACAGATGCTGGCGAAGGTCGGACGGCAGCAGTGCTGGTAGCAGTCGGCCGACGCTCTCGCCCGGTATTGGCGCGTTCAACAGCCACGCCACAGATGGCGCCACGTCCACCTGGGCCACAGTCGGGCCCGGACCCGCTCTACAAACGAGCGTAGATATTTTAATAACCCGGTCATAGTGGGTTTATAAGTCCATTTAATTATCAAACCTAATTTATAATAATTGGCTACTCGTAAAATCAAACTCCTATTTATATGCAGAGAAATATAAAGGAATTCATTGCATTAACAAATTACCAAGAATACACAAAATAGGAAAAAAAATAACATACACAGTTACGTTTTTTTTTCCTATTTCGTGTATTTTGTGTATCTATAAATAGGAACTGCTTCAGCTATTCTTAATATAAGCCCAACCTCAATTAATTTCATTGCACAGGAATTCTTAAGCCGTATATAAATCAATAAGGAATATTGCAAAGTAGTAACAATGTGCGTCTAAACAGTAACATATCTTCGATCCCAAATGGCAATTTTATGATTGTTTAAAGCCGTTAAACCATAGCGAAACAATGTTTCTTTTTAAATTTGGATGCCCAATGTGTATGTGACTCACGGATGCGGGCATTGGAAGAGTGGCGTGCGTGCGAGCACGAGCGGCACGAGTAGTTCAGCGGGCGAGGCGCCTCCGTGTCCTCCCGCGTCCCGCATCCCGTGGTCACCGCACACGATCAGCGTGCCTGCACGATCCTGGACATGTACATATTGCTTCTATTAATAACCTATTTTCGATATAATACAACATAATTGTTTTAATATACATGTATACACATACAAAAATATATTATACATAAATAGTCCGAAACATTTTGGGAGTGAACGACGATGAGACTAGAGTTGGACGACGATTAAAATAATAATAATATACTTTGACACTTCACATAGCGTCATCTAGTCCCAAGCTAAGCAGAGCTTGTATTATGGGTACCAGACTACTGATATAAATACATAGATTTTTTGCATAATATATATAGAAAAAAAATAGATTGATACAAATCATACTTATGAATACAAATGTTTTTATCGTGGGAGGAATCGAATCCACGACCATGACATATAAATAAATACTCCTCATACAGCATGTATAGATACAAATATAATTTAATTCCATTACATTCTCTTATATCATTTAGAACTTACCCATTTTTGCATTGCTGTGTATATTTTTTTAACTACAGCATCCATCTCTAATAGTTTAGGCTTAATCATAGGGCTGCGAGCGCCTTCTAAATGTCCAATGTGGTCTAAACCTAAGTAATGTAGTACTAGGAAATCGAAACTTGGTTTCATCTTCTCATCCGGAGCGAGAACTTTGTCTAAATGCCTTGTTACATTATTATCTACCTGAAGGAAAACAAAATTTGTCATTTCTAGATCATTAAATTGACTTAATGTAAACCTAGTATATGTAACTTTAATATAATAATAATAATAACTCTGGACAATTTACACAGCGCCATCTAATCCCCAGAACATGTGTTATAGGTACTAAGCAACTGATATATCGCAGAACTTTTTAGAAGGAATAAGCTCTTTTCTTGAAAGTTTCAATATCGTATGAGTTACCATTGCTTAAAGGAAACACAATGTGGCAAAAACTTTCTGGAAAAACGCACAGTTGAGGACCTCCATGGATCCAGATGATCGTATTTAGCTTTTGGCGGGATAAATTCTCCATCTCAAACTTTACACAAAGTAGTAAATTGATACAATGTAATAGTAGTAGCTAGTCAACTTACTTCGGTGTAGTCTGTGACATAAAACGACGTGGTTCCGTCATATTCCGCCCAAAGTCCGGGGAACAGTCTTAGCCAGGTGTCATCGCCGTACATAACGGAGCGGCGTCCTCTAGATGCGGCGACTCGCAGCACGCTGTCGCCACGAACGGCCGGCGCACCGAAATTCAGAGCCACATCGGCGAATGTTGAGACGCTGCCTGTCATCATAGCCTGTTGAATGTAAATGTCTTACTTACCATTTTTGTACTACATTAATTTATAAATTGCGTAGTATTTCATAAGGGGATGGCCCCTTATGAAGCACTATGCATAATTTCATACGAATTTGATGATTCTTGAGTCCTCTCTTCATCTTTTACACAGCTGGTAGCATTGTAAAACTCTTCCTAGAGAGGGAGAGTCTTGCAGTTTCTTTGCAGGGACAAGCCATAATTGAAGATTTTACATCTACAAATATCTAAATGAGTTTTTTAATAAAACGTAGGGTTTTAAATGTAAACTCACAAAACTTATGGCACTGCTACCATTATATCTTTATGTGTGATGTAATTTCTAGATGACCTTTTTATGAAAACACGAAATTAGTAGTCTACTTTAAGTTTAATAATGGGAGTTGCGAAGGCAATATAAAATAATCTTTAATATTATATGCATAGTGAATAAAATTTATTAACAACCGAAGTCGGAGGACTAATATACCATGACACTTATCCCGTATTTCACTACCTTATTTTATCCTTCCACCAAAACGCAGGTAAGACTGAGGTATTCATGAACTCGCCTTTTTACAAAGTCTAACACGGTACAAATAATCCTAGGTCATTTTATATTGCATTCACATTGCCCATTTCTTCTGATATATTGATACAGTCTTAAAATGAAACCATCGAATGAATTTTAGTATCTTTAACATTAATTACTGAGTCACTAAATCATTTGTAAATCATGGAAAATGCCCTTGTATGTATAATGCCATGTAGTATTCTCTTAAAAAAAATTATTGATTGCTGATTAATATATTAATTTGGTAGCATGTATATTGTCGTGTCATTCTAATTACTTCTATACTACGTATAAAATTACACTACAGAATACGTAGGTGGCCGGCATATGTAAAGTGAAACATGCATTATGCAACACGAATAGAGGATATTGCAGCTTGAATGTGATAGATTGCGGAACGGATCAGCGTAATATTAGTTACATTGTCCATACAATTCAGATAGAATCGCCAACAGTAAAAGTAAGTTGATATTTTTTTACGAATGTAGAGTTGGGGTCTATTTCGAAATTAATAGTGTTCTCTAAAACAATAATTAAAATTAAGATCCTAAACCAACTTGATTGCCTTGTTTTTGGACTGTTTTAGTTTACATTTCCAATATTTTGCAACAGATTTCTGCAGGACTTTCACTGCCAATTACATAAGGAATAATTACACATATAAATCAAATATCCCATTTTATATATATGTATTGATATAAATTAGTATTGTGTTAATTTTAATACAGCTGGTATGTTAATTTTATAATAGGTTTAATAGAACATGATTTAACGAATTCAATTTAATGTAATCCGAAAAAAAAGTTAATTATCTGGGCTCAACAGAAAAATATATGGTTTGACTATGCTGACAGAAGTAGCATTATAATTACGCCTCAAGACAAACTATTTAGGTAGATTAATAAGTACCTAATTACAAAATTAATCAATATTTGGTTCCAGTCTGTTTGTCACTTGAAAATTACTGTCTATTTGCTTCGTTTCACAATTAATAGTCAAGCAAGCGTAACCATATATATTAAGATAGTATTACTAGTCATTAGATACTATAACATGAACTAGTGAGACACGTTCAGCGTTTTACTTTTTGTTTATGTAAAATAGCGGTTTCCCGGGAACATACTTTTGAGAAACAAAGTTAAGGACAAAAAAGCAATACAAACAGTCAGACCTCAAAAACATTTTTTATGCAATAATAGAATACAGATATCTATCTAATTAATAGTTAGTTTAGTTAAATTAGTAGTTTGAAATAAAATATTAACTTTCTAGCGTTAGTAGAATGGTCAATACATAATGTGCTCAAAACTGAAGTTTAATCTAAGGGGTACTGTTCCTATTTTAATTATTTCAAATATTATATAAAATTGTATCATGCTAAATGAACTATAGTACATTAAATAACAATCCATACAAATCCACATGTAAAAAGAATTTATATTAGTAATATCCCTGAGCTATATGCAAGAGAAACAAATAGCACAATTATTGTTGTTTTATAAAACACTTGTTAATCAATTCAAAAAAATTCAAATTTTACACAAAATCAATCTATACATATTTATTGACTATGATTGAAAACTTTCATAACATAATATGTATACCTATTTAATACTGCTAATTAATATGCATTGAAGGAATCTCTGCAATAGCATATAAAAAATGATGCAAGCATGTGTAAAAAATTAAATAATGCATGCCTGAAAACCACTACAATATCTGGTTAAAGATTATTTACTCAATGAAATCAAATACTAAGATCACAAATACAAAACCAAAGAAAAAACATTATTTCAATGCAAATCATTTATAGATCTAGAATATTACTACAAAAAGTAATTTGACATTTATCACATTATTAACTTATGACTATGACTTTTAATTTATTTCGTCTAATATGGTGGAGTGAATAAATTGAGAGGCAGCCTGAAAAAGCAAATATCTATTATGGTATCTCAAGTAAATAATGAACTGTTATGCATGCAATTGTTTTTCATGAAAGTCAATAGTATTATGTCAAATTACGTTAAATTTAATGTATTAAAATAATGGTTTTTTCTTTGATGCAACACCAAAAAGCTGTATGTGTGCAACATAAATACAAAATGTGACACTTGCAAATATATCCCTCCAGAAGTTTATGGTGCGTCTCCATTGTGCCTTTTCCTTCTTTCTCTGTGGTGACTGTACACAATTCGACATGTTAGTTTCATATAAATTAAAAAGATTCTAAAAATCAAAATATTTTTTCTTTGGTAATGTGATTGAATAATAATTATCATAGCTAAAAGTATATCTATATAATCTTCATTATATAAATTACAAAATTAATCCATGGACAATCAGACTGATATATTGTAGAAATATAGAACAATTTTATTGCACTTTAGCTCACTTTTTTCATTTTACAAGAAGAATATAAATTTGTATAACTTGAATAAAAAATATGGATGGAAAATAGACAATTTATATCAATGCTTAATGCATTTTCCATATTGCTTGTAACAGTATAGTGTTTATTTTTTTTTTCATATTTAAAACATACCTTAATCCTAGGCATAGTGACTGTTGGTGGTTCAGCCACTGACACATAAATACAGGCAGATTTATTTTTCAGTAGTTGCCCAGTGTATGGCATATACTCATCAGTGACAAAGTCATAGCGTAAGCCATCAATGACCATAAGGATTACTGAGTTTTCCTCAGTTTTGTATACTTCATGACCATCAATACTGGAAAATAACAGTTTTAAACATAAAATATAATCACATATTCATTATTGATTTATAACATAATACTGAAGTACATTTAAATATTTCTTTTTTAAAACAAGGGCAGTTGTACTTTACAAATTGTATATATATATATATATTATAAATTCACATGAAGGTTTAAACTTTATCAAAATTTGATACATTTTTAACAATAAAATATAATAAAATATAAGATAAATATAACAAGAAAAATAGTGTTTAAGTAATACTATAATTTTACTTTAATCAATTTAAAATTAATATCTCTACATTTAAATAGAATTTTTATGTAGGATATAACAGACTATTTTAATGTAGTATAACAAGTACTTAACATTTATATGACTCACCTGATACCATCAATAAAGTTAGGTAAGTCATCCATATGGGCCAGGGTTCCTGAATGATATTTTAGTGGAAAAAATCCATACAGGAACAACATTAAGCCTCCTAAGGCCATAATAAGGAGGGAGAGGCTGGTCCATCTGTTTTGCAGCCAGGACTGCATGTTGCTGAGGGTGATATTATACTAATTGGCTAGTAAGGTTAAACGATCATGCCCGCCGGTATTGCGTATAACGTACTGCCTTCGTAAACAATACAATGTATCTCAATATCCCGACAAAGTCATGTTTGGCAATCAATTTAAAACGTTTGTATGCATTATATAATTTATATCCTTCCTTTATTGATGGAAATTATGTGATATCAACATCGAACAATTACGATAGTTTTATATTAATTATTATGAGTTTTAATACTTGTAATTTTATGCTCTGACTAAAAATAATTCTGTTATTATTTGAAAATAGTTAAGTATAATAAAAATTAAAATATAAGAAAAGTGAAATCAAAAGTGTTTAATATTTTGATAACAGTAAAAAAACTATTTATTATTTACATTGTGATACAGCTGAATGACGCATCGCAGAGCACTGATACAATCATTTCACTGATAGCCACTTGGACTTTGACATTTCAAACAAATGTCATTGTCAAGAATTTCTGGAGTCAATATTTTGACGAATTTGGTAGTTTAGTACAAAGCAGCACTTGTATCATTCTTCATTCCTCATACATCGGAAATCAAGGGAAATGTTTCCCTTGATTTCCGATGTATGAGGATACGACTCCTCACACGATGCAAGTATTTGTGTGCATGACTCTGCATAAGTATGAATGTTTGTATTGTTTTTTAAAATTATTGAATACAATGCGCTCATGATAGGTGAGATATGAGTCCATTTAAAAAAACATATTTAAGTATATCTCTTAGTTATGCATAACTAAGAGATATACTTAAATATCTTTACTTATCGTTCAATTTTATTGTTGGCTCTGTGTTTGATTTCCAGTTCTCTGTCATTTATTAAACAAAAAGAAAAAAGAAGAAATATACGAAAAAAAGCGAATAGCAATTGTTTATTTTTCTCTAGGAGTGAGCGTCCTCTAACCACTGCGTCTAGCAATTTACCTATTAAGTAAGTAATCACTACGCTTATTGTAGCATCCACTACAGTTCCAGTAGATGTCTACAGTTAATGTCTAACTATCTACCACACACAACAAATGGAGTGTTGTGTGTGATTGTATAAAAATAGATTAAATAAATGTTACCTATCATTAGAACAACTTACCTATATATTTTTATCGTTGTGACGATGCGAACCGTTACGTAGGAGAATATGACGACTCATTACGACTATTTACGAACACATTGTAAGAAATGGGATGATTATTATAATTATTTATAAAAACAGGTAGTACGTAGGTACCTATTCTTTGGTAGTTGGATGTAAAATGAATCAGCCATATCTATGGACCTATCTACCTATATCTACCTATATAAAATATGCATCGACCAGTAACCAAAAATTTTGTTCGTTATTTTTATTTTACTATTAATAATAATAGATGTTAATATCGTTACTTTTTTCGATGACTTTAATGGACTACCTATAATTGACGGCATCGGTGGTTTAGATATTTTGCGCACCGCTTTACTTCCGATGGTCGCGGGTTCGATTCCTCGCATGGTACAAGCATTTGTATTCGATATCGACGGTCTGATTATTTTTTGTTTATATTAAGTATGTATTTTAAAAAAACTTGATGAATTTATAGGTGCGAGTATCACTTGTCTAGTACGTACCTATAACACAAGCTCTGCTTAGCTTGGCCCTGTGTGAATTGTCCTCATATAATATTAACATTATTATGATCTATACTTAAAGAATTGTTACAGAATGATATGAATGTATCTTACTAATTATAAATAAGTCTGTCCTGATTTCTGCAAGGAGTAGTTCAGATTTCTAAGTTGCGTCAACGTCAATATTATATAGACTGACCTATTTTTCAGATATATTGAGATTGTATTTTACACCCATTTAAATAAGGTATCTCTGTTGTTAAAAAAAATATAATTTATAACTTTTGTTATTCTGTTATCCTTCATCCCACTTAGATTGTTCCAAATTGCGTGTTAATGCTTTGTACTTAGCACTCTTATGTATTGTGTATTTATATATACGTATGTACCTATTAATTAATTATTAGATATTAATCATATTCAGTGTTATTATGCTTTTTTTATTTCTCTAGTCCATTCTTGCGCTAACTACCACTTTCTGCCTTCGCTCCTCTACCCAAATTCTCATTACTTCTGTTTCAAAACATTCTTTGTAATTTACTTTAGGTGCAATAAAGAGTAAATAAATAAATAACTTTAGTTGTAAGTAAAATGTGGTTATCCTATTATTTTCAAGTTCAAGGTGTGTTCCCGTTGACTCAGCTGAGTGTGGGCAGCTGAAATTCTATTTAAATCATTCTCGTGTAAGATCGAGATCCAGTGTTTGGATCAGAGCGGCGCGCGCCTGCAACGAATCACAACTTACCGCAAAGGTAATTTTTTTAAATACCATAATCGAATATTCGAATGTCTAAAATGAGGTGTTCATTCTCTCATAACATTATTTAATGTGACAATGATACAGTGAATCAGCGACTGTATTTGTGAATCCGTAGAGTTTAATATAGTTGGGATAATAAGAAAATAGTTTAATGTCTTCCGAAGTGGTAGTTAAAAGTGTATTCTATATTCATGACTAAAACGTAGTGTTTATTTGCTTAAAGTTCATAACATATTCTTCTGTACGTTACCTAGTGGTTCAGTGAACAATTTTGACATGTTTTTATTGAAATTAGTTATTTAAAAATAGAACATACCAAAATAACGCCACATAAATATACTTGTTTATTATAGACACAAAGACTTGCCAATGTTATTTACTATATATAAAATTCGAAAGATAAGTTGAATATACATTCATACAACTAGACATATCTATGCCTATAGTGGTGCTAAAATTGTTTTTCTATAAGTACCTCAGTGATACCTATATGTATAACAGTATTCAATATACGAATAGGAGGTTCGTAATATAACTGTAGGTATCGTACAATCTCCAGTACTACTTGTCAAATTATGGTAATAACATTTGTTATTAAATAAAAAAATATTAAACTCTTGACCACAACATACATATACCATATACAATAAATAGTCCTTAACCTATAGATATTAACAATATTTTTTAAAGTACTCATTTTTTTAGTACCTGAGTACAATACTGTATTACAATGGATATTTCATAAATTGTTTAATGCTTACGGCATTTTAAATTTCTATAAACAATTTAATACTCATAATTACAAATATATACAAGTGACAAGATATATGTGATATATACAAGAGTGTAATTGGAATTGTTTCTATTGGAGATCATCTTATACATTTCTAGCATAACAGAATACGACACTGGTTGTCTAAAATTAGCGCCCTCAAGTGTAGATATGAAAATCGATGTCGCTACGTTAATAGAGTGAAGAAATTTAGTACAGTTGCATCACAGCTAAAATGGTGTCCAGGTGATTCACTCGTGGAATCGTTCCAGAACAATATTTCGTATACACCCATTTATTGTTTACGGCGCGTCGTATAGTATCATTACCCACGTGCGATGCGATGCGATAGCTATAGGTACGATACTGTAAGCAGTGTTTTTGAAGTCAAAGCAAAATTGTCACTGAGCAGTTTGTTTACATACTCTCTTCTGATTGGAAGTATGGCTATTGTGTATTTACTGGATTATGTATAATACTCAGGCACAATACTCAGGAATGCTAACATATGTGAGTTACCACAGCAGTGTATGTAGCAATATCTATGGGAAATTACGGTTTATTCTATCACCTGGAGCATGTGTATCTATACACGTATATTACCATTTCACATCAGATAGACCGTGAGCATATCTGTCATTCCAATTGTATATTAAAATCGGTATTTTTTAACATATGCAAATGCCTTCCATTCAACTATTGACTCCCCTGGCTTAGCAGCAAATTAATGTATGCATTTACGTTGTTATTCTAACAATACATTATTAAAAAATATTATAACCTTAATATTAAATTAGTTATTAAAACAACATCATGTGACTTTATCTAAACTACGATACTAAGATAAAATCAGGCATAGTAGTAGTAGAAGTAGCATGCAGTGATCAACAAGCGTATAATCCAAAAATATCTGCGCTTACAAATTTTGCTGTTTTTCTCTACTGACTGTATCGGTTGTAGAATGGTCGACATTGTTGTTGATTTATCTGTTCTCGACGTTTCTTCTTGTTTTATGAACATTGTTCACAGTTAATGATGTATCTCTGTACATTTTATCACTGTCGCAAAATAGATACCTATACCGTTATACCTGACTCAATTGACATTCATTGCATCTAAGCAATCATGATCTACGACTATTAAATTCGATTTTAACGTAGAGCATTAACGTAGAGTTTTAATGCGTTTGCAATTTGTAAACTTGAATGTATCGGTGATAATCTAGAATCCTTAATGACGTCTACTTTTCTGTATATCTATCCAAGAAAGATCTTTGGCAAAAGAACATTGTTTTTATTGTTTTATTCAATTTGGAATTCAATAATATATATCTATTGCAGCAATAACAAAAACCTGTTTATTAAGAATACTAGTGTACCTATTATTTAAATATTTTTTATATAATACACAAACTTATAATATTCACAGAAAAATACCTGAACTAATTATAAAACCGTATATAATCTAAACATATACAAGAATGAAAGATAAAGGTATACAGAGTTAGTGGAATTAATTTGTGCTCTATGTAACTTCCAGATGTCGATAGTACCAATGATGTTCCGTGACTGGTGGGACGACTGGGATCGCCCATCTCGACTCCTGGACCAGCACTTCGGTATGGGTCTCCGGAGAGACGACCTCATGTCATACCTCTCGAATTTCCCCTCAACATCTCTGAGGAATTCCTACTTCCGACCCTGGAGAACAAACCTTACACGACAGGAATCAGCGTCAACTATTAACTTTACAAAGGATAAATTTGAGGTAAAATACTTAATTTAAGGACTTTTATTATTTAGCAAGTTTATTTTTATTTATTTATTTTTAATTATAAATAAATAAAAATAAACTTGCTACAAAGAGTTGGTTACCCACACAATATGCTTTACAAGGAGACGCGATTTAGTTGTGAAAACTAGGCTGCCTGTATACAGTCGGTTAGTCGTCAGGTTGCTCGATTACGAGTAACGTACCGACTTCCGATGGACTCAGATACTTAATATGATAATAAATAGCTTTGCCTTTGATTGCTACGCGGTTCTTTTAAGTTGTTCCGCGACGGTTACTACTTACCATCAGGTGGACCATCAATTTGTTTGCAATTCCAGTTCCATTAAAATAGACATAAATATATAATGAACATGTGTACATAAACATGTAAAAAACTAAACAAAATAACACATTGTCAAATGTACAACTTGCAGGTTATCCTGGATGTTCAACAGTTCACACCGGAAGAGCTGGTAGTAAAAGCGGCGAACAACTCCATTGTAGTTGAAGGAAAGCACGAAGAGAAACAAGATGAACACGGCTACATTTCCAGGCAGTTCACAAGACGATACGTCTTACCTTCGGGGTACGATGTCGTCGATCTCGTCAGCACTTTGTCTTCAGACGGTGTTCTTACTATCACAGCGCCTAAACGACCACCCCCTCAATCTGGTGAAAGAATCGTCCCCATAACGAAGACTGGACCGGCCAAACAACCAGAACCGCTCAGACAAACGGAACAGCCCAGAGAGCAGACTGTACCTATCGTTACATCCCCTTAGAATCGATATATCGATATGTTACGATCGAATCATAAATAGCATTTATTTTAGTCTCGTTGTTGGCCAATAACGAGATGCAACTCGATTCGAAATGAACGAATTAGGTTTAAAGAGGAATGCAATAGATTTCGTATCAACCATAAGTTATAATTAAACACATATTTTCAAGTAATCAAACGTGTATTTATTTCTTATTTTGGTAAATAACTACTTTACGGTATTCATGTACGTAATCGGATAAAATTTAACTGTAATCTACCTATCTATAAATATCTAACAGATAGATACTATTTTTTTATGACAAAATTAATTAATAATATTTTATCTCTATTTGAGTAAATAAAAATATATTTAGCATTGACAAATACATACAACTTCAAATTTTCACTCTTTTATGATCAAACCCTGTTATATCCTGTTTCAAATATAATTGAAGTATATTCAATTTATATGGCAAAACAACGTTTGCTGGGTCAGCTAGTAAATATATATTTATATAATGTGTTAGATGGCACTGGTTCACACCTCCAGTGACGCGAGTATTACTAAGAAATATTTAACCATGTCTTATGCGCTGCGCTAACCACGGCCGTACATTAATGTTTGCAAATGCGAAATGCCACAGAGGGCAATAAACGGCCTCCCATAATGGAGGAACTACAAATAATGAATAATGAATATTGCTCTCACTAGTTAATGTAGAGATGTTACCTGACCCTAACGTACCATCGACACATATCTTTAAATCTATTCTTTAGGATTAAAATATAATAAATCTAGTAAAAGTAGTAAAAAAATCAAAATGGGTTTCCAGATCATCGTTCCAGTCATATATAAAATTATTAATGAATTTTATATTTATCTTCTAATGAATTTCTGAAATGCTCTAATTTTGCGAAGAAATTATTTTTGGCTATTTATATACCTAAAATTAAATTCTTATTTTAGAGGCGACACTTAGGTGTTTATAGAATTTTGTTTATTACGTTTTATAATTATATATCCTAAGACTTAATAAAACATCTGCAGGTGATAGTAGACGATTACTAGATAATAAAGCTTACGTAATTCAATTAACGAATTCGAAAGGAGATCCCACAGGGAGCATAGTTAGTTTATTTTGAACTACGTTTCAATGGCCTATTCTAATACCGCTTAATTTTCAATATTATAATTCGTGACAAGTAGGTATCTACTAAGATTCTTCTGTGCAAGATCTTCAGGAGCTCTTGACATCTTTAACAGAATTGTAGCTACATCCCTAATTTAATGTGAAACACAAATTGTGGTAAGAAAGACATGTAAAAATGTCAAAGCGCTTGTACAAACATAGTACTGTACAATTCAGCATGGCAAATTGTCCTAGAGAGCAATAAGGGAGGTGTTTGACTAATTTAATTTTCTCGCTGAGTCTCGCCGTTCAATAATATTGTTAATTTATCATTGTGCCACGAGGGTTAGGGGGGAACAAATACCGATGCCTTCCGAGTTTCTCGTTTAAAGTAGATGGTTCATTTTCAATTATATTTTTTATTTATTATACCTACGCTGCTTTGCATCGCAATCTTGTTAGAGTCGATTTAATAAAACGACAAAATTTTCTAAAATGTAAATGTAAGTAGGTATACCTTACTCGGTAACATTATAAAACGAAATTTAAGATTTGAGAAATTTCTTTACTATTTTGAATTCTACATTATTCTAGAGAAATATGCTACATGTTACATCTAGTAGTCATAGTTTTTTTGAAAATAGAAATAAATATAATTTATTCTTCATCAAATTAATCTCCCATTAATTTTCTAGTATTACCGGTAAGTTAATCGGAGTATTTAAAATAGAGCTTTTAACATAGCAAATTGTTTTAGCTGTGGTCTGATTCCAGGAGTTACTAGTAACAACAAGAACAAAAAATCGTAATCTATAACCAAGTCGCCTGGTCAGAGTCTGTTGGATGTTGACATAAAGATCTTGAATCATAGTATACACAGATTCATTGCAATCTCACGATCTTTAGCGTCAGAATGAATAAGCGACCATTCCATTCACAGATTTTTTCAACGCTCTTGAACAAATAAATATACTCAGTTAGATATATGGTGACCCGAACAATGAAATACACTGATCAGCACCAGTGGAGACGAGTTCATTAGCCTTCCAACTAAATTATTTCTTTTGTTCGAGGCTTAAATATTTTGTATTTACAATTAACAATTGCTTTAAATATGAACAATTATAAAATAACTATATCTACTAGGTATTTTGTTCTAATATTAACAATGTACATATAGCGCCATCTAAGTTACATTTCTGTTTCTATTTAGATCATTATAGATCACTGGATGTGGATGATCTATAGATGAATAAACAATGCGCCATCTAGCAGTTAGGCTCGTAACTATTCATTCATATAGCATAGATAATTCAAAGTATCTACCCACCTAGTCATGTTGGGTAGATTGTGATTCGATTATTGGATTTTCATCATTCATTTTCAGCTTCATGTTCTAATATATATATATATATTTTGATGTGCCTGATGTGCCACAACAGTGACACAACAGGGGTCTCACATTATTATAACACAACAATACCTTTTCGCTTTTTAAAAATCCTCATAATTGTATATACATGTATATCGAGACACTACACAGATATGATAGAGTCCTTCGCAACTGCAGTCCTCCGCAAAGACAACGCAGCAGAAGTAAGTAGTAGTAGGTAGTACCTGTATTATGTTGCTGTTGATGTATAAAAGCAACAGTAACTGTCATCTATCAAACAACGACAACCTTATCTACTACTCAGACAATACAGAATATATGTAGTTCTCTGGCTAAAATATACACTGTACTATGGGTTAAAAAGAAGAAGTTGGTCTTAACTAAATATACCATTAGGTATATGGCCATCAGATTGATTGTCATTCCAGTTACGTATAAAAAAAATTGTTTCGTCACTCGCGAGTAAAAACTAATTGTACTTAGTAGAAACAGAATTAGTAAAAAAAATTAATACAAATTTGATTTTCAGTTATCAATTCTGTAATTAATAACAACAAAGTGCAAATTAAAATTTAAGCTAGCAAGCAATGTGGTAATGTAGTCTGGGTAATAGATCTCGTAACCATGGATCACTCAAGTTTAAACTGGCGGCGGAGTCCACTCGGACGGGGTGCGCGGGTGGAAAGGGGGGATGGGTTCATCAATCAGCCCGGAGCGATTACTGTGCCGTTGGTCTAAGTTAAGTACTTATAATATTTATTATATTACTAAGTACTTAATTCAGACTTTTATAATAATAAAAACTCTTTAGGTACTGTGCACAGAGAACCAAAACGAACGACGACGACGATTACAAAAAAAAACACTTACATTATTTCTATAAACAATTTCTAATTTCTCTCTCCCTCTCACTGTTCTTTTTTAATTTAGGAGATATTTTTCTAGGAGAGTTCGTTAACAGAAATATAAACTATTAGGTATGCCAAAAATGCAACATTATAAAATGTATTAGAAGGTTTAATTCAATTAGGCCTGATAATAATATCTACATTTATACACATCGCTTTCCATTAGGTACGTGATGGAAAAATTAGTACCACTAAAATATATATTAAAATATGAATAATGCCCTGGTATGTTCTTCTGGTATATTTTTTTTTATAAAAGTTATAATATAGGTATAGAACACATGTATCTATGCTCATTGCACATGAATCATTGCCTTGCCTTTGTACTATTATTTGAAGTCAGCTTAGTACTGACGTTTTTTACCTCCACAACTATGGTTGTAAGAAGGTAAAGTATTGACATATTCAATACTTACAGTTTTTCTAATACCTTCTTCCTGCCGCATGACATAGACTATACTTCTTTTATTACTTGTTAATATAAGATTTTTTTTTATTATGGTAAAACTAACTACTATAGGTAAAACGTTTCTTTACAGAATAATACCTATTATAAAACGAAACTGTTAATTACTTATTTTTTAATTTTTTTTCTACGAATATGGTATATGAAATTGTAATGGTAATATAAGTTATCTAAAGAATATAAAAGATAAAGTAATATGGAATATCCTTAATGCTTCTAAAGCTATTTGTTGTAAAGATCAAGAATCTCTTGTGCCTTGTACCACAAGACTAAAGCGCTTACACTGTTCGACAACCGATTGATCTGCCGTCCGTATTAATTGTTGTTGTCTGAACCTATACCTATATAGTGTACCAACTGTGTGTATACAGACAGCTATTGTTTAAATTGTTCATTCAGTGCAGGCTTCACTTTTTAATGTTTAATATGTTTGATTACTGCAACCAATCGGTTAGGCAGCGTTTAATACATGTGTTCGAAATTGGCATGGAAAGTACTCATAGGTAGGTACAACTCATAGGTAAGACAGTACTTTTGTGCTCAAGTATCCTAATTCTTTTTTGGGGATAGAATTGCTACACGAAATGAATGGACGACATGGATAATCGAGCAGGCATAGGGAAAGCAAAAAAGGAAAATATTTTGATGTAGGTAAACAAACATTATGATTTGTACCTAGGTAGGTACATGCTTTAATTTAGATAACAAAAATTAATGTTATTTAGAAATAGAAAATAATAGTATCTATTGGCTTTTATTTTGTCGCAAAATAGTGTTTGAGTTTGAAGTGGATGAAATGATACAGTCTTTTTACAGCATGTTTTAAAAAAGTTAGATAAATTTAGTTTCTGCAAACCGAAAAGACACTGATCAATTCATTCGAATTAAATAATTCTAATTTTTTTCTTCACTAAATTCATTTTTTTAAACATTTTATTTTACCTATATACCTACATAGATGAGAGTAAGAGATGTTGTAAGATTAATATCTATGTCTGTGCAGATCTGCAATTATTTAAGGCAATTCTTTGCAATTCTCAAATAACTGAGCATTTATGATGTGTTTTGTTTAAAAGCTGTCGTGATAGAAATTGTTTTTAGCTATATTTTATTAAGCATTTTTAATATCGGGTTACTTGAAATTTTATTAGATAGGTACTTATTACTTATTTAGGTAATACATTAATTCCATACTAAATAATTCTGAAATGTGTTTGGCTAGTTCTTCTAGGTATAGTTTGTATTAAATCGATTCAAGGCTTTCAGGGAGCGGACCAATGTAGACTCTTTAGGGAAAACTAAAATTATACTTAGATATAAAAACCGTTGCACGAACATTCCATATCACATGGAAATTCGGAATATACAGAATACACACTTACATACATACAGTTACACTGATGTTGATGTGATCTTCTGCTATGCTCCTGATGATGCTTTGCTCTGATGCTGATGATGCGATGTCTGTGAACCGTGCTCTCAGCCCACGTGACACCAGTTACAGGATTCCGCGATTGTCACTTTTTAAAGTTCTTCAACGCGAGTTCCCGCTTGCGATCGAACAGGAGTAGGGTCAAAGACTCGAAGGACCAAAGAATGTGGGGGTTTAAGCCCACAGTTCCGTGATAATGCTATTGATTGATTGATGAGGGGTTTTTGTTAAATAAAACCGCCTTGGTTGAATGCTACTCGAACACTGATTTTTATTATTATTATTATAGCCTTTATTCAGATTCAACTTATACATTATTTTAAAACAAACAAACAAAGCTTTAAAACTTAAAACGAAAATAGTTATTCTATTATTTGGATCTTTTTTAATGTCTGTAGATCTGTTTGCCAATCGGCAAAGGCCTCCTCCAATCGTTTCCATTCTTCTCTTTCTTGTGCCACCCTGTTCCACATTACTCCTGCCACTGTCCTAATATCATCATCCCATCTTGTGTGGGGTCTGCCTCTTTTCCTTTTTCCTTCCCTGGGATACCATCTTGTCACTTTCTTACTCCATTTATCATCTCCTCTTATTATGTGACCTGCCCATCTCCATTTGAGTCTTTTATTACTAAAATAAATATAATGAGGTGAAATGTATAGAAGTGAAATTGCATGTGTAGGCAATTGTGTATTGCACAGTAAGCAGGCATGTACGGTTGCCCGTACAGGTACAATACAAGTCTACGAAGAATTCAAATTAAGTACCTACGTCATATTTAATAGTTGCGCTTAACATTTTGGAGTTTCGGTTGCCTACTATTTGGAAATGTATTAAATTTAATCTATAAATAAAATTGGAGCGTCTGTTTGTAATAACCGATTTTTACTAAGTACATGTATATGTATAGGTATATATACGGTACATTCCTAGACTGAAATATTTTTGTCTGTCTGTTTGTTACTGCTAATCTCTGAAATGGCTCGACCAATTTTGACGGGACTTTTTTTGGCAGGTAGCTGATGTAATAAGGAGTAGGTCTACTTTTATTTTAGAAAAATATAGTTAAATTTGACGCGGACGAAGTCTCGGGAACAGCTAGTACTTAATATAAACGTACTAGTTTCCTCAAATTAGTAGTAGTGGGATTATCGGCCCAAATAGCTTGAAGATAAGAACCATTTCTGAAACAAATACCACGAAAGTAGGCGACAAGGGTGATGTGAGTCTGTGATGTGCTGATCTATGCCTAAATATAGGTATAGACTATGTATAACTACATATACTGTACTATGTTTATGATATGATATGTAATTCATGAAAGTAATTAAATCAAATTTTCGCCTGAATTTGAAAACTGTTGTAAAAACCGGTTAATTTGAGAATTGTTCATATTGCTATCGATGTTTCGAGTAACAGGTAGGTACCTACTTTGGATAATAATAATATCTAAGTAATTTTAAAAGTTAAAAAATGAGACAACATAGAAAATACTAGATAGAAACTAATAATAAGTTTGTTGTGCAAGAAACAGATAAAAATGGACTTAACTAAGCTTCTATTTGACTTTACTATATTTCCATATATAATGCTTTGGATATTGATTGGGTAATGATTTGGAGCTATGCTATCTTATTATACCTATATTATATAGCTATATCTTAGTACTCCGTAATAGCAACGTATGGTTTGTACAAAGAACGTCATATGACGATGTGTTTTCCGTTGTTCTGTTCATGTAGGTAGGTACCTACTGTTAGCACTATCCATCAGGTGGGCCCTCAGTATGATTGTCATTTCAGTTATATACAAAATCTATGATTATCTAGATATAGTTACCTATAGATAATGTTCGTTGATTGAGATGATAGGTATGTAGATATAACTACTTTGTGTTGGAAATAAGTAGACATAGATATATAGTAATAGATTAGGCACCCTTAAACTGCTAGAACTTCTACCGAACAGTTAGGAGTACGTACCTAAGCGTCTATTTACCTACTTGTATTATTTTGGCTTGAAATTAATAAACCTATAATAATTTAATTTGATATTCAACAAACACATGTTTTTTTAATGCAATTCAATGAAAATACCTAAGAAAAGAATTCAACGCGTTTAATTGTTTGTTTATTAACAAACGCACTTAAGTAGATAAGGTTTATGATAACTTGATACTATAAAATATTAATGCTTTCTGTCATACTTTAATATTGATAAATTTTAAGACAAACACTATTAAATATATAACATTGTAATTATTTATATTATACTTAACTAAAAGTTACCTATACTAGGTATTTATCTACTAAATATAAAAAAAATACTTAGTCAAATTGACAACCATACAGCCACAAAAGCAACCCAACAATAGCCAGTGAATACGGTGTTTCATTGCTTATTAATAATAGTGCACGATCAATGGCACGCGATTATTTTATTACTGGAATAAAAACAATATAATCGCAGCGGGCGGAGCGTGTATCAGAAATATCAGTTTGATATCGCGCGACTTGATTCGCCGCCTCGCGGACGCCTTAAGGCGGGGCTTCAACAGAGAGGGGGCGCCAGGCACGGGATCTCGCCATACCATTCCGTGCGAGCTCCGGTGGCGCTCGTATCTCGTCCGGTTTGTGCGAGTTGTCGGCAATCGCGCTCGGTTTATGTCCGTTTTGTGTGTGAGGGTGTGAGCACGTGCCTTGTGTGGCGTCTTCCTTCCCTCGTGCTGCAAAAACCGCCAAGATTCGGGTGAAGAACCGTGATCCGGTGCCGGCGTACGCGATGGCCGACGCCGACCGTGATTCGGACCTTGGAGACGATAGTCCGGTGGTGAGTCGCTCATGTTTTTGTATTGCAATCCAACAAAAGGTTATTGACGTTTGACGTCAAGAATCACTTTTTAGCTCGAGTTGGTACAAGTTATACTTTTCAATTGCTATAAAAATGGCAGGCAAAGAGAAGAAATCACTAATATAAAAAGATTCGTTTTTCGGGTGTTTGTTTTGCGATATTTTCGCTGAATGTTTTGGTTAACTCTCAGTCTTCCCGTATTCCGGTTTTGGGATTAAAGTTGTTTTTGTTGTGACTGATCAAGTAGTAGTTATGTTATTTGGATCACTGAATATTTTATTACTGATCGTAAGTCTGGCTATACCCGTATTTACCGCCTGTATTTGTTTAAAAAGTAAACTTTGTACTAGTCAATGATACGATCTATCTGTGTGCCAAATTTATTTCAATTCCGTTCCGTTGTTCTAGCCTGATTGAGTAACAAACATCTAATATATCTTTGCAGCCTGTCACGTTATATGTAGGTAGATAATATTATAGCAGAATTGACGTAAGGCATTAATTATTAAGTAGGTAGATATGTGGGTATTACACTAAATGTGCAGTGTGTAATACATTGTAGGTACAATAAAGTGATATTACTTGTTTTTTATCATTTGTATACCATTTGGTCCTAGAATATTAAGTAGTTAGGATTTAATAGATATTAGTTATTCATTATGTTGTGTATTTCCAATTACGCATAAATTTCTTGTGTTTCAATCTCATCTCCGACATTCTTTCCGCATGCTTGAATCACCGAAGCATACGATACTTTTCTTTCAAATTAACATCACTTTCGGTATATGTAGTAGGTATAGTCTCGTGCACGGATAAAATACATATATTAATACTTTAATAAGAATTATCAATTCTGCACCTGACTTCGTCTGCTTGACTGTGATTCTCTGTGTAGGTACAACAAGTAAGCCATACCCATCTTCATCTTAGATGCATAGTTTATATCATATAATGATCACTTATATGTGGCTTATATAATATTATTATGTATAATATCAATCTCAAACAGTTTCTAAATTGAGTAGGTATATATTTGTATTATACAGAAATGTAACTAAACTAAATTTACTTAAATCTCTAACTTACCGTTAGGTACATATGTACCTATGCATATAAAAAAGAGGAGTTATAGGTATACCTATTGGTTACCTAAGTCTGAACTATAAAACACTGATTGGTATATGATAATACTTCTAAAAATCTAGGTATATTTTCAGTATATACCTGTATCAAAGCATAAAAAAAAAGATAAACTAATACATAATTATAGAGTCAATATTTTATATAAAAATTTTAACAGTTTAATAATTCGAATTAGCTATACTGTATTGTAATATGAGTATTATTACAATACAGTATAACTTGATTTTTTTTTAACTTATTTAATATTAGATGTACCAACTGATGTGGCAAAATTGGAAGGCCTTATGATAAATGGAAGTGACCTTGTCAGTGACACAATTATGTCTTGTTTTAAAAGGAATAGAATAGTTATAATGATACCTAACAGAAGACAGGCAAAAAATCGATTCTGAAATTGACTGATTTTTTGTTACATTTATAAGAATTATATTTTTTTTTGTCATTGAATAAATTTCAATTATAAACTGTGTCAAAACTCAGAGAATATCAAAAGTTCCCCTGTCTGTTTATGAAACAATATTTATATGCAAATTGTAGGTAAGTAACCTTAAATGAAATCGTGGTTATTTTTACTCGGCTTAAAAAGGTGTAAAGGTTTGGTGATAACATTGTTTCCATAAAGTAGGTAGTACATCTGTTAATTTCTTTGTTATGCGCAGGTAACAAATATAAATATGTCATGCCAAATTGAACAGGTATACCTAGATACCTTAGAAATGTCAGTAAATAAAATCAACAACTTGTTTTCGACATTGATTGTACTGCAAACATTATTAATAAAAAAAATACTTATTTCACATTATAATCAATTAACTCAACATTAGGTATATACCTAACGTTATATTAATTATATATATAACGTTTACTTATATATACCTACTTATATAAGTACCTACCTAATAAACAGCGCCATCAAGTCTGTAACTAGTGCTTGTAGGTACTACGAGAACTAGACACCTGATAGAAATAGGTAGGTACTTTGATTTAACATAGTCTTAGTAGATATTTAGATATTAGTAGTTAAATGTATTGCTATAATATAACGATATCTAGTAATAATCATTCGTTAATAGAGCAATACATTCAGACAGATTAGAATTTAATTATTTATATTAATGGCTTGACCCTGCTATCATAGGAATTTGAGACAGCCTTTTAATCGGCTACACTATCAAGACTGTCCACGTCGAGGGAGTAGGATTAGGTAGGTAAAATGGGAATCGAGTCAAAGGTAATAAATACGTATAGAACATTTATGGCGTATATTTTCCCTTGGCTTAAAATCGATTTATATATTTTTTTGTATCCGCAATATTGGAAATGGCGACAACATTTTGTGGGCACACGTGTGTGGTATGTTGTATGCCAACGTTCAGGCGGTGTCCCTACAAAATGGCGCCGTTATGATTATTAATAACAAATTTTCGTCTCGCGATTCGGTTTCAAGTTTATTTTATTATACAGGACGAAGGACGAACCTTTTACCATCTGTGCCGACTCTAGGAAATTTGACTGCGCATTGTTTATTTAGCGGAACCATTTCGGTTGCTATTCATAATTCGTTGAAAAAAAGGACCAATGTATATTTGGTGTCATATTTTTTTCAAACTCCGTACGGCTGTAGTTTTAAAATATTTGATTAAGCAATCAATATTGCTTTCAGTCGTTCTATAGATATATACCTACTCAGTATTTAGATTAGTTTATTTAGAGGCAGACTTGAGGAATGCTAATGATCTGAAATACTTAGATGTGGCGACTTTATTATTGGTGACCAGTATCATTAGCTGTTTATTTCGGTCGAGTCAGTTATAATCTTTGCGTTTGACTCAATCATTTATTCAACGGCGTGTCCGATGCTGGAGACATCTCACGGGAGGCCAGCGTGCAAGCACGATTTATTATCCCCTCTCGACCAATAGAGGGCCACAAATTAATTAATCAAACCTAGCTGTCCGTCAGTGCACAATCGTGCCGAAGTTAAAGCAAACCCGCGCGCCAGCTTCCTTTTCCTGTCGACGCCAAGACGTTTCATTAATTGAAATAATTGGCGTGTTTTGGGATTTATTTTTTCGCGTTGACAACATTGCTCGACGGTTCGCATTAATTTTAATTATGATTCTGGCGATTTTTATTTATATTTAGCTTCTTGAAAGACAATACTATGGAAGTAACTATTTTTATTTTGAGATGCTCAGAGTTGAAATAAAACAAGATAGGTATCATAATTATAACCGAATGTAATTAAATCATGTATGATAATACGTTATCACTGTATACCTATTTTTTGTAATGATAATTGATCTATACAGAAAATTAAAAGATAAGTACGTTTTGATGTAGGTAGTACACTACCTACATCAAAACGTAATTATTTTAAAATTTTTGGTATAGGTATGTACTTATTTGTAAAATTATTTATACTGATATTTAGTTGTTTTCTTAATTGAATTGAATTGTGAAAATTCTGCATTTTAAAGAAATATCCATACAATACAATCTATCACTGATAATATCTAAAGTGATTACAAACTTAAATTTTAATTACTATGTTACAGTTTAATTGTTTGTTCGAAGTTGGCTAAAAATGAATAATACGCTGTATATTAATTGTATGGAGACGCGCCGCATTCGTATATTAATTGTATTTGTGGAGAAGAATTTGGCAGGTGTGGCATGACTAGATACGTCTACCTGAGCGCGTGCCTTACTGCTCTTTTATCCTGTACCTACAATTATTGCGTCAAAAGGTATTTTGATCACACGTTTTTATATGTAGCTGTCGGTTTTGTGTGGAAATAAAAAAAATACAAAGTGTGTCACATCGTCACTCGTTTAGCGAGCACAAACGAACATGCTAATTTCCACACAACATCTCATGTTAGTCATGTATCAAACTACATTCATAATATGTTGTAATTCATGATGGCTGACTCCAACAGCGTAATAGTATTAATACCTGATGCAAAACAGTCGGTAGAGTGTGATTTTTGATATAATTAAAAATTTTAAATTAGAGAGAAGTCCTCAGAACTATTTCAATCACATCTGTGTGATAGAATTCAAATAGTAGACATAAAAGGAAGCAAGTTAAAGGGGTCATATATAAAAATGGGTGTACCCCAGGGCTGTACATTTGGCCCATTTCTTTTTTCTTAAAAAGTACATTAAATTACTAATTAAAAATCATCGTACTCTACCGTACGACAAATAAACCTTTAAATTTATATGAATTATAGTCAAATATAATTCACTTAAATAATTACTGGTCAACCACTAGTTATTATGAATGTTTCTGACGATTTGCCCACACGTGAGGCGGTTTAAGGCGCTTCCTGCTGCGGCTCCACAATAGTTATCGATTTTAAGGCAGTGTGTAGACGTTTTATGCTAACTCCCATCTGTGTAGGCTCTTTTGATATGATAAGAGACTCAAAATTGAAATTGACAGATTTAAATAATAATTTATTACTACTTAACTTACTACTTCATCTACAAATGGATCTGTCTATTAATATAATCATTGCTATAATAAATATTATCTATATATACCTATTTTATTGTATGGGTAAAAAAAGTTTCTACGTCTATTCTTTGTTTAGTAGGTACTTACCCATAATACATAGTTTGAAGGCGAAGGCGAAATATCAAAATTTGATTATTTTATAGTATTTGCTAAAATAAGAATATTGTAACTATGTATAAATACGAGTAATTTAATTTAATATTAATTTATTATGTTTTGTTAAAGTAAAATATTTATAAAGTTTTTTAAATATATTTATTAACGAATTCCATTTAACAATGATAAATTTGAAGTTCAATAATATTAAAAT